CTTATTTTGTATCAGTTTTGAAAATCTTTTGACTAGTCTATCAGTAAAATCATTCATCCTTTCTTACCCAGAATCCATTCTTTCCAATTAGATCAACACTATCGCCTTGCAGCAATTCAATGCGATGTTATTATTCCATTTTCAATACATGATAGAAATGGAATAGAAGGAGATATGACTTGCAAAATTCATTTTTGACCATTTCAATTTGATCCCAATTTCCACTCTAGTGATCAACAAGATTAGGAATGAAGTGAGAAAATATATCGGCAATTAAAGCGCTCGACTACGCATAAATTAAAGATAGCATTATTGAATACCATTAATTCACGCTAGTTGATTAAATTTTAATTTACCTTTTATTTGATTGCTTGTTATTACGTTGAATTAACCAGTTGAATAGAATGATGTATTACAGCTGAAAATTGAAAATAATAATGGATTCGCTTAAATTAGCAACGGCTTGATTCAATTTTCTCAATAGCTTGGCTATGATGATAATGGATGGAAGGTGGATTGAATGAAAAGATGTTTATTTTGTACAGGAGAATATCGAGCAAGGACATATTAGGCCTAACGATAGTTTTGATCCAATTTTTTCTTTTCCATCAGCATGGACAATTGTTGTTATTTTTAGAGGATGAGTTATTTTTCTAGACCGAAATCGTATGGTTAAAACGTTTACAACGGCAGTTTCTCGCTCTGGAGACGGGCATCCTTTTCTCATCAGTTCATTATATCCTAGTTTTATCAATATTATTTACCTTTTCTTTTGCTTCTTCCTATCGATCCACCTATTTGTCTAGGTTTCTCTTCCATTTTCTACCTTTTAAAGCATCCATTTTCAATTCGTATGAATGGATATTATCGTTTTAATAGCAAGCTATGATCCATTTCAATGATGAATCAATCCCATTTTAGTACTAGAATGTCCGAGATTGTCTTCATTGAATCAGAATTACTGTTATTTTCTATTTTTCAAGTCAATCTACTCAGTTGTTTTTTATTTAGTTTACTTTCTTCTATGTTAACCTATTCTTTAGCTTGCAACTGGTTAAAAGTAGATCATGATTGCTTCTAGCTGTTTATGACACCTATGCAATAATTAATCTAATTCATGCTATATTTTATAGAATTCTAGGAAATTAAACCTTGATTCCTGTAGTTTTTGTAACCTGATTTAAAAGCAAGCCACGGTCGCTTTTAGCTGTTCATGAAACCAATACAAAAATCACTGTAGCTAATTCATGTCATCATACTATTCATGAATTGGAATTGTAGGTAGAAAATGAAACCACTTTTACTACGATTAGTTACTATTTCTAATCTAGTTTATAAGTAGATTACCATTTCGTAGATTAAAGCTAATTTCTAATTTTCTTTAGTTCTTGGTCGCATAAAACAAGAGCTAGAATTTTTTTCTCGATAACATTATAGAATTTTTTAATCCTTTCGTTATCAAAGCGATAAGGATACGGCTATAAATACAATCATCTATGCTAAATACCTTTCAAGCCAGGCTAGTCAATGTATAATAATACATAAAAGCTAATTATTGATTAATATAACTTCTTTAATCCTTAGATAGCATATATGTTAAGGAAAATGCAGCAACATAAAATCTCATGGCTCAATATCATTTAAATTAGGCTAGTTAATGAATAATCATGCATTCAAGTTAATTTTTGCATCATTTTTCAATTCATTAACAGTCAAAGTTTTATGAGTGGAACTTTAAATTAAATTATCAGCGCTAATCATTATTCAAACTAGGCTAGCTAATGAATAATAGCACGCTAAAATGAATTTATCGTTTTTTATAGCTTGTTAACACTCGCTAGTAGAATAAAAATATTTTTCAGGTTTAGCATTTGAAGGATAATTCCAAATTCTAATTTTTAGATAAAGGATGAGGACTTTAACCCGAGTTTTAGCTTAGTTCATATCCTAAAATTCTTTGCTATTGCATACTAGCCAAAAAAATCTTGACTAAGAATGAACTTTCTTAAAGGAGATTTCATATTCCAATTTTAAGATGGATAAAGTGGACTTGAAGGCAAATTTTAGCCGGAATAATTCTTCGTATCCTAAAATTCTTTACGACTGTATACTCAAGAAAAAAATCTAGACTAAGAACGAATCTTTTCGAAGGATAATTCCATGTTCCAATTTCAGATAGAGGATGAGGACTTTAATGAGGCAAATTTTATCCTTATTGCTTCTTCACATCCTAAAATTCCCAGCAGCTATATACTAGTGAAAAAATCTTGACTAAAAGCTAACGTTCCTTATGTTCAGATTGGTCAGCAGACGGAGATGATCAGTTTAAAGTAACTCTTTCTTGCCTTGTTTATTTGCTATGTTATACTACTCTATCATTGCATTTTCAATTCGTAACTAGCGGAGAAATATTCTAAAAAGTTCAACTCTATTCTTCTTTATGTATCTGAATAAACAATATCTAATTGAAATAGTCAGCACACAGTAATATCAAAATTAACTATCAGAATGATAGTCTTGCCATTCGATAGAATGGCTACTTGATAGGCTAGGTCGATATAAAATGAATCAACAAAATCAATGATTTGGTACACAGAGAAAAAGCGCTAAGAAAATTTTCTCTTTTCACACTGTCTTCTATTGACTTTCTTGTATTAATTCGACTCTTATTTCACTACTTTATCCTTTCTTTCTTGGATCCATTTAATCCTTCAATAGAGAATTTTTTTATCCATCATCATCTATGGATTGATGGATAGAGTTGTGTTTTCTTTGAACTTCTTAACTGATTCATTAATTGACTATTCACTTTGACTAACCAATAAGGCGAATTTGAACTTTTTCTTCCTTTTACCATCCAGTCGGCCTCAACTTGTTTTGATTCCAGGTTGCTGACATACACCTACTCTCACTTTTGCAATCTTGAATCAATAAAATCCTCTTCAATTCTTTGCCTGTTTATTGATAACTGTCTACTCAGTGATCTTTTTTGCCATTTTATTCTGACTGAATGAAGATTGTTTAATTAACTATTTTAGCTACAGTTGATTAACTCACCATTCAATCTATTCTAAGAGCAGAAACCGACTATTATCTATATTTATCCATGACAGTAGATCAACAACAATTGCATTTCTGCCATTTCCATTTCGCCAAACTGACTGTCTGCGTGATATTTGATGAACTACCACCTGCTTTCTCTTTATTTTCTCTACTTCAATGAAGTTCCTACTTGACTTCAAAAGCTTGATCGTCCTTTTCCTTCTCTACCCTATGAGTAATTATTGATATTGTAGAAAATTGCTTCACAATTTATTTATGGACATGAGGACATTGTGATCTGGATGTTACATCATGTCGTACTTTTAGTTTTACTTCGATGAATTGCTATTCTCCTTATTGGAAATGGAGGATCAAATCTCCTTTCCCTTCTACCTAACCTTGTACAAACTCTGTTGCATCGACTTGTTCCATAAATTGTAAAAGTAAACTAAATCTATTTAAATTTGAGCAATCAGTCCCATTGACTAGTTTCATAAAATGAAAACAAAACGGATCTACTATGAATTCGAACATTCCATTTTCAGGAACTGTTTGATTACTTGCTTTTAAATAGAACGTTGACCAATGTCATTCTTCTAAAATATTGGCTATTTATAAAGGGAATATCAAATCATTCAGGTAGTTTTATCTTCTGAATTTGACAAGGCATAACTCAAAAAAAAATTTTTCAATTTCCTTGCCGCCAGGTTGGAGGATCATCATAACTCTATCTCCCCTACCAATTTGATTCCTTGCTATTGAGTCAACACGTATTAACCTATACTAGGTTCATCATATTATGTTACAAGCTTTTCTATTCTCTTATTTCATTTAGCAATATAATCATTTTAATATTACATTAAGGAATTATTTCTTTACGCCTCCAAAACAATATTAGCAATTTCCATTTATTCTAGGCAATTATTTTTGTGTCGTCATCGCATTCAAGTTACAGCGTTGATTGTTGTGCTGATAGTTTAGGTTTTATTTATCTTCTGTTTTCACAAAATCGTTTTTGTTGAAAAACTTTTAATGCACTTCTTGATTTGCTATGCATGCTGACTACTCGCCATGATTAATAATTAATTAATTTTTTCCCCATTCCCTTGTACTCTACATTGTCTACTTTCTATCCTATAATTGAACTAACTTGAATATTTTTCTTGGACTTTCTATTTAAAGGCCTGCCTCATTGTCGTAAGCAAGCATAAAATCATTACCGTCAGTGAATCCGTGCTCTATTGGCATCGACATTCACATCCTTGATCGAAGAAATTAATCTTCGTTGGAATTATCGTCCACCTAGATCGATTTATACAGCTATCGTACAAGCCCTGACGACGACAACCTATTGCATATCGCTTCCATTGCTGGGTTATTTGAAAAATTTGAATACACCTAATAATCGTTCAAGAAAATCTCCCAAAATCTGCACTCGCAAAACTGGACCTAGTTGTAATATTCGTAATAATAACAAGAAATTACTTTCATTCCTGATATTCTACTTGATAGCCAAACTGGAATACCCTCTACCTTCTTCAGTTGGTAGTTACCCATTTAGTAGCCGTACAGGAAAGTGAAGAAATCGATTTTCTACCATTCCAAGTTCTCTTTCTTGGATCGATCTTTGCAAATTTTTCACCTTACGGCTGGCGGTCTATCTTGTTCTTTTTTCCCCATTTATTTCAATATCAGCCAAGGCAGATTCAGTCATCACTGAAGAAAATTGAGCAACTTTGCTATTTGCTTTGCTTACTGTTGCCATTAAATCGCCTCTTCTACCCTACCTAATCGATCTGTTGTTTTGATCGTGTCATCGCTACTCGATTCCATTGATTGAGTCAATTCTTCACCCATTGATCTGCTCAAAATATTCTTGAATCTATTTCAATTCTATTGCTCTATTAATACTTTGGTGACCCTCTTTGATAGGTCAAAATCTTTCTACGATCAAGATCATGCAGGACGACATTGATGTCTATAATGTCGTTGTTGGCTCTATCGTAATTCTAACCAATACCGCACTATTAGCTTTTATCCTTTCTAAGCGGCAATTAAGGATTACCTCTAATATCTTGCTGGGTAGTATGCTAATTTGTGGTATATTAACAGGTTCAGTGTGGATTTTATTAGCCGTTTATCGAGAAATTTATCGCATTCCCATCATATGTGCTATTATCCCCATGTTTCAACAATCAGCATTTTGTAATACATCATTGCATTTTTTTATCATCATTATTGAGCGCTATTATGCTATTGCTCATCCATTTAGCTATCAACAACATCATGTTATTAAAATTAAAATTTTAATTGCTATCTTAGTCATTTGGATTATATCATTATCCATTGTCATTCCAATGATCCCGTTGAAATCGATCGATCCAAGCAATTGCACCTTTCGCAACACCGTTGGCAGCGTAGATAAAATCTATTTAACGGTGGTTATCATCGCCTTATTTTTCTTACCTTTACTAGCTTTACTCTGTGGCTATTCGAGAATCTTATGTATTCTCCTATCCAGCCAACATGATCATTTGCAACGCAATCAAATACTTCAACGATTATTGCAAAAGAAAAAAGCAATTATTCAAGCCGTTGCATTTATTGGTGTCTTCATACTATTATGCGTACCCTGTGCAGCGGCATTTATCGTCTTGATTAATATAACGGAAAAAGATCGTGAAAATCCTATCTTGACAGAGTTTATTACTATTAGTATACGCTTTTTATTAATCTATCCAGCTGCTAATCCAGTATTATTCGCTATCTTTACTGCTAACATTAGGAAAGAGTTATTAAAATATCTTTATGATCGATCGAAATCACCTACACAACAATCATTACTTTCCCATGATACCCGTATCAATCGTACTACTGTATCCAATTATAACTTATTTTTAAATAAAATTGGTTTACAATCATCACCATCCAAAGATTTAAGCAGCATTATAACACCAACATCAAGCACAGCAAAAACACCGACATCATCCTTAATCAGCCCAATTACTCTAAATCCTATGTTTGAATTCCACACCCATGTCTACCATGATCAGCATACAACAGTTTAACTTATTCTTTATTTCGCTCTCTATACTATTCCATCTTTCAACTCAATCCTCAATGTCCTTATTTTATCAATTTGGAAAGGAGCTGCTATCATCATGTTGATATTCTCTATTTTACATCTTGATATCCTTTTTTCTTCATTTTCCCCTCCCCATCTCCTATATATTCTATTTTTAATTGTTGTAGGAAATAGTCATGGCGATGAGCGCCAATTAAGTATTAGTGTTGTTATACTATCAATAAAAGACCTTCCAGTTGCTGCCTAACTTTCATGACGAGCACTGGGTATCATCCATATTCAGCATAGTCACAGTGCTGTACTAGTGTACGATGGTGTGCAATGGAGAGCTAAAAAAACATCACGTAAACTTCATTAAGCAGCAAACAACAACAACAATCAGAATAATAATGTCATTAAAAAATGATGATGAGTTGTTTATAATTGGCAGTAGCATAGCGATTGATTCAATTAGTCCATGGAATTATGCAAATCCCTATCCCTAGATAAAAATACAATCTTCTAGCTATTAATAATAAGATGGAAGGAATGGTGAAACACGAATTGAAAATCATGCTTGGCCTAATTAATCACCTGCAGCCAAGAGGAACAAATCGATCAGGATAAATTATCGTCCTATTGGTAATTCTCGTTGCTCCTTCTTTATAGCATCAATCTATCGTGGTCCATAATTAATAACAAGATCGACATCGGTAAATAATAATTTATCGATATTGTTGTTGGCTACAACGTTCATACGTTGACTTTGAATACAACAACTCCTTCATTTTAAAAGTGCAAGTTTGATTGATTTACTCTTATGTTGAAAAGTAACGCAGATGTTTTACCTGACAACTGAAGGATCATTTTCAATGGAATCATCTATCACTAAATTACAATATTCCTAGCGAATTCGATTTAAAGTATAGAATTTAATAATTCACACGAGAAGTAACAAAATCCAACTCAAAATCAATAATATCATGCAATATGACAGTAATGAATAAAATCAAAGCAGTCATTAATCAATCGCAAGACAGTAAGTTGTCATTTTTTCTCTTTCATATGGTTCTACATGTCTATCATCAATAAGTAACTGTCATTAAAAGTATTATCTCTAAGAAATAAAAATTTAATAATAAATCCAATAACTTGCTTTTCTGCTATACATAAATATATAGATAGATAGCTATTATCCATTCATCAATAAATTAGCCAGTCCATCAATCAATCACGTCAGTTAATTCTTAATTTATGAAATTTTTAAATATGACTCACTAATCAAGAAAGAATAGCATTCCTATAAGTTTTTATCACTAATGGTATTGAGTGAATTAATTAAGTCAGTCATTAATCAATTAATTAACAGGCCAAATTTTTTCTCTTAAAATTTCTGTACAACTCTTCATTGAAAAAGAAGTATTCAATGACGGCCTGTTTTGCATCGATATCATTTTACTGTTGATGTGAAAGAATCGGAAAAATCAATAGCCATAGATTAAGATAGTAATTGATCATGTCCAACATCTATAGTAAATTTTACAATAAGAAATTGCCATGAAAACAGGAGTAATAATTAAATTGTTAGTACTCATGTCGTATAAGAAGTGATAAAAGAGAAGATGGAGTATCGTATTAAAAATGATTTGTAAGAAGTTGTTTTTATTTGAAGATAAACGCAATATTAATCAGACATTATTTCTATTACATTTCATTAGATATGATTCATAACATGCTTGTACAGAATTGTTTTGGACTTAATTTTTAATTTATTAACATTTTAAATACTACACTTAAATGGATGCCATTTTCATCGAAATATACGTAACGATTAATACAATTACCCATGATGACGATGAATTATATATTATTAATTAAATTAATTGATAAAATAGTCGGCAATAACTTTATTATCTGACAACTTATTTTAATAATTAAAGTATACATTCGATTAAGTACTCATTTTTGTATTTAATCTGTCAACATCTATTCAACCTGTATACCTACATTAAAAGGTTATAGCCTGATTTAGGAATAGATTACTTTTAAGTAATTGTTATAGTAATGGTATATATTCTTATTAATTTCAACTCTTCATTCAAAGCTAGATTTGACAATCTGATCAACTAATACATAACTCACGATAATGAAATATCGCCTTTGACTTTTAAAAATGATCAAGTTTTACTGCAAGTGATCATTTTACTTTCATTATACCTAGAAATTTTCTATTTCTGTCATAGCTGCTTCAAGAATTGACAGGGGATGAATGGATTCGTTTTTATTTGCCACTCTAATCAATGTGTTGTTTTAATCATTGTCATATGTTGTTATTACTATTGGTTACAACTATGCTAATCTGTGGTGAATGTAGAAAGTAATGAAAGCCTTGCCTATTTATTATTGCATAACTATTTATATTGCAGTTGTCTAGATATCAACGAAGATCAAGCATGATGATCGGTGTATCGTTGTTATTTATGGGTAATTGATCGTTCTTATTTCACTTTTAATTAATAATCATCATCAACGATCAAAGTAATTTAAAATCATTTTCTCACTTCTTTTCCTTTCCATTTTAACGTTATCTATCTAGATAGACTTTCTTTAGACTCTTAATGGTATCATTTTCATCATTTCATTATAATTATTCTATGTATATCGACTATTCTCACTACAAACTGGAATAATCATTCCTGATGAAAATTATTTTTTTACTTGCGTCATATCTTTAAGTATTGCATTAGTCTATCATTATTAATTTATGGAAGATTTAATGATTGTACGTCTTCCTTGTTGAAATTGATTAAAATGTATTTCAATTCCGTTTTTACCTTTAGCAAGGCAATTTCTCTTTTTCTTAATATTGGACATTGAACTTTAATAAAAATATTCATTCTGAACTTGATAAGCGACGTAATTAAATAGTAACTCATTTCTGATAGATATATTAAATATTGCAGTAATAAAGATTGTTCGTGTTTAATGTCATTATAAAATCAGCAAGCACATCAATTTGGGATCTTAGTTTAAAAGTTCGATAGAGCACAAACAATTCAATAATTTAACAAGGCCTAACTATAAGATAACTAAGAACTGAATTACAATAATATATTCGTTAATTAATAAAATTATAAATCTGAAATGCCAACAAACTAATACTAATCGTAAGAACTTAATTTTAAATTTACCTTAGAGATATAACATTTACTCAATCGGCTATCCTTATGTGTTCTTACAATTGTATTAATTTTGTAGTGTAAGGATATGGTTTTAAATTTATTAAAATTCTGTAGTATCATTTATTCACAGCGATGACAAATAGTTTTCTTAACATGTGTAATGCTTTAAAAATAAGTAAACCAAAATTGGATATATCTCTGAATGTCTAAGGTAGACACATTCGTATATTTCTTTATTATTAGCTTAATGTTAAAAAATGAAGTATTAACTGTTGAAAAGAGAAGTTAGCAGGCATCGTCTCAAGTCTTAGAACTAAAATCAAGGGTTAAAGGTTTAGGTTAATGAATCTGAATTATATCCTTGAAAACTTGCACTAGACTAATCGTGATATGGATATGTGTTGTATTATAGATATAGTCTATTTTATCGAACTGAAGGCCACAAAAAATTATTTCTCATTATCACTTGTGAAGATTGTAGGGGCATTTGAATTAGCAATGATATAAACAAATAGAATAATATTACTTAAAGCTGAGGAGAAAAGATTGATAACCTATCAATAGCGTAATAAAATATGCTGTATAAGAGTAATTTCTTTAATTATATTTAATGTACAAGTTCATCTATTTTGTTAAGTAAGTAAGTCTTTAAGACACTTTTCAGACTGATGTCAAAACGTAAAGTATACCTACACATAAATGTCTAATTGAATGTACGATAACAATGAAGTAATATAATTGCTATTCTACTAGCATGTTACGAAACAAATTTTTTCATTAACGTCGAGATAACAGAATCTGCTATAGTGTTCCTGTTATAAATTTACCAATTTCACTATAATACTATAATAGGTATCTTTAGTCCATATTGATTTTTAATATGTTTAAGTAGTCAGGAAGCCTTCTGTACATCATTCGACATAGGAATCGCAATAATACTCTTGCCACAGATTTATAGAAATGATATTGCTATACTTTTTAATAGCTCTTTAATCTTTGTTAGCATTTAATAAGTTTAAGTCAATAAATGATCTTTCATGCGTCATTTAACATAAAATCACTATAATTATTCATGTCGTAAAATTTATTGATTTATATTATACTGTTTAATAGTTCTTTTAATCTCTATTAATATTGTATAAATTGAAGTAGCTAAATGGGTTTTGATACATCATTTGACATAGAAATCACCACAGTGTTCTTCTAACAAATTTAATGATTTCATGTTAGGTTATTAAATATCATACTTCTTTAGTCTATATCAGTGTTTGATAAATTTAAGTAGCTAAACGACCTCTTAAGAGTCATTTGACAGAAAATAGTGTAAATTTAACCATCAATTTACTTTTACTGTAATATTATAAGTAATAATAAACCAGAATATAAATTTTATTATTATTTATAAATGTACATCCAGAAAAAAATCGACTATTACTAAAACAATGATAAAAATGAAATGTTTCAAAATTTAACTGCTCAATAGCTAGTGGTGGTTATTGTTTATTTCATAGCTGGTTAAACATTTATCCTGCTAGTTATACTGTAGCTATCATCAATTCTCCGAATATCAACCTAAATGAAAAATTGTACAGTAATAAGGGCGAGAATTGCCAGATATCACGAACATGAAGATGGTGGGGCAGGTGTTTACTTCATTGTAGTCATTGATTCGTGTCTAATTGATAAAGTGAGCGTTTGTAATATGATAATAAAGGAAAGACTTTATGTAATATTTAAAGTTACTCTGTAGAATGGTATAATTTTAAGATAATAAGATATCATTGTCTATTCCCTATTTAGGTCAATGCAGTTATCATTAAAAAAATAACAAATATCAGGATAGAAGGAGGTTCTTTAATGGCGATATTAACTATACTAACTCTTAAAAATCAGATCCTTATCCTGCTACCAACTGTGAATAATAGAAGTGTACCTGAATTTGGAATTAATTTATTCGGAAATAAAGGACAGCAATAAACACCCGGTCTGCCATCGGCCATTAAAATGATAAAATTTCTGAGAAATAATAATTTAACATAGTTTCTTAAAATTATGATAAGTCGTAAGTCATGGTCCATGAATTTGAAATTGGCGCTTATCCAATAATAATAATAGTTATATTTTGGTATAAACATTAAAGTAATTCAAGGTATTCAATCCTCTGTTATTGTAGAATTTTTTGAAAATTTAAAATGTTAATATGTTGTTGCCGTATATTGTTTGGAATGTAATTAAAAGCTAGAATTTCAACCACAAGAAGGCTTCTACATTATAGAATTTGATGTATCTGCTTGCAGTATGTCATAATAGAGAAATATTCCTATTAATTTTTAATAATTATTTATAAAGTCTTGAATGTTTTTGATTTTATGAAACACTTTAGCATGATTTAGCTGGTAAGATTGAATACGAATATATTTAGAGAGTAGATATAGTGTATCGTCATTTCATAATTACTAATCGTATATTGCTTAAATGAGAATGAATATTTGATTATCGTAAAATCGCAAAGAATCATATTTTAAAAAGTATCTAGGCAATACGTAGATATAAACATTTTATCGTCTTGCATGTTGCAAGCTAAATTTAAGCTTACTAATTGCTGAAAATAGGCAATACTGCAAATTTCATATTAGGTTATTATAATTATCGCTAAATGGTACAGTATTAGATTTGATACAGTAGCTTGACAATAGATATCAAATATTAACGTCTCACATATTATATTATAGGTAGATGAGCACTTACTGAAAATAGACATTATTTCAATTCCTTTTTTTAAAAAGATTGACAGCAACGAATAAAATAAGCTAAATGAATTAAGGTCAAGATAAGATACTATAGCAATAGCTGTCAATGCTTAATGTAAAAGTGTCTTAGTAGCAAGCGATAACATGCCAAGTTTATAATATTTTACAAGAGCAATGCATTTATCGGTGTTAGTTCCTACTAATGTTTATTGATTGATGTTTAAAAAAGAATAAATTTTGCTAATTTGACGGCTATTAGACTCCATTGCTGCATGAGGTACTATGATTACAATTGATGCCAAGAAGTATGTAAATTATGTGGACTAGTGACCGTAATTCTGCATTGTGAGAAATACTATTATAGAACAACTGAATTTAATCATTCCTGTATTACATTTCCATCTAATAATAGCGAACAAAGTGATACCCCAGTAATAAGCAAGCACATAAATGCTATATACGATATACATTATGTCGAAATAAGGCAGTGATTACGTGAATTATACCCAATTATTTTATTTTATTACTTTAACCCATTTACTCGTAAAACGTCATACGTATACAAGCAGTCCTAGATTACTACTTACGTATTCCATAACGATTCGGACCGTTAATTCACAAATTTTAATATAAAGCTTGACTATGTAGCGATGATGGCAATTAACATTGCTCGTAGGAGTTCGTAACAAAATTAGCCAGCTGTTCTATCTAAATTAAATGTACAGTAATTAAATTCTTATAAAACAATAGTCTAAGTCTCGATAGAATATAATAAAGCCTGCTATTGCAATGTTTTAGAATACGAGAGCTATAATTCACTAATAAACAAGAATCTGCTATAAAGTATCCTGAGTTAGAATGAATCATGAGCTTATATTGCTGATCTTAAATACGTATATTGAGCTCAATCTATTCTCAACCACAAAATCACCTAAATTACACTTGGATCATTATTAAAGGCATTTTTCTCAAATAATCAATATAACCTACTGTACGGGATCTATACTTAAGCTACTATATGATTACTCTTTCATTTACGTATGCCTAACGCAGTAAGACAGTAAGATGACATGTATTTTACATACAAACGTGAGATATACAGGCATTTGCTAGGACATTTCCTTTAGGATCAATGATTTTCATTTAGTAAGATGTGCTAGAGTACACTATATTTACGTAATTGATCACATTCGCATAATGGTACTATCCACTGGCATTTCATAAAAAATAATATTCTATAGGATACTGCTATCGAAATTAAAATTACTAAATACACTTTAGTGGTTCTGTTGCAAAATAATAAAGTAGAATATAATCTGATAATATAAGATCGGATATTGAGCCGTTTGTTAATCAATCATTCATGTAATAATCAAACCGACTTAGTAGATTAAAAATTCATTTGTATTATTATACCGTGTACCGTATAGCGCTATATTGTATATTTACTCATCGGCAGTATTATCTAATCGTTAAAATATTTCTGATAGATAGAACAATAAAACAAAACTTGATATACAGTACGCGTATGTGGCTACATAAATAAGTATAGCAACCATGGATTATAACTAAGGTAAAGTAAACGCATTGTCGTATCTTAGTGTAGTATGTTGCACTTAGGAATCGTTAGCTTATTCAAGTTCATGCGGTTAAGTGCCTTTATTTTATAAAATCAAATTTGTGAATGATTTTGTGTATTACATAATGTAGATTTTTTGAACAAGTAGCATCAGCAATAACAAGACTTTTCATGTATTATTGTAGAATAACATCTTAGTTTACTTGATGGTAGTTGATAACGTCAAAATTAAAATTTCGTTCAAGTTCTCTAAATGCGGCAGCTAATAAACAAATACAAAAACATTAATTATAAGTGTTATACATAGAGCTGAAAAATATACAATTCGGTGATAGAAACAGTCATAGTACAAATTTTTTGGTATACGAGTATTAATCGCATTACAATACGGTATAAGTAGTCTTAAAAGAGTACGATACAACTAATTGCAACATACAGCGTCCTTTTATGAATTTCGTAGGCACTATCACTTACGCAACCAGGTACCGAAAAGATCAATCACATTCTATACAATTAAACTGATAGTAACGTCAATTGATAAGACAAAATTTTTGATGGTCATGGCTTCCCATAATTGTTGGGAAAATATTCAAGACTTAATTCATAGTTGAAACATTAAAAAAATAATAATAAGGCAGTTGCAGCAACAAAATGTTAATGCTTCCTTAATCGGCTTGATTGTCGGACAGCATAAACATCGTTACTAGAACTAATTGGATTTTCTCGATCTTTAGCTGGTGGCGGCTGAGGTCTATGATTTCCAGAAACATGAATCGGAGTAGCAACAACCGACGTTGGGAGAACATGGCGGGATGTAACGTCTACGGATGGTGAATTTATACGATGATTATGTGATTGATAATATTTGTGATGGTCTGCCGCTTCTGCTGTGGCCGAAATACCTTCACGAGCTTTCGAGATCATGCCCCGACTACGTTGATATTGTCGAACTGTTGCGAAAATAATAGTTATAATAGTTAATTAAGAATAGATTCCTTAGGTACTTATAGCAACAGAATAGAAACTTGAAATAATTTACTAACTTCTAAATTTAATGCATGTTAACTAATTATTCTTTAACGAAAGCTCTTACTAGGAATTGTTACAATTGATAATATTTTAAATCATCATCTCGTGTAATACGAAAAATCTGTTCTAAAATATTTCGTTATTACCTCCAGCATCGACAGACTGCATACGACTTTGAGCATTAATCTCGTTCGCGCTAGATAATCGAGTATTAGTACCACGGCCATGAGCATCATAGGTTACCAATCGGTGATTATCCGTAGCAGTAGCGCCTGCATCAATGTTATCACCAATATCCGGGTGTTGATTAGAATGTCGCTCTTTTTGTCTATCTTTGGTATCATTCTTACGAGTTTCGCCCTACGGTAAGGTAAGTATGGTAAAATTCGTAAGTGTTAAAACTGTTAAATTTATTTCTATCAACTTGAATAAGGTGTTGATGACATTATTAACATAATATCAACAAAAATTTACCTTCAAGACATTCCAATCAAAAACGTAATCATATGTAAAACTACATCGATGGTACAAATTTCTGAATAATTGCCTGAAGTATGCATAATCTGGCTTATCGTCGAATTTTAATGATCGGCAAATATTTAGATAAGTCGCAAATTCAGCTAAAAATATCATAGAAGAATATCAATTAGCCCATTTCAAAAAATTAAATAACTTTTATACTAAGAAGAATTACTGACTAACTGAAGATTATAGTACTTACGGGGATATCCTCTACATAATTTTTCAACTGGAGTTGCCATCTTCTTTTCACTAATTTTTTCATACTTTTGCTTTTTAGTAGCAGCCTTTAATCCTTGCCAAGGTAAACTGCCGTGGCTGAAATACATAAACATATACCCAAGTGATTCCATATCATCTCTACGGCTTTGCTCTATAAATAAAAATAAAATGACGCTAACATAAGCTAAGGCGTTAAAATTAGTATTCATTTACAAGATCTGGTCATAATGTCGACTCTTGCTTTCGCTCCCGAAGTCATTGATATTCATCAATTCACATCACTTAAGAATTCTTTGCCGTAGTGAAACATTACATATTACTATTGCTGTTTAACGTTGTAGAACAAAATGCAGCTGCAACTACATTATAACAATTATGAAACGATTAATGCCTTGAGATATTACCAAGGAATACTTACCAATGCCTAAATGTGTATTAATACTGGCATATCGTGCAGTACCAGTTAAATTTTTATTTTCCCGATAAGGAATGTGCTGGTGCGTCTTAGCATCACGATAGCGTTTTGCTAATCCAAAATCAATTATATACACTAAATTGCCTTTCTTTCCCAATCCCATTAAGAAGTTATCTGGCTTGATATCCCGATGGATAAAATTTTTCGAATGAACATACTCGATTCGACTTATCTGAAAAGAATAGAAAAGATTGATGGAATTTTATTATCAAAAGAGGTTACAAATTAGTGTTGTAAAATAATTCATCTATATAGTAAAAAAACCATCATTCTGATGTATTCAAAATTACGAATTAAATGATAGAAGAATAAATTAGGAAAGAATGACGATATCTGATAGGGAATTACATTCTAACAATGATGGGATTTGTTTCAGTATCGTTAAAATTCAACGGTCGGATTTCAGTTTAATAGCAACTTGAAGCCGGAAATATGAAATTTTATTGTAATTATTATTATTGTTGTGGGATCAACTACGTATTGCTGTACTTTGGATTTAATGGTAATAAATCTATATACCGTTCTGTACGTTTTTACGAAATTGCACTAATTTCAAGTAGTGGGGAAGAACCACTACTGTCATTTTTAGGTACTCGCGAAGCAATGAAATGAGTAGCTAATTATAGTCGATATATGTTGTCCTAGCTAAGGAATTTCTAAAAACAAAAAATGTATCATTTCGTCCGATGGAAATCACAATAAGGTGCCAATTGCACAAATATCATACCTGGCAAATAATATGATAGGATGATCATAAACTCGAATATTCGAATAAGGATAAGCTACAGTACATGACATATTCTAATACGCGTAATCAGGAGAGTATTAAAAATAAGTAATAAAATTAATTAAAAATATACTATGTACTGTAATTCGTTTCAAGTCTTTGAAGGCGTATCAAAGATGATCTATGTAAGAGTGATTTAACAAATTGGTGCAAAACTAGTACGATTACGATTATTATTCTATAAGATTTTTAAAGTAATATAATTATAGTACTGGTGTAAACCTACTTACATATCGACATGTAATGCAGTACACAATTACAATTACTTCTTATTATTAATTTAACTGCCATATGATATCGGTGGTGTTGCAAACGACTATACAAACAGTATAGCGTAGTAATAGTATAGAGTCTACTGTAAGCTGCAGGTTAAAAATTCAAAAATTTCTTAATCAGAGCTCTCCATGGTTATATTACAGTATCATGGAATGTGATAGAGCTCTTCATTAACTTCCTATTGGCAGAAAATAATTATTATCAGTTGATGGTATCTACATATGTACTATTCTGTATAGTACATGAGATAACCGAATCATTGTAACAAATTAAGATTGGAAATAGGGTCTACAATAGAAATTTAAGCACAAAAGATTTTCTGTCGTAGGGTATCTTTAGTACGGTCGGATAACGCAAAATTGAAAATACCTCGCAACTTTAAAGCAAATGAAAGTTGCGACGGATTTGTTCAAAAAAAGGATAAAAAAAGATGTTGAGAAAATTAATTTTGAAAAGATCGATCCAAAGCAGTGCTTTAATATACTATTAAGTTAAGTGATTAGTACAATATATAATCGGTGAAGGAAATCAATGAATAGCTTTGACTATGGTAGAGTAGGCACCCAACAACGGTATCTTGTCTGCAGTTATAAAACTAACGTTACAGGAGGTACAGCACATATCCTAGCGGGTTATTGTTTCGATGTGATTGAATGTATAACAATACTGATAATACCGTAATTTATTCTCATCATGATGGGGAAGCTGATAACCCTTTGCTTTTTTTTTTGTTGTATATGTTAATTAAAGATATTTTAAAATGAAAAATAACTAACCAATTGGTCTGCTAATTGAAGCACAGTCTTCAGGCTAAATTTTCTGGAGCAAAAATTGAACAAATCTTCCAAACTTGGGCCCAAAAGTTCCATCACAACGACGTTGTAATCACCTTCAGTACCCCACCATTTTACAGAAGGTATGCCAACTGTGTTCAAAAGTAAGGCAAATAACGTATGAAAAATTAATCCGATCCATCCAAAAAGTTAATCGTAATAATAATCATATTGCGGCGTAATATCAATTTATTTTCGGTTATGGTTGGCTCAACGTTAAATTAACAGCTAATATGGTGTTCTATCCGATTGAGATAGATCAGACCATAAAATATTAGTATATGCCAACATAAAATGATTATAATACGCGTATTTATACAATCAAATCAGGTTGGATAATTTGAACTTGATTTATATTAAGGAAATTGTGTAACATGTGTCACAGTTATTCTCAGACTGACCGTCACTAGAACGGCACAATATAGTGCAAGTTCACTTACCGCCACCGGCCATAATCTTATAAAATTTCCATTCGATATGAAGTTGAGGATGTTTGGTAGTAGTACATTCTAACTTGATAGCTACCTCGTCACCGGTAATAATATTGGTGCCTAATAAATTATAATTCATTATACAGCATATACTTTAATGGCAATAGTATAGCAATCAAGAAGACATATTGAAATGGACCAATTTTTTTCGAGCTAAATCCATCATGTATGTATTTAATATCACTAATAATTAATTAATTACTGTGCATCATTGTATTGAATCACTTGAGCTAGTCCACTCATATTGAGATTTGGATGTGTACACTTGTACGGAATATTGTAAATTGTACATAAACCATATTTGCTAATTTATTCCATATAGAATTAATCACTAGACTAACAGCGATTAAAATAGCAGTACGATATCCAGAGAGAAATAAAAAAAACAGTGAAAAATGAATATGCACTCGTGAAGTATTATATACTGTAAGTTCTACTCGAATGCATTTATATGTATATTTTATACTTGGATGGATTTGTAACATGCACGGTGACGTCTAAATTGATTTCTAGTTTACAGAAAGAGAAAAATTATCATTCTGACTACAATCATACTCAAGCTGGAGATAGAGAAGGAAACAAACATACTGTACTGTGTACAATATACATAGCTAATATTAATAGTATAGTCAAACAAACAAGTTGGACGGGTTTAAGTACATTAGGCTAGTTGTCGATGATTCTTTTTTTTTTTCTATTTAAGTAGAGAAAGAGAAAACTAAAGAGTACAGTCATTTGTAGTATTGTTGATAGCGAAGTGGAGGGTAGTTATAACAGATATATGGAAGAGTCGCATGAAGTTGTAATTATTAAAGTGTTGTATATACGAGTACGCGTAATAATTATCTTTTACCTAAGTAAATGTCGCCAAAGGATCCGCTACCAATCTTCCTGCCTAAGCGGTATTTATTGCCTACTCTTAGGTCCATATTGTGAGACAAGATTAATGCCTTTGCTACTCAGTAGTCAAAACGGGTTGTTCAGGAGCATAGAGCTGTTTATAACATGAACAACAAAAAGTAGAAATATTTGAATACGAGTACAGCATCAAGATAGTCATCGATACAAAAAAATATAAATAACAAAAACAGCTCAGTCAGTTTCTATCTCTGTCCCCCCCAAAAAATATTCACAGTAAACTACGAAAAAATACGGGTTTGAATAAATGTATATATATACGCTAGTATTGATCAGTATGATAATATGCATCCATGCCCTTCGTCAAAATCATTGATACTCAATACTATCATGCGTCGATTGTATCGTAGTGTTTATTATTTAGGACAATTTCTACTGTACTTGTGAGTTACGGTGTAGGCTGTCATTCTTCTTCTTTTTTTTACTATCGGCAACTGCTTGATCTCATATATAAGATTGTAATCCATTAAGATAGAGGCTAGCAATCGATACATGAGTAAAATAGTACAAAAGTATAAAATGCGACGGTAATATTATAACATTGAACCACTACTGTAGTCAAGTGAGTAGAAGGACACTCAATGACGCCTTTAGTCCAGTGATATCGCCCAAAGGCAATCTTTCTTTGATACCCCTTCTACAGTACTGTAGTGCGAGAATGGCGATAAAATAAGAGATAAGAATGGAAAGAAAAGGAAAGGGACGCGATCTGATCAGCCAGTCATAGCGTACACAGCGTTATAATCCAAATGCTCTACAGTATTGATCAATCCACACATTGAAGAGGGACTACTAGGCAATATCCTTTTTCCTCTTCCAAACTACCGACTGCTAAATCCCTCCTACGTGAGTAACCTTCTACTCTTTGAAGTCATCTACAGTATGTTTGACTGAAGACAATTTTACAATAAACAGCAATTGCTTGATACCTACAAAAAGGATAATCAACCATTGAACGTAATGAATATACTACAACTGGATCGATACCATTAACCAATACAGAATTAGGCTACCATACAAGGTTGAATAAGTCCAGTCCAAGATTGAAAAGAGGAAAAAATAGCTAGAAATGAAATCTTTTTTACTGCTCTTTTCACAGAATTATCCTACTGCCCAAAGTCTTCCTCCTACTGTAGTTAGTCGGTACAGTTGCAGTTAAGCGGTGAAAAAGATTTTAATGCAGTGCACAGTGGGCTGAGTCAGACTGGTAGTTGATCTGCTTGGTTACAGTGTGATTGGCTTGACCGTACTGTATTGGTTCAAGCCTCCTGTGTGACGTTTTGCATTGACATTGGTTAGCTTGTAGCAAGTGTACCACGAACTCATAACACCGGTACAAGCATTCCAGTAGTCCACTCCTAGACACATCACTGGCTTGAAGTTGACGTCCTTGACGCTACCAGTGTATCAAAGCGAAGCCGTCAATAAACATTGGGCTTGTTGGCATGTTCGCACATTGTCACATACTGTACTGTAGTGTAGCCAGTCATGTTCATGTCACGACTACATCAGTATTTGTACCGTCCATCTGTACAGTGTACAGTGGATTTGTACACGACACTATAGTACAATATACTGCAGTATACTGTACTGTACAAGTGTACAGTAGTATAGTGTAGTGTATGTACAGTACACAGTCCAAAGAGAAAAAAACAACAGCGGCAAAGCAGTCATAAAAAATGGTGACTAAAAGCGTACTGTACAAGTGTACATATTATACTGCAGTCATTGATTGCAGTGGGTGAAATGCAGGTAAAGAGAGCAGTCATCCACGGATGACCGGTAAATTTGGCCAAATACCGTCCACACAGCAATGGCTTCTTGCTCCACTTTTATCGCACTGAACCCCACTGTAGACAGTACAGATGGCCTCTTCATCAACAAGTGTACCATCATGATTAGAATTCAATTATTAATAATGAATCCAACATCACTAGTGTGATATCAGGCTTCCCTATTTGAGTGTTGTTAATGCAATTTGATCAATAAAGTTTTACGGATAGAGAAAGAAAGAACAAATGAAGGATACCTTAAGCAATTAAATCTAGCGTAGCTTAAAACGGTATCAAGTTCGAATGTATTACTGTAAATAAGTGAAATTACTTTCCAAATACACACGTCTGTTTCTATATACAGTACTTGTGATCAACTATCACGTGTTTATTATTCTATTTTCTGCTTATTACTGTAGCTAGTGGTGATTAATTGAAATGAGGAGGGTCTCTTAGTAATACGACCGTTGTCAGTGTACTGTAATAATGGCTGAAAAACGAGAAAAGTTAATACCGAACTAAACTTCTGGTTATTCTAGAAGTCTTTCAACGTGAAACAAGCAAGCGCTTTTTCAACATTGTAATATCCTACAAGGTCAATACAGGGTCCTTACGATCAGCATTCGGTCATATAATGCGTCGGGACGAATGAATAAGTAACTTTAGTAACAACGAACAACCCCTTTCAATCTTTCCATCATACTCGCTGCAATACTCAATAGTTGATGATCAATTAGGTGCTATTTAAATCTTGCTTCATTCATTTTTTGCTTACAGTATGCATATAATGACGTTGATCACTGATTGCAAACTCGGCATAACTTAGGATTTAAATGATTCGATAAATTTCCATTACATGACTCGTTAAATAAGCTTGAAGATGATCAAATCACCATCTCACACGTAAAGCGTCTCTATTCCACGTGATGATCGACTAATGCACAGTTGCGTGCTTGAAGTTTCAATAATATCATTAAGTACAAAAATTACTCGAAAGAAATTGAACACGTACTGAGTTGGTAAAAATACTAAATGTTATTTAGCTTGGTTATAATTTTACTAAAAAATTATATTGATACAGGCGTAATACTGCCGAAAGAGTTAACTTCAATCGAGAAACCAATAATAATTCAATAGTCTAGTGGATAATTTTATTCTCTTACATAATCATCCCCGTCGATTCTTAAATAATCATGATTACAAATGATCAGCGGACGTTAGACAGCATACCTACTAGTGATATAGCAATGAATTTTTGAACAAACGATACGATTTTTATACGCTTATTTAACATTGTCTGTAGAATCAAGGGAATATCATTTACACCGTGAAGCAAGTTTTGGCTTTGACATCATGTCATCGCTGTCGGTCAGGTCTATAATTAATGAATAGAAGATACTCTTATATTACCCTGGCTCTTATACAAAATCTTAAGAGTATCTTGATAGTTAACTGATCTTGTCCCTTTTAATGGCCAATAGTTACGGTATACACATAAATTTAAGCACTATGAGCGATAAGTTTGCAGCAAAAAATTCAATTTTAAAATAATCTCCTAAGATTGAAAATTGCTCTTGCATCGACCGACCTTGACAAACTTTCATATTTAATCAGACGGTATTATAAATTTGACATGTGTCGATACTGACATTGGTAAATAAATGTTGAAATGCATATTTCTATTGTCATAGTAGAAGTATTACCCAAATTTACCGTGTTGGATGCTTTTTCAAATATTTTACAAATTCGCTCGTAGTATCATACAACATTGTAATGTAATTACAGTTATAGTCTATAACATCACTTTACTCGATAGTTAAATTTTATCTACGGTAATCGCTGAAATACTGTGTATTTGCTATTCATAGCCAAGTTGGCGTAGAGCATTACCGATGTGCATAAATTTCGTCATAGGATCTAATCAAAAAAAATTGAACACTGAGACTACCATTTCTAAAGTATTGCCTGAAAGGCGAACCTGTCAATGATTACCGATGTCATAGATCCAAAGTAGCGATTATAGTACAGTACTAAAAATCGTTGTCACTATCATTTAGACTGTGTGATCTATCCTTAGATTCGATATCGTCATCGTCATCATCGTCATCGTCAATAATGTCTTCATCATCTTCATCTTCATCTACTTCTACTTCCAAACCGCTACCTTCAGACGATAATGTACCACTTTCCTGTAGTAACGAAGTAAATCATTTTGACGTATATGAGTGATGTGAAATTACTATTATTATGATGTATTTAATTATTATACCAACAATATATACAAATGTGGTCAAGTTATTGATAAGTCCTCACTTCAGAATCTGAACCATTACCAATTCTTCCGTACATCGCATTGTTGTTAACTTAATAAACGCGATAATTTATTAGTGGATGAAATTAATCTGTAAAATATCGTCAGACAAAATGCAATCATTTCGAATGATAAATTTACCTTGTTCGTTGGTACTGTCGTCAAGTTCTAACTCATCGTGATCGTCTAACTCTCCTGTTCCGTTAATTCTAATACCTTTCTGATAATTGCCGTAATCTCCATCATTGTCATCTTGCATTCTCTTTAACGACAACTCTGTTCGCTAATTTATCATTCCAAGTAATAATCATCATTTAAGTAAGTAAAGTTTGTTAAAGCAGCATAGTCTTCATAGTTAACGAAATATCCGTAAAATATATTTGTTACTTTAGGTTGTAATAGTAACAGATTTAAGCTTGCCAGAAATGTACCTCAAATTTCTCTTGTTCAATTTTATTGTTCTCTTCCAATTGTTGCTCTAGATAAACTAAGTTTCTATACTTTTCAAAATATCCCTAGATAGGTTAAATAAGTGTAATTAGCTTAAAATATTAGGTGTCATACTTGAGGAAAATGTTGTCTGAACTTCGAACTTATCGAAAATACCGTGTAAAGCTTTTGTAGTTCGGCCTCTAGTTTTTCAAATTCGTCCATAAATGCTGGTCTAAAGTCAAATTTTTAAAATATAAATGATTGTAGTATATATTTTAAAATCTTACGTGATATTAAATGTAAAAGGAAGGGAAGTAAGGAAGAAGTCATGATAAAACTGAATTCTCGTTAGCATAACTAGGATACCTACCTAACAGCCTGAAGACTTTTTAATCGTTTTTGATTTCTTTCTAGCTCTTGTTTCTTTTTTTGTATTTTCGCTTCTAAGTTAGCTTCATCTGAGGCAATATTGTTGAGCATTCTTTCAGTGTGTTGATGTTGCTCCTAATAATGAATAATTTTAATTTTTGCTGGGTGAAAATGTTTAACATCATAATTAACTTACCTCGACGGATGATACACTTTTGGATACCCTATCTTCGAGATCATCCAATTCTAGAGGTCTTGCAAGTGCTGTTGTACGCTGATCCTATGTCATAAATAAAAAAAGTAGGTTTACTTTTACCGTCAATAAATATCAAACGAACTGTCGCATATAACGGTTTATTTACTCTTAAATCAGGCTCTTCACCCAATAGATCGTATACGCTAGCTCCGCGCGTGGTAATATCCGACGCTAAATGCCGGGATTGCTTTAGATCTGTTATCTATATTCAGTGATTGATGATAATAATATTTTAAGATTAACTATCGATAAGGAAAAACGAAAGTTGACAAAATGAGCCAAGAATTTTACCTTATTAGAAATATCAAATTTTGCTTTCGCATTTTCAGAAGAATTATTTTCCTAAATAAATTATCTCAGTTAGTATCATTATTGCATCGACAATTATTGCTAACTGAGCGTTTAATCAACCTCATTCTGTTTGTTTGCCTTCATAGCATTGTATAATATTGTTGTAATCTTTAAAATTTCTTTGACAGCATAACCGTCGGCTCCATATAGCTTCTTGGTATTTAATTTAATGTGTGCTTTGGTAGCCTATCCGATAATTAAGATATATTATAATTCTGTAATATATTATCACAGAAAGCAACTTACAATACCACAACACATATAGCATGATCATTCAAATTCTGACCATAAGTTGGGCCGTAGATCGAATGAAAAAGATTCTGTCTTGTTCAGTATCAATATCGGAAGGTAAATCCAGGTTAGGATCGTAGCTAGATATCAAAAACATTATACATTAGGGGTTGGTAAGCCATAATGCTAGCTATTATGATATTCGAGAATTGTATCACCGGAAATCGATTCAACGTATAATTTTCAAATTTTGAACTTTTTAGGTGATATTATATCGCTATAGCAACTAAAGTGATGCAAATTCTGTGATAACTACATGAAATAATCAAAAATGTACTACTGTGTACGCCTAATACTTCAAAGTTTCAATTTGTCTTACTGTGTTAATTAAACTGATAACAGCATATCGTGAAACGTTTCATGATAAGTATATTCTGTATCGGTACCTGCTTTATTATTTATTGTATATCATTGTAACACTGGATTCAATGTACGAGAAGATTTAGCGTAAAGCCGAATTAAACAAGACGATATTGGCCGGTATTTCACAGATACTATTGGCAATTTAAGATAGATTTAAAACAACTAATCTCACCTCTTTATTAACCAAAGAAGAATTTCAGCTACCAGTGGAAAATTTGGTTGTCTAAAATTTTCCATTGATATAAGCCTAGGATAACCTAAGCTTCGCATCATCTCCGTAAAGTCTACATTACACAGTTAAAGTAGTGATCAATTTCAGTCCTTGTCGATATATTCTCTTAACTAGTACTAGAATTAAAACTATCATGAAATTTTGATCATGTACGGTAGTGATAAGCATTTTCATATTTAATTTACTTACTTCGTAGATCTCTGTATGACATTTTGCTACTATGTTAGGATTTCATCTGGTTCTTTTTTTACTTTGCATAAAATCCATGGAAACGGTGCTCAGTCCATAATGCACTGCGGCATTCGTACCGTTGACTGTCTACTGTCTCTTCTGTTGTACGGACTGTACTGTACTAGTGTACTGTAGGTCCAGTAGCAATCTTTTCGGTAACCAGCGAGTAACGCGTACAGATCAAAACGGTTTGAACCGAACCGAACCTTTCTCAGGTCTACGCGTACTGTACATGTACTGTAGATATAGTTACTGTACTGTACTGTACTGAACTCCGGTCGAACAAGAAACCATTATTTCAGCGTGTAGAACTGGTTGAACTGACCGTACACTTGCCGGTGACTGATAGTTTGTATTAAAGATTGCAAAGAAATAAATAAAATAACTCAATAACGCAGTAAAAAGTCAAAAATAAAAACATGAACTACCAATTGCTCAAGGTTGTAGTGACTTGTATTCGTGAAATTTTAGCCAAATTCAAAGTAAATAGCTTCAAAATTGGAAGACCTAATTAAGGGCTACAATATTGTTTTAAGGCTGAACACTGAACAGCTTTCAACTTTCAACCAAGGTCTCACCACGCCCATGAAAATGTAGTCTAAATACGATGCCCGATTTCTAATTACATTGGCCGTAACATAAATACAGTACTGGTTAATGAACAGGCAGCGCGACTTGTGAGACTAATGTAGATATCTCAAACATGCACAAGTAAAGAGAGATGGTAACTTAGCGGCAATGCCTTCATAACTCTTTCATAAAGAATTGGTTTTTTATGAAGCTATTTAAGCCATATCACAAATGCGTTTAGTTATCGGCGATAGTTGTCCGGGGAATTGAATTAACATTGGTAAATGAACCTTTTATTACAGTATATGTTTAATGTTATATTAAGGGCAATTCCTTGAATAACTGTCATGAAGAATTAACTTTCATAAAGCTAATTCTGCTTCCACCATATCGTAAATGCGTTTGGTTGTCGAGGGATAGTTGTCCCATAAGCAAGAATCCTCTTAGTCTATGAATTATACTGTACATTTCATCACTAAAGATTTGATTGTAACAATAGCTTAAGTAAACATAAAATTCTGGGTATTCGCTAGGATCCTCGTACAAGGTTAATTCTTCTGAGATGTTTAGGCTCGCGTATGGATTGGTGAAAAAAAAATTTTAGTAGTCTATGGCTTGTGTCACAATTATCATTATTTTTTGCGGAGTAATGACTTGAAGTAACTTTACAGTTTACAATATACAAACGTGGCGCCAAATTTTGCTATATTATATCAAATACATAAAGCTATCATGTATCTTGCATTTGATGTATTCCCAAATAAAATAGAAAAAATGGACGCAGCAGTTCTTACGTTAAAAGGTACGTTTACACGAGCCGTGTGTAACTGTTACAAGTTTCAAGATTCTAACAACAGCGCATTTACAGACGCTCAGCTTTTATTGTAAAAGATAACGTTCTATAAGAAGAGCTACAGTAAAGCATTTCGGCCGGTGATGTGCTAGAATCATAATGCCGTTAACTCAAATGATCTCTGATTACATACAAGAGTTAGTCGATCTAAACATTTTTGTTAAGTGGGTACAAATACAGTACTAAGGATTTAGTAGTAAACCACGTCGATCAGTAATGTTAATCCACACAATAACTTCGATGCTAGAAAAGTATGAATATGTTTCAACTGGAACGCTGTATTTTAGGCTATTTCTAGCCAACTTCTGTTCACCTTAAATTTAACGGTCTTAATCAATGCGTGCAGTGCATAATCATCGCGATTAACAAGTAGCCATTTTACTATACGTTATAATATTACACCATTGCATGTTATACCATACGAGCATGCTGATACAGATCGATGCCTTTTGCCAAATCTAGTCGAAGTACTACTCTTGTGATTGTACTGTATATTGCACAATTAGAGGAACAGTATGAAATTAAAGTTATATAAACTTAAATTTTGATGAAAAGCCAGATCTTTCCATAGAGATCCACGTTATGCGCGTGTTAGGTCGTGTTCCTTCTCATAGTTGAAAACGAAACACTGATCATATATCAAATGCGAATGAAGTGATAAAGTTAACAGTGTAAATAGTTAAGGTAATGTTTTAATAGACACCGTATATGGAGTAACAAAACCGATTGATATTCAAGGTTCTACAACTAGAAGGTATTTAACGAAATATATTTAAAATTAATCTCATTTTGCTTAATGAATGTAATTCTCTATAGATAGCTTAATCTTTCAGTTAAACCAACGAATAAATCAAGATCCAGTGAAAAATACTGTACAAATGTATGATACTACGTACGCATGCATGCTAAAAGAAAATTTGCTATACTGCACAACTATCCGTATTTCACATATAAGGTTGATTGCGCACTATGGTACGGTGCTCGAGCTGCTATAGTGGTCTGTAATGGCATAAATTTACTTTAAATACAAGTAATTTTGTTATAATAGAGTAATACGTGTAACAATCAATGAAGTGTTTTGTGGCATTCATCTAACACTACATCGAGGCAGATCATTTTATTATATGTATTGCAATTTATTAATTTTAAATATGAATCTCAGGGTATAATGGGATCGGATGCAATCAATATTATATACGCGTACGTACAGTATTGCACTATACAATGCAAGTTTAAAATCAAGCTCTTCTGCGATCACAAATATAAAGTAATCTAAATTGAATAGGCCTCGCATCTTTAATACAACCTATACTAACGTTACAATTACTGTATAATTCCATCTGCCAACTATCGCAACTAATAAGTTGTTAAGCAGACGATAACCAACAACTCATGTATAAAAGTGCGCAGTAACTGCTACTATAGTGTTACAGATGAAAAGTTATATGATATTTGAAGTTTATACCTAAATATTATTACATATGAACCATATTCCTATGGTCGTTTGCAGGTGAATTGAACCGCGATGCATGTTCATAAAAAGTAGAACATAAACAAGATAACAATGTATAAAATCTAATACGTATAAATCATACATTAACGAGCGTTATCAGATATACTAATATTGTCAGCGTGAGTTACATCACTGTGAAACACTCAAATATAATACAATGAAATATAAAAGATCGAACCATATAAGTGTGAATTTACTGCATGGTATTCGCAAAGATGATTCTAGAAACTGAAGTCATTTCCATTCATTGTCACTATCTAATTTTTTGACATATTACAAGTTTACACAAATCATAAATTACAGTGAATCGTACAGTATACACAAGATATTTGCTCCGATAAAAATTAGCTCAAAGTGGACTGTGGAGATCATTAATCATAGCGTGCATACTAAAAAAATATTATCTTACTGAGATGGTGCTATTGAAATTCTTTATGGATGTTAGTTATCTCGACAACAATATATTTACCATTAGCCATAGTTGATTAGACAACTGTCCTTTGTACAGCATTTCAAATAAGTTTTATAACAAGTAACATCCAGTAGCAGAGTAGATTTTATATACAAGGTTAACTTATTGTTCCAGCACAAGATGGTCAATTTCTTCTTTGCATTCAGTTAATGAATTCAATCTTTTTTTAATAATTTTAGTAACTTCATTGCTACAGTTGTCAGCTAAAGACTGTGATAGTTCAGGTAATCAAAAAGTACTTGTTATTAAAGTTACGCAACGCGATCAAGCATTTAAAATATTATTTTACTAATAATTTGTATGAAGAAATGAAATTCCTCTAAAACTTCGCTAATTGAAAAGCCTGACTAATATAAATTAGTTACACTAGTCAGTTTATCAGAAGATCTATGATCACTAACCTTCATATAGCTCTTATGTTTAGCGACGACCTCTGCTACTTTGCAGATCTCTCGATCCATGTCACCCGTCGATATAATTATCTCTTGGTTAACTCTTTCTTGCCTACGAGAGTAGAGGTTACAAGGATTAAAAATCTTTGCAATTATACTTAAAAATAACAAATACTGGGAGTGATAATTTAGCACTTGACTCGAAATTTGATCTTACTCTTTCTTTAAGAGCTCTATTTCCCGGCGGATGCGATCACATTTACTCTCGCAATTGCGATCTTGAAGTATTTCATTATCAATATCTGTAACCTTGTCTTTTAAGCCTTTCTTTCGATCACGGAAATCCTAACATTTCATTAATTACGTAACAAGGCAGATATCATTTTAAAACTTTAAAATTATTGAAAATACCATGCCCAAAATTAGATACGAACCACTTTTTCGGCTTGAGTCTTTTCTTTAATGGATGTAATTTCAGCTTCCAATCCTTCATAACGGTCTTGTGTATTAGCAAGGGAACGCAGAACCTGTGAAATACAATTTAAAGTATTAATCAATATTTCTACTGATTAAATGCGGCAATAATTTAAATATAAGTTATGCAACAGTGAACTAAAGAAACTATACGTAAATAATATTTAAGTACATAAATAACCTCTTCAACATTCGCTTCTTCCGTCACTCTTTTAGAGTTGCAACGGCGAATCTTGTCCGAGAACTCTCGCTTAACTTGTGATATTTTAGGCTAAAATTGCAACAACACGAAATAATCATGCAATTGTATTCTATACAGCAAGCAAGCATACACGATAAGTTTATGACAGAAATACATTAGAGTTATCCATTTCAATTGAGTTTTCATACTACATTAGGAAGGTTTACCTTAACAACTTTCCGTTTTTGACTAATTAGATTTTTATTGATGCACAGCTCATAATTTTCGATTGATTCATTTTCCGAAGTAGAGGGTAGCACTTTTTTAACATGGCTCAAGTACAGCCGATAGGCCTCTTCATACTATATTTAATACATACATGATAATAACAGTTAGGTCACTTTTATTTGCTATAATATCGTAGTGATAAGTTTATGGAATAGCATATTGTATTGCGATACTAATTTAGCGCTTAATACCTTATCGCGTCTCTTCGTCAGTTTTAATTCCGAATTCCACAATTCTTCGTTACCTTCGTCTAGCTCTTTTTGTAATACATTGCAAAGGCTCTGTTTCTCCTTGATTGCCATCTTAATCTTTTCAGCAGCGCTTGCACTTAGCTTCTGTTCGCTAATTCTTGCCTTTATATTGACGTTATCGGGAAGATTAGAATTTGTTATTATTTTTCATGAAGAAATTTATACTAAACTAAATATGCCTACTTTAAGGTCTTTACTGAGTTCCTCCAGCGACCGAGTTTCGGATTCTGTTTAATAAACGAATTTAGGTTGTAGGTGACTTTATTATACTAATAGGTTATATTTAGGCAAGCTAAAGTTATGATATTATTTCCTACTCTGACCTAAAGTTTGCTTTTCCTCTACTTGTTTCTGTTCTAGCCTTACAAGTCGACTGTTGTGTAATTGAAGGTCTTGTATATATTTCTTGAATTTATTTCTTGAACAGGAAACGATAGTATTACTATCAAGAAGCACAAATGCTAGTTCGTACTAGAGATTACCTGTCTTCGATTAGGATAGCCTGCTTTTTCTGTAAGTTATCTACAGATAACTGTAAATAGTTTACCACGTAGAAAGTAACAAAGTTTGAGTTTGCATATAATATCAAGGAAATACGTACATAACGTAATAAGTAGGTCATACCGGATCATTTTCCAGAATAGATAATTCTTCCATTTGGTGTTCAATATGAGTTTCAATAGAGCTAATTTCTAACAATTTATACATTAAGACAGTTTTAACTTACTGCGTAATTCCGACAAAGAAACAAATATGCAACTTACTTTCACGAACAGACTTCCATCTTCTATCTAAAAAAGTACACATAAACAATTAATTACTAACGTTCATTGTAAATACACAATATCTACGACTATAGGCAGTATACGAATTAGTAATTAATTAACAGGAAAAACACCTAATTCTTGTTGCAAGTGTTCTTGCAGTTCCGGGTAGTCATCTTTCCCAAGGAGAAATTCATTGTACCCAGTTGTCATATAATCATATTGTAACTGTGAATGTAACCGATTGTAAGTACCGTATACAGCAATTAATCTCGGAATAAATAACACTTAGAGTTATTCCTTACGGCTCTATCCGACGCAACCACCTCACCAGCCAATGAACTGGTTGGATCGCTATCAAGAAGCATAATTTCATCAATTTCAAAGAGCAGTGCCAGCTGTTATAGTAATGTGAACAGAATCCAATAAAAACTATTAATAGTAATAACTTTGTTAATTTAGGGTATTATCAACATTACCTGAACTATTTCTGTAAGCCAGGTTAGTGCTTGTAGGAGTATAGGCCATGTATGGGGTGTGCCAACACTGAACATGAAACTTTTAGAAATAGTAACTGGATAGCTACAGTGAATGATAACAGCGTAATATTTAGGCCTAGTTATGTTACTCTGTTTCAGTTGAAGTTTACACAGGTGCTACCTAAAATAATAGTACCCACCTATCCAAAACGTTTGACGTTTTTACTTTTAATTATACTAATAGAATACAGCAGTAGCAGCATACTCACCCTAACGATCTGAATATATTTGGTACCTCTTCTTCATATTTTTTACCAATTGCAACATTAGGAATTATAAATTGGTATATAAACTAAAAAATTAATGTCTTAAGTTAAGTAGGGAAAACCTTAGCTTAATTTGATAGGATAAATTAGAAAAATACTTCTAAACATCGGAGTTGTAAATAGCTCGAGAATTATGCTACCTAATAGATAAGCATGTTCTAATAAAGTAGCAACTGATTATTAAGTATAATAAATATAGATGAATTACCTGAAATACACGTATGAAATCATTAGAGCTAGGTGACATTAGATTCTTGGTAGAAACTTGATGAGGGTAGGAATTCTCAATGAGAAACTAATGGCGAGAACAATGGTTAAAAGTTAATATACAGTATTAGAAGAGTATACCTGTTGTAAGGATATAAAACGAATTGGCATTTGACAAATGCCTATAATTAATTATGCAGCCGTAGCGCAACATTTTTAACGGTTAATATTCTTAAACTTGCAAAAGCAACTATCAACTGACCTCCATCAACTTCTTGATACAACGTTGTTGATAACCTTCATGTTAAGCAATAAATGAGAATTGTGTTTAATTTACAAAAAGAATCGAACTGATGAGATTAATCGTCGTTAACGAAGACATGTGCAGCATGATTATTTTACAAGAAATATTATACATGGCATTGATCTATTAGTATTTCTTGAACATGTTAGCTACTAAAGATTTGATCAATCTGTTATCATAAGTTACCTTTGTCTCTAGGATTCGGTAATTTGACGACTACTCCATGACTCGATCGTCGCTGGCTGAAATATTAGACAAGAGTAAGTATTTAGGAGTTTATGGTAAATTAACATAATGTTTCGAGATTGGTCAGAAATCATCTAAATTATTTGCGTATGTAATTCACTCTAGATGAAGCTAGTCATAAGAAAAGAGAAGTTTTGTATAAATTGCAATCATTAGCTTCGTTTTATAGACATAGGTGGGTATCAGCTAATCGTCATACTTACATTGTTTAGGACTGTATCAGTTTTAAAGATGTACACTGTACACAGTAAGTATTGCTAAATTTTAGCCAACCCAGCACTATACTACGGTGTATTAATTAGTTAATAGTAGCACTTTTATAATCACATACGCATGCATAATTGAACTGAACCAAGATGATATTTCTTGCCTGAAACGAATGGCATTTTTTTATGAATATCCTAGCAGTCTATACAGTTTATATAAATCGATTGAAAGTTTGGATATGTAGCAATTTTTACTTGTATAACTATCAATGATAAATTGAATTCTGTAACGGCTATTTCTGTATCGATAAGCATAGAAAGTATAGGATACTGTATTGTAGTTAGCTATCGCAGTATCTGATAGTTATTGGATGAAAAATGAGCAGAACTTCGATTACTTCACTTAACATAACATACTGTACTAGTGTATTGTAGAGTACTGTAGGTTTCTATTGCTATTTTTCATTTCATTTCACATTGGACAGCTGCAATCTATGCTAGTTGGGATCGAGTTGTATTATAGTGTAGGCTGCTGAATATGTATACGATACCATAAAGTCATTATCGAACTTAGATTGATTTTCAAAAACGATCGTTCTATTTAATTTTACAATATATTCATCTTCTTCTCTAAAAGTCAAGTACTGTAGTAAGTAGGACTATAACATTACAATATTCAATCGTTATTGACTATGTGCACAACTAGCGTCATTTTTCATTGATTTTCTACTTATGAACACTATTTTTCTGATCAAGATTCCGGGCACTTGACAGAATTTGTCGATCCAATATAGGGATCGCTTTGCGTGGATGAGCATGTACGAGCGTAGCAATAATACTCCTTAGTATGTGAATGACGTCGACAAGAATGACCACAAGTGACAAACTAACATACCCGTTGGCTCTAATATCTTGAGAAGAATGCAGAATCTTGTTGACTTCTTCTTGATGCAAGTCTTCTGTCAATTTTATAGTTTACACCTTCAGGTCAAATTTCCCTAACAAATTATCACTGTGTTGCAAACTCAAAGCTACAAAAGTTGTTGGAAGATTAAGGAAGGTAGTCCAGTCTTCCCCAGTAGATTCTATCACATCAATATTGTAGACGGTTGGATTGGTCATTCAGGCCGATTCAGCCCTTAGTGATGACAAGATATTGCGGTATGGTTGAAAATGGAGTGACTGGTGGTGTTGACTGAAACGCCAATGATTGACCTTACCGTCCTGTTGGTGACGTAGTGACACATGCGTTGTTACAACATCAATACGACGACGGTATGGGTACAATCGAGTATTTACAGTTGACTTGTGGCGGTTATTTTTTTTAAAATTAAAAAATTCCTTACGCCTGCGTAGTGAGGAATATTAGCCTAGCACGAGCAAAAAAACAACGTCTCTATCATCACGGTAACGCTGTACTATTTATACGCTATCATGTACTGTACTGTATCACTTTCATCCCATTGAATGGGAAAATCACTCACCAAAAAAAGCAAGTTTTCATTCATTATTAATTAATTTCGATTATTAATTTTCGAAATTAATAATGAATCGAAACTTGCTTTTTTGGTGAGTAATTTTCCCTTTAATTTAGTTAATAGCATACAGTACTGCACTACTGTTATACAGTACAGGACAGCGCAGTAACATGGACTTACAAGATAGTATATTCATGTCAAATACAGTGCAATATATGTATAATCATGGACTACTTACAGGAGACTAGTTCATAATTATAATCCATACTATAAATTCAATAAGTTTAACTACGGTGATTCTACGACAAGCTAGAAATATGTACAATAATAAATATGGTATATGAAATATACATTATAAATTCGCTCTGTTATGTTTGTACGTTTCGGAAAATCAAATATACGTGTACGAACTGTACTGTTGATTACCCAAGTCTTTGCAGGGTTGGCTCCTTTCAGGATTCGTTTGGTAAATAGTACTACTGTTAAGATATCTTTTACTGTATGTGTTTTTAGTCGCATGGTTAAAGGACATATTTAGTACTGTAACACTACTATACAGTATGTATACGTTAAATACTCTTAATACACAATTAGTCGCTAATATTGAATCACTATCTAATATATAATATATGTATGGTTATAACGCAGGACTATAAATTAAATTATTAAATTTTAATTTAATTTGTACAGTACATGAGTAGGTGTACAGTACACTATACAGTAGTTAAAGTTCGTACTTATACAATGCCAATTGTATTTTAAGGTACAGTATTACAAGTATAGATTGTTGAAATAAAACATGTCCATAGAAGTACTATACAAGAAAGCCATATCTCTATCCGAGAAAATTGACTAATCTAATTATAACATAAGCAGTACGCTTAACTTTCGAGCCAAACTAGTCTACCAAACCAAGGTTGTCAAATGCTACAGCAGAAAGGTTTCTTTCTGACCTCTAAATGCTACGATAAAAAATGGACGTATATCCTACGCTATACTATACTGTAGTCAAAAATATTTACGGTCAATTCAAAACTTTTTTACCCTGTAAATCATAAATTCACTCATGTTATTTATAGTATCTTATTATTATTGCAGTATCACTAGAAATAGGACATCTACACTATACTAAGCTCTTTTATGGTTACATCACAATGAGCATATCTCAATTATTCTAAATTCTACTGTGAATTTAACTTCACTGCAAATTAACAAATTAGCCCATAGCAACGTACGTGTATGTTGCGGTTTACGAAAACTTCAACAGGAAATCTAGTTTTCTTTTCCTTTTTTTTTGCCTTTTATGTTGATAAAGCTCATCTTGTGAATAAAATACGCAATTTGTATGTACATTTACTAATTTATTATCGAGAATTTATAAAATTACGGCAATAAATAATCTTAAAATAGGTCGGTTACTATTTGCTGTACGTATATTGTAACATGTTGACAAGTTCAGTACATCGCAAAGAATCAAATTAGCGACTAGGCATAACCCGTTTTCGGCACGAAAATAAACAACATAAATAGGCACTGTAAACTTGACGAAATTTTTCCGAAGTGAATCCATACAAAAACGGATTTATAGCACTATTAGTATTTAAAATATAACCTGTAAGAAAGACTATAACATTTGGTACATCTATTTGCAGTGGTATCAGAACATATGCCTGAATTACATAAGGTATATAACATATTACAAATGCTAAGTAAACGGAAAACATCATTCGTGTCATCTGTACCTCTCTTTTATGCAAGCGAGAATACGATCTAGATCGAGTTTTTCCATGTAAAGTGACTGTGGTACGCCGCATGTTTTGTCTCATGACCATATAAACCCTTAAATAACAATACCCTAAAAGGAAGATGGGTACCATAATATCCACCGTTATTGCAAATATCGGATAAGAGATTTCCATTGTAATGTTAGGCAAGCATAAAAGTTGCATCTTATCATATGTATAGTGGTTCCATCCCAAAATGGGTAAGAAAGCTATTAAACAAGCATATAACCAAATGACTAAAATAGCTGCAACTACCACTTTTCTGGTAATCCAATGTTTCATGGAGTTTACAACAATAAGATAACGGAATATTCCTGTCAAAGTCAATGTGAAAATTGTCCCGACGTGGAAAGCTGATAACATAAATCCACTAACATTGCATATAACCCGATTATACCCCCAATCAGGTGTTAATAATCCACAAAGAACAAGTCCATCTTGTATTCCTCCTTTTAATATATCCGCAATGGCTAGATTAATTAACAAATAGTTTACCGGTGTTCGAAGTTCGACATATCGATGGAATACTCTCAGCGCCAAGGCGTTTCCTGAAACGGTGACTATCATTAAAATCACGTAACTTAGAACAGATATAACCGTAACGGTAGAATAGCTCTGGGAGGTAATATTTGATGTAGTGTCGTTAACCATATTGAAATTAAACAAAATCCGATGAATTAGCGAACTATTAAAATATACTTAAATATAATTTAAATTTTTTCCTAACATAGTTGAAAAATTGCTTATGAATGTAAGCAAATGTATAAATTTTGACCCTACAAATCCATACTCCTGTTACTATTAACAGCGTATATTGAAAAAAAGAATCTTGTAGTATACTCTACATCGCCAAATATGTCAATCTTTGTACTTTATCTCTTTTCAACACCAATCGCTGCAATCTGTTTATTTTACTCCTAGATCATAGAGTTTACGACTGCAACGATATTTACAGCATGCCATATCTATTTACTATTAATGTGAATTTTCGACACAATAGTAGTGAATGTGTACCAGGTACAGATTTGCAAAAGGATTGATAAAATATTAATAACGTACAATTTCTTGTAACATCGAATCTGTCACTCAATCATAAACTTTGGTATGAATTTAGTAATTGTTCAGCTATGATACAATTAAGAACCAATGAAATTGACTTTATATCCACAATTATAGGTTAGCTTATGCAGCTCTTTCGCATAAAATGACAATGTTATTCAGCCAGCTTAACATATCGAATTTCGATTTATATATTTATGAGGAAGCAACAGCAACAATAATACTTCATGAATAAATACTATATTATTACACGAAATCAGTTTTAGATAATTCAGTGATGTATTACCATATCGAGTATAATATCTGGGATCTAGGACTGTAATGAGTCAGAGTTGGCCGAACCAGTTTAGCAGCTTAAAGTGATAAGTGTTCAGAATCAAGTTATCTGATTTACATCGTATATTGCTAAGATGTCGAATAAAATTTACTGCACGATTCTAACCCTATTATTATTATATTATTTTTGTATCTATAAAGGTATCGACATCAGTGATAAACATAACATTAAGATTTAAATATTATGTTCTAAAATGTTATACGCTAACACAACATAGGGATAATGGCGCATCATTTTGACAACGCATCTGTAGAAAATAAGAAAGGCAGATGACAGCTATAACTCATTGACGAAGTATTAATTTGAGTTCGCAGGTGTTTTCGCCATCATTAATGACAATTACAAATGTCATCATTATGGTAAGTCAATATCTTTAGTCTGAATAAATCATGGTAACTAAATCATAAATGATTTAATCCGACTTCTCTATATCAGGTGCATTTAATCTACTAATTTTTGAGTACGTTATGATGTTGTATAACGCTAAACCTTATTGGATATCAAGAAAGCTAATTATTAATTTCTTTATCAATGTGTCTTTAGTCGCTTGCCACTCATTTTGCATACATAGACAGACTTAGTGGATAAATTTCCACATTTTATACCTTTATGCATTTACGCGTATTATGCATTATAATTGCTGTTAGATAAAGCCCGATATGCCCGTAACTTATACAGAGTTTTAACAAGAAAATTATTGTTCGTTTTCGGTTAGAGTCATCATTTGATATATCATAGCAAACTTTCTATTTTGTGAGCAACTATTGTACAGTATAATCTAAATTTAGAAAGTGAGTACAGCATCTTGTAATGATCAGCACTATGCTGTATTTACTATTAAATATGACAATCTGATTTGAGTTACAGTTAGAATAATCACGGAAGTCCTAAGAGTTAAGTGTAAACAAATTTAGAATACAATAAATACATGCGTATATCTGTTATAAATATACAGCCTATTTTCTAGGTTTTTACGGTGATTTACATTTCAAAGGTGATAAAAGATTTATTTTAACCGAGTATTTCTATTATTTAAAAGTGTATATATACAGAGATTGAAATACCTTACCGGATTGAACATATCATTACTTCGTTTCGCATAGGCGTACATTGTCCGAAGTAAAAAATTTTACGATTAGGTAAGGCAAATTTTAATTTAATTCATCTTCAACTGACGTTAGGGTCAGTAGTGTTTATTAGTACATAAAGACAGTACAGCAGCTGCAAGTAAAATATAAATACAGTTTAAACGAACTAATTACTATGCAACTATACAATGCAAATACCAAAAAATTTGACCTTTGACTACTGCACTACACAAGACAGTGTAACTTACTAAGATCAGTACTGAACAGTCAGTACTTCTGTAAATAAATTAAATATTTCGATTAATTATCTTTTCATGGATGTTTGGAAGAAGAAAAAGTAAAATAAACATCCTTTATATATGACATGAGCAATGATAAGTCTTTTCAGATTTGGCGATTTATTATACAGTTAAGAATCGGCTTTAAGGCTTTCATGCGTTCCATATGCGTGTAAGATCAGACGGCACAGATTTATTATGGAAAGGTTTCTTTGCAAACTCCAAGGCAAGCAGTTAAACTGCATAGAACTTATTACAATTTTTAGAAAGGATGACAGATAAATTATATAGCGAACTAATCAGATAAGCGTAGCATATGATTGTAATATGTTGTTTTAACAATGCTGAGCACAATTCTTCTTAACTACAAGGGATTATCCTAATGCTTAATAAAAGGAGACTTTTTTTGAGGGACTGCTGATGTGCGCAATCTTGTCCAAGACGATCGACTCAACGTCAAGAAGATATACAAATTAATATTAAACGTTTAATCACTGCTGCCACGTTGCAGTTTGCAACAATGCATCACCGTAATAAATAAATAAGTAACTTGTTCCCAAGTAAGTAAGTAAGCCATCAATAAATAGAAAATATAATTATCAGCTAAAAATAATACCACCCAGGACATGTGCAGAATTACTGACATCACGCCAGAATGAACTCAATAGTATAGACTATACATCACACGAGTAATTCACTCACCAGGCCGGCTCGATCGGGATGAATTACCACAGTAGTAGCAGAATATTGCCGTAATAAATAAACTAGTAACTTATTCCCAAGTAAGTAAGTAAGCCATCAACAAATAGAAAATATAATTATCAGCTAAAACTAATACCTTGCAGGACATGTGCAGAATTACTGACATTATGCCAGAATAAATTCAATAGTATGGACTAGCATCGCTCGAGTAATTCACTCACCGATCGGGATGAATCACCACAGTAGTACCAGTATATTGCCGTAATAAATAAATTAGTAACTTATTCCCAAGTAAGTAAATAAGCCATCAATAAATAGAAAATATAATTATCAGCTAAAAATAATACCACGCAGGACATGTGCAGAATTACTGACATCACGCCGAAATGAATTCAATAGTATGGACTATGCATCACACGAGTAATTCACTCACCGGGCTGGCTCGATCTGGATGAATCACCACAGTAGTTAATACCAGTATATCGCCGTAATAAATAAATTAGTATCTTATTCCCAAGTAAGTAAGTAAGCCATCAATAAATAGAAAATATAATTATTAGCTAAAACTAATACCTTGCAGGACATGTGCAGAATTACTGACATCACGCCAAAATAGATTCAATAGTATGGACCAGTACCGTCCGTTAGTCCGTACAATGTGATACGGTTTAACGGCGCGGCGTTCAGTTCGTTCAGTTTGCAATACCGTAATAAAAACGCTTGAATACGCGTATTAATGCAAACGATTCGCCTTACCTGCCTGCCATAGAAATCTCCATGGCGTAAGCTATGGATTGGGTAGTTTCTTCAACAGTAAAGTAGAAAACTTCTAAAAAACCACTAAGGCAATTTTAAAGCTTTCAAATTTCGAAAGTCCTTTTTTGTTGTCGGGAATTATCGATGGTCTACTCTCGCTATAATTATAGTATATTCATCATAGAAGTGCGTACAAAGACAGTACTGAGATCGAAAATTTTAATTAGTGAAACTGTGACACGTCAGTAAGTTCACAGATATTTTAATTGTATGAAAGGATTGCTATATCGATCAGCTTGGAACTTTTTAAACTATTTGCTTATTAACCATACTGACTGTAAATAGAAGATTGCTGGTGGTTCGATAGTTAAAGTACTTAACTTGGCAACTGTATTACCTGAATACAAATACTGTCTATATGACGCATAGACATATTGTAAATTAACGGTAAATTCAATCATCGGCTTCAAGAGTAGGAATTGAAAGGGAATTTATTAGCCATTCTAGTTATTTGATTATTATATTTATTTTCGTCCAACATATACATGCATGTAGCCCTATTAATCTCTTGTTTACAATCAGGAAGGTACTTTGGAAGGCACTGACTATAAGTGTATATCTTTGAATGACGAAGGAAATTGAAGACTGGCTATCTTCATTCCACTGTCGAAAGTACAGTCGAATATTTGAATTAGCTGGAGTTCTATCATTTCAATCCGTAAGTATCGTGTAGTGCGTATGCTTATAATTGTACAGTAGTGAAGCTAAATCATTTAAGTCATTAGACATTTAGAAAATACATATTTATTTCATAGCAATCCTAACTTTGCTACACTTTACCTCACACTGCGTTCACAACATAATGAGGGTAAAAACGTAGTTTCAAATTTACTACATCATACTTTAACAAGCACAATACATTAGAATGCTGCTAGCATAAAATAGTTATTACTCAACACTGGTATGTAAACAAAAAAAATACTTTTACTATACTGTACTTGTACATACTAAGTGTGTGATGTTGCATTAATTAATGATATCATTCGCGAAACTGAGTAGTTCTGCACAGTACAAGGTATGGCCGTGATTAGTAAATAAATAAATAAATTGAGGAATTTATGACACCAGTACTGTAGTCAATAGTGTACTACAGTACGTAGTTAATTAGATAATCAGGTCTTTATTGTACCATACGTACATGTAAACTGTACACTTGATGCTAATGGGTATAATTGATCATCTTAACGAAAAATTGAAAACGGGTACCCAGGGCAAAAAAATTATGTACGTTTGCAATTCATAGAATTGAAGGTTATAACGTCATGATAACGTATAGGGTAGTAATGTAGTTCCTAATTTTGTACTACTATAGATTCGAACAATTCCTGTCTTTATATATACAAAACATAGAATCTACATACTTACAGCATTTGACAAAAAATGCTCCAACTTTAAATTGGGTGCTTTCATTGCGACATCCTATAATAAATGATAAATCTAAATCGTGCACAACTTTTGCCTCTCCCCTTTTAATAGCCCCTCTACTTTTACATAATAAAATAGATATATTATTATTACATCTAGATTATTATTTAAAAATAGACTGTAATATTATGCATTGATTCACTATATTTTATGCATTAGTTTACAGTATCTGCATTTTATAATCCTCGGATTGATAATATTCACTGTTAGTATGGAAAAAATAAATAAAAATGTTTTCAATTTTCTGCTCGGTGTACAGTACAGTACTGTACAAAGCGATGGTTTAACACACTGTATAGCACAGTATCCACTGAGTCGCGTTTCTGAATTACTGGACAGTAACTGTACTGTATAGCGTGATTAATTTCGTTTTAGAAAAATCAGCACATATCTTTGTGACTAATTTTGAAGACTAATTGAAAAATATTTCCATAAGGACATATCGATGGATACCAATTTTACTCCAAACTGTGTAATATTTATACGTTTTATTTCATTTTTCGCTTTCTGACCAGAACTTAATAACACTCAGTACTACAGTATTGAACCGGGCTGAATATATATGTAGATCATAAAGGTATTGAACCGAACCGAACCGGACCGGACCTTTCTCAGGTCTAGGACTGATCAATACAGTACAGTACCAAGTACAATGTACTGTAATCTCTCTTACGGAACTGTACTGTACACTGTACAGTACCGTAAGTATATCTAGTCGGAGCTGCAGTTTTAAAGCATTCAAATTAAATTATTCGTCAGCTTGGACAACATCGATATAGAGGTAATCAAATTTTCTGCCATGCCTAGGTAGCTGATAGAAAGATTTAAAAATTACTGAATCACCGTTAATACAGAAAGATAGATTATGCAGTGTTTCACCTTGTCAATTCACTTTGTGTGGATCGTAATATCAGGTTTTCTCCACACTTTGCATATACCTGTACAGGAGTTCAAATCTTTCACCCTGATATCACTCAGACTTGTTACCCTAATCGATATCATGTCAAGGTATCACTCGATAGCAAAGCATACTCTACCACATTAAATGGTGCAGAACCATATATATTCTATTCTATTGTCCATGCAACTTTCTTCTCCGTTTGTTAAGTTATATCACAACATGATACGAAACGGCATATTGTATGTATATACGAGCGTATGAAAGAAATTCGCCCTTTCAATGATCCTTAAACTAATCTACTATCAATAATACTCTGCGAGCCAGTAACCAATTTCCGATCACTTAAGAAACGAACAATATTTTAGACGATTACATTACTGTACAATGTTGTTTAACTCAATGTGTACGTACCTACTGTATGCATGCACATTATACTGTAGTGCTTTACTGAAGCATGGTAATACACAATATCATTTTATCATGTGGAACCTCTGGATCGTTGCCAATTTTGCTCACTTGTCAGCAAAACTTATTGTTTTATAAATCATCACACTTTCTACTATCGAACAGTGTACACTGTACAGTGCAACAACGACATTGTTTGTCTTTTAATCTAAATCTTACTCTATATGGCATGAAAGATGTAGCCATTACCTATCTACTAAAGGCTCGCCTCGGTCACGTTTAAACTTTGAAGCTACTACATTCTACAATTAAAACTACTTACATCAAGGCAATATGGATCACAATATTAGTTATTGAACAATTTTGTAGTAAGCTAACTGTAATAATAGATCATCATCAACAAGTCCTAGAAAACTACTACAGTACGGTAGATGTCGAATTTTAAAGAATGCAAAGATGATTTACCTTGTATCCGCTGACATGTGAGGTATAGAACAAATATTACAAAATAGTATCGGCAAGATAGAGAGTCAAACAGATGTTATGATTATAAATTTATCATGTTTTCGATGTCGTAGTAGATGTATCCTGATGGCCGTATTTTTAACACTTGCTTAGCTGCGATGTTTACCACGTCATAAAGTGAAGTCGTTACTGAAATGTGTTGATATTGGTGACGAAGAACTTATCTCTAACAAGATAGACAACATCATGCAATCAGATGATCAACAATCGGAATCTTTGCCGGAAGAGTTTATTACCAATTCTGATCAGGTAATTATACGCGTATCTCCGTATCAGCTAGATAGTTATAATTGTTACGTTTAAGGTAAGCCTGGCTAAATCAATATAATTTGTATCATACGAGTAACGTACAACAGAAAGAGAGTAATCTTTTCAACTGTAGCACATGTAAAAACAACTGTAACCCCTTTACAAATAGCATAATACTATTACAAACATTATCAAATATCAGTTTATTTGTTTCTATTACCGTAAGTGCAAGTAATAGTAAATACGCGAGTTGTGATGGAATCAGGACATTTACAGTGCGTTCTTCTGAAATCTAGATTGATAACCATCATGCATGCTACTTTCAGTACCAATTTTTGTTACTTAAAATCTGTGTGTTTTTTATACATCCATATCGATTCAAGATTAGAATGCTATCTCTGAACCACTGATTAACTTTGATATAATTATAATAAAGCGAGGACTGGACTGACTTTAGCAATCTCTAAACAGATAATTACACAACAAGATGAATTATCAACGCCTATAGTAAAGCGGAAGCGAGGTCGACCGCCTGGTAGTAAAAACAGAACTAAGGAACAAATACTAAATTCAAGTAGTAAAAAGGTATTTGGTGTCATTGATCCGGAAACAGGGCAATTTATTAAGAGGGGAAGAGGTAGACCCAGAAAAAATACGATTCCAATTATAATGGATAATTGTAAAACGACATCAAGTCATCGAAGAAAAGGCGAAAATCACAGTAGTAATATTATGAAAGTCAAAAATATAAAGCAATCGCCGATTCTATCCAAAAAGAAGACTACTAACGATAGTCATAATAGATACAGTGCGCCATCAGATGCAAATCATATATTACCATCATCGCATCTTATCTCTCAAAACAATAACATTGGCAGTCAAAGTAGTTTACTACCTTGTGTACGACCTAAACAATGGATCTGCTCGCTATGTGGGTTTCCCAGTAATTATTCCATCTTGGGTGCCCTATATGGTCCTTTCCACTACATGGATGGTCATTTTGTTAAAAATAATCACCAATCTCAACAATCAGTGAACCGACGACTAGACTCAACTGGTATTGTTGATAACCGAAATGCAGGTAGTAATATTGCAAATGTAACTTCTCTCTCTGAAAAAGAACGAGAAGAAATCTGGATTCACGAAGATTGTATAGTTTGGTCGCCTGGTGTCTATCTGCTAGGAGACACAGTTGTCGGTCTAGTTGACGCTGTTAGAGTTGGTCGAACTAATGTAAGATACCTAATAGATGCTGATAGCGAGCTAATTTAGAAGTTATAAAGTTGATCTATACAGTCCAATTATATAATTAATACAAGCGACATTAAAAAATTAATTGAATTATTTGTTACACTGCATTACGCGTATAATAGATAATTAATTGATCTATCATAGCCATCGACTAAATCCAAATTCAGGTCCTTGAGTGGTATAAGAATTGCACCTTACTTAAACAGTCATTTTACTAGTAACTGAAATTATCAAGTATTAATATACGATTTACCAGCTAGGAAATAGTAATGTCTAATATTCTTTTTTATTTTCTATGATAGAAATGCTCCGTTTGTGGTACATTCGGAGGTACGATAGGTTGTCTGTACAAGGGATGCAGTCGTAAATATCACTTCTTGTGTTCAAGGCAAAGCGGTAAGATACTATGGCTGTTAATATTTCAATAAAATTCTAGTCTTTCCTATTCTCGTAAAGTGACACTTTATTATTCATACAATGCGATAGTTAGATTTCAATATGATGCGCTACTATCAACATGCAGAATGTCTTTTGACTAGTTTATAGTTAAGACCAACATTTTTTATTTCTGGATTCCTGTAATACAAAAGAGTTAAAAATTTGCCTATTACGCAAAATTATGGGAACTAATGTTTCGAACAAGATCTTTGATTGACTAGTGTATTTTTCAGGCTATTGAGAGTAAGATTTATATCAGATGACTTAATTCATGTGTTTATATGGTCAATTTTTAGATTGCCTCTTGGATGAAGATAATTTTACCCTGGTTTGCTCTAAACACAAGGTATTATAATACCATCTAACTATTTAATTTCGTTTGTAACTCTCGCTATAATTGCAAAATACATATCGTACATTGTATAAATCAAGTGATTTTTTTAACACGCTTATCGTAAACAAAATATTTATCTATTATCAAGCTTAGTCTGTATACAGCTGTATAGTTATTCCTAAATTTGATAGCAAAAGTGAATAGTATACCTAGGATATATTACTAAAATTTGATATTGTCAAAAATCGAAAATTAGCATTTGGAAGCAAAGTATAGCACATGATATAATAAGTAGTAACTAAACAATTGCTGTAAACCATAATTTTGTAAACATACTTTATATATTATGCTATGTATAGGATTGCAAACATAATATGCAAGCGCTGTCACCTGATGCAATTACTTGGAAGAAGGCATTTCTAAAGAGTTAGTGTACAAAAATTTTGTAGATCCTACGGAGCTATTCATAGTGTCGCAATGAGATATTTACAATTATCAATTAATACCAAATTTAAACTTGTCACTTGACAAGAAATGCTTTATCGTATTTCGATGGCGTTGTCATTAATAAGGACATTCTTATTTTAGATAAAAAATCAAGAAAAGCCAATGGTTGATATCAAGCATGGAATCTAATATCGTAAATTAAATTTTATTTATCATTTCTAAATAATTTATATTCCCTTCACATTAGTAACGAGGCTATAAATGTGTAATTTCGAAAGTGATTGAGCTAATAATGACTAAAATTAGTATCGTAGATTGAAATTCAACAATCTACACAATTTTTTCCTGGTGCAAAAATTTAATTTAAACCTTTACTTATAATCAAATCGTATCACAATGTATGCAATGTTTAAATACAAATTTTTTATATCGTCTTGGCGTCACTTTCTGCTATTTCATTGTACATTTAATGTATTGCTCCTGAATTGATGTCTTTGATTTCTATAACAATACTACTGGTATTGCTTTTGTTAAATTAATTAACTGTTACAAAAAAAGAATGTATTACCATATCATGAATGCTTCTGCACAACAGGTCAATGAATTTCGAATCGTTTGATGTACTTCTTTATGAACATCACAGGTTCTAATCTATCTAAGTTCACCTAGGCATTATTTTATTTGCGTTTATTATTTGTATCCGTTATACTACTGCCCTAATCATTACAATGTGGCCGTTGTTATTATATGAAATAAAGTTACATTTCCGAATAAGTTATTCCAACAATTGTAATGTCTTATTTAAAAGTAGTCAGCAGAATAGTTCAAGATGATGTAATATTTAATTTAATTTTTATTCCTTATCCACATCAACGATCGTTTGCCTCATTTGGAAAGAAATACTGAATGTAGATACTAGTAATCATCTTAGATACTTCAATAAGGACTACTAATATCATTCCCCACACAAAGTCTGCTGTTAATGTACTTATAGCCTTATTTACCACATCGGAATTAAATAGAATTTAATCCACGAATTATCGCATATTCCACACATAATCTAATCCAGATGAAGTTTATAACTATGTTGCAAATGAAAGCGTATCTAAATTCAATCTTAATATGTTATAGCCATTCAAAGAATTTAGGTCACTGTTGCATCAGATCTTTTATACGACCCTACATCATTCCAGTTGGTTTTAATATTCAACGTAATACTCTATTTTAACGTCTATCTCCGATTTAATGGAAAAGGTCATTTCTTTTAATTAAGAAAGTATTTGATAACACACAGTAATCTAGCGCTAATCAATGTAGTACAAAATAATACCAGTTGTCAGTAATTTATTAATTCAATGAGTTGCTTTGACTTTTATAAATTTGCAGCTAATCATAGCGACTGCAAAATATTGACTACCTCAATTACATGTTATCCTCATTTTTTCTAAGCCCACAATATACGCGTATACGTATATTAAATCGAATAAAAACTAGCCGTAAATTAGATCATTAAAATTTTGATAATGCTTTCCTGTATCCAAGTGCAAAATGTTAAACAATTATTGCTAGTGCGATTACATGGTAAATAAAATTAAAGTCTTCTGGGGAAATATACCGTAAGTTGTACATCAGTCCAAAGGTTAACTGTAATACTTTGTTAAGATGCTGCTGTCAATCCTTAGAATCAGAGTAAGGTGTTATGACGGAATTGAGTACAATGGTGCTTTCACCTTGATATTCATGATCCGTCAGTTTCTACCATACAAGTAAGCATTGTTTACAATGCGGTAAGTCTCGATTATCAAAGCGTTTTTGCACCTCAGTAATTCCGATTCGTCTAACGATATCAAAAAGCAAGATTATAGACGTCACCATCTAACCCAATTTTGTCTCTTATTGCCAAAATAAACCAGTACAAATCGTAGTAACTTTTTCCAGGAATCATATCTCTATTGGTAATTAACACTGTTGATGATTCATTTGTTTGGAGTTGTAAAAGTTTACGACGTTACGTTACCGGTTATTCTGGTATAATACAAATGAACCACAGATATTTTAGCACTATTATAAATATGAGTAGTAAATTAACTTAGGCATGGTTATACTCTATTTTTATTATGGCCAGAATGATCTTTTGAAGATAGATACGTATATGATATATGTATATCAATTTGCTCGCATGATGATGACAATTGCAATCAAAAGTTTTGGAAATTTTTTGAACCGATTATATTATGGATAGGATGATGGAGAGAACTGTTGTTTGTAAGCTTATTTATTTACAAAAGCTATCAGTCTTGAGCCTTGTTCAATCAGTTGCTCATCTGGCTTTGATCGAACAAACAGAAAGCGAGCTAAATGATATCGATATATCAAGATAATTAAAATGATACAATCTATCCTTAAGCTTATTATCAATTCTATTCATAAGATTTTCCTATAAAAATAACAAACGTTATTATTGATCATGATTGACTGTTGATTCATCAATAAGGCTAAATCGCTAGCTGAATAAAGGGTGGTAACAGGAACGCCTCTTCATGAACTTAGCTCCATTGACGTCATAAGGGAGTCAATTAGATTAGCTCTTATTGACTTAACGGGAAGAGCGTGTAGACGCCTTTAATCGATTATACTTCAATCCTTTTCTTATCTGTAGCTCACTCTCCTATCAATTCTGACAAGTCTATTTCATTCGCATAAGGAAGGTAAGTATGAAAGCTTCTTGTAATATCTGTAATGCAGCGACTTGAACAAGATTTATCATCATAACTTATCGTTAATATTAGAGAAAGTTGTCTACAACAGAGATGTCAAGATTGAGCTTTTTGAATGGATGGAGATATAGGCTTTTATTTTAACACAAATACAATGATTTTCACCTTGCTTTTCAGTTATAATAAATATTATACCAGCACAAACGGCCCGATTTATCTAAAATCATGAAGAATATTTTGGTAATCCTTCTACTGGTTGCCGGATGTAAGTCTTATAGCTAGAAGCGCATGGATTTGATACCAGTGAAGTAATTATAATTACTAGTCGAAACTGATTAAACCAGTTATCGTAAAATGCTGAAATAGATACCGAAATTTTTTCCTCAACTATCAGAGAAGTTTCTCATCTGGACCTAATGGATAGTATATACAGTATTACTCCAGCTCCTACCGATTATCGATAATTACTGTAGATATCGATTTTATCATCATAGATATCAATGGTGATACTGCTGTAACTCTATTGACCAACTAACCATGACAAATTCTTTGCTCTTTTACTTCTTTACAATTTCAGTAATTATCAGTAACGATATAAGCTATAGCTTCAGAAGAATTTATTAGTGGACAAAATTATTAATAGATTAATCTTTATCTGGACCACATATTTCTTTCTATTTCAATCCACAACGGTGGAGAGAATCTATTGTCAAAATTAAATTATCGCTACTTTGACGAGTTATCACTTCGATAAAGGCATGTGATCTGGTACATTTACGGTATACTTTATCTAGCTAGCATTAACGAATTGCTCTGAAAATAAAGGATCAGAATCGTATGTTCTCATCCATTTTATTAGTCGTAATTTGCTTAGTATTAATCTCTCATGGCAAAAATAGCGATTATTCTAGCATGCCTTTTAAGTCATAGGCATCTTATTACAGGATATATTTATATTTTAGCTCAGAAATATCGCATAAAGTGCAGATTAGTAGCCGGATGGCTAAAACTGTGTCTTATTTACCCTAGCTACGTAAAGTGTTTACTGAATTCCGTCTTGCTTCCTAGTACACGTAGACGAGTGTAATAACATCAGATCATGGCAAGTGATGACTAAAGCCGGTACCTTCGGCGTATAGACTATGACACTGTTGACAAAATAAGTATCACATTAAATTAAAAGTATTTTTCCCCTATAACAATTTTGGACTCGAGACACCGGATAAGTTACAGCTTTGTAAAGTAACATTATTGCGTAACTACACTTTATTATCGTATATAGTATTTGATTCACAATCAGTAATTCCAGTTTAATGATTAGAAGAATAAAATGTTAAAATTTTGTTGCCACCAATGCTATAGATCTTTAGTCTATTATTACTGAGTGTTTTGTTTCCAGACTTCATTACGTTATACCGGCAATAGCCGGCATATTTTGATGATAATTGAGGGTAAATAGATTTTACACGTACTGAGAAAAAGAATTATTTTCGGTTCCTAGATCATTAATTTATAATAGAATTTAGTATTTTTATTGGATTCAAGGTTATTAAGCTTTTAAAATATCTTAATATTGCTACTCATTGCAATAAGTCATGCTTAATATTATTTATTATAATTACCCTAATATCATTTTATTATCGATTAAACGATGGGTATGCAAGATTAGTCATTACTATAATTGCACCGGACTTAGTATTGTGATTGATATAACACAACATCATAGTTTTATATCTAACAAGATTTCATAAAAATAATGATGAAGTTATGCTTTCAAATATAAAATCTTCTAAAATTTTATTTTTAATTTTGCTTATGATATCTTGCTGTTAATTAAATACATAACAATATTATGATAATATTAATATATCACGTAAAATAGGCTACTGTCTTATACTAAAGTACTATTTTTACCCTATATTTCATTAACCTTGAACCTTAACCTTTTGGAACATGGGTTAACTCTATCAAAACCAGTCGCCAGCTTTAATGAAGGTATGAAAGCAGTAACAGATTGTCTATATATTAAGCTTATGATTGCTAGGTAAACTGCGATGTACTATTTCGACGAAATTTCACGGGCTGACTTAATAAAAGTTAAATAGAAATAAGATAGTTAATAGTAAAAATTTATCGATGTAATAGCCCCATATAACAATTCAGGGCTGTAATTAGTTAAGATTACAATTGGTAGTGCAAGCCGCCATAATCTATGGATTGAATTAATTCTTTCCTAGTAAAATTTATCATGTAATACGTCTACGAACCCTTTTAACCAAACACATGCATTCCAATATAAATATGATATCAATACGGGACTTGTAGTCAATAATCCTCAAAATCTTATTGACATCGAAATCAAATATGAGTGAGATGCTTGTATTAATAGCGATCGTCTGTCGAGGATAACTTTCTTATCGTGATTTATATTCTAGTTGAAATCTGTTTCATTTACAATTGCCGATAAAATTTATAATAGCCAGTCTACAGTACACATTAAATTGGCTCTAGATATATACTCAAACGGAGAAGAGATATCGTATTAAAAATATCATCACGTCTAAAAAATCCTTATACCGTACTTGTAAAAACTTTCGTTATCACTAGCAGAGGCTGTAATTGCCTTTGACGTATACAATGGATAGCCTGTAAATTCAATTTGATTAGATGCCGGCTGTATCATGATATGTCAACAAATTTTAAAGACAGATCTAAATTTGAAATTATCAATATGATATCAATTAAAAATGTGTGAAAAGTAACATTTATAATCTTGTATAGACACTTGAGATATTATAAGTAAAAAGCTACCGAAAATAATTTTCACATGATAAATAGAGTTTAAAGCTTTTACAATGGCGATTTATATAGCTTTTCATGTACTGTACAGTGCAGTAAGCTATTCATTTTTAGAATAAAATACATTTTGCCAAGACAATTTTTACAGAGATAACTCTAATAATTCAGTAGTTTAGTATTTTATTCGTAGGTTAGATTAGTTCTGCTCGATAAATATTAGTTGGTAAGATATTAGAGCCTACCTATTATGCAATTTACCGCAAAATACATAGTGATGGTATTTCTAATGACAGTTAGTGAGTTCCATTATGTAGACGTAAAAATCAGATTTGGATGTTGCTAAAATTAGTTTACAGGAAATACGTGCATGTGACACTTATTTGAGAGTTACGGTACGGATAAATTTTTACTTTAAGAGATCTACAGTAATAGAATTTATTAGGACCACTAAACACTGTGATGGAGGATTCGAAGAGTCAGCGACTGCGAACTTAGTAGCCATTAACAGAAATTATGCAAGGGGTTTTAACAAAATTGGATACTTTATTGTAGATAGTAACGGATGTACAATGCGGTAATTACGGTAGATCAAGCGCGTAAGCTGTTGTGAAGTAACGTGAAGAAGTACTACTACTGCAACTAGTGTAACTGATAAATCTGAGTCAGAAATCATCAATATTCATAGAGTAAGAGATAGAACGTATGCAGAGAACAGGATTATAGTATTCGTTATGATATCTACCATAAAGAGACAGAGTAATAGCAAATAATTGTAGAAAACAGCGAAAAGTGTAGGTGCTATAAATAACTAAACACAACAAGCTATATTTAAGTATAGCAGAAATAGACTGTAAAGCTATCTATATTTGGTATAATACGAAATGTCTATATTTAAAAATATGCTTAAGACTACAGTGAAGTCTAGATACACTGCAACTAGTATAACAGTGAAATACATTACAAACACTATACTACTAATTTACTGTGGCATTGCGGAAATAGCAAAGAATGATTAAACTTTTTTTACCAGAAACCGATAGTAATTAATCATGCAGTATTATACAGCAATATTTCACTTATGTCTTGTAAGATTGGTTATGTTAATCATCAATATCATCGTAGCTTATAGTTAATTAAATGGTTATATTAAGTTAAAACAGTGATCATTTCGGTTCTACTTCTTGTCTTTTCGATAAATGATCACTTTAGTATTTCATTAAACGACATCTTCCGTTGAGACTATGACTATGCCGATATTCCATCTGTCGACTTTTGATATTTTAGCTGCTTATTAAATAATTATGCTAAATTAGGATGATCAGCACCCCTCATCTGTCAACATTTAATATTTTAGCAGTTTATTTCAAATAACTAATCATGCTAAATTAGGATCATCAGGCTAATACTCCTTCTCATCTGTCGACATTCAATGTTTTAGCAGTTTATTACATAATGACGGTAAATTATGATGATCTAGATGGCACTCCTTCTCATCTGTTGACAGTTAATTTTTTAGCAGTTTATTAAATAATACAAAATTAAGATGATCAAGATAGCATTCCTTCTTATCTTTCGATATTTGATCTTTTCAGCCGCTCGTGATAAAAATTTTACCCTGCCTAACCTTCCAAGTGATTTAAATGGTTTCAACTGGAATGATTTATCGTCAGACCTATTTGGAAATCGTAATCTAACCAACAACCAAGCAATACTAGCATCATACAAGTTGGTTATTTTAACGATAAAGTTGAAATTTCATCGGAATAAAATTGATAATGAATAATTCTTCATTTTTAGGCGTCTTTTGGCATACCTTCAGAAATTGCCAGCTGATATCAAAAGGAAACTTCAAAATTCTACATTTATTAAGAATATAACAACTCAGGAGCTTGATAAGATCCCACCAGAACTTTTTAATGTTATCCCAGTAAGAAAATTGACTTCAATAACTTATATCAATCCGTTCAAAAATTAAGCCATCCTTGCTTAGTATCAATTATTATCAAGCGTAGACTAAGCTTTGTTACCATTTTATCCTTTATAATTTATCCCCTTACAACTAGTAACCTAGTACCCTATTTCAAGTATTGATTACCTTTCTATAGTTGATTAACAGCCCCAATTATTTCGGCTTGCAATTCTATTCACCTTGTTGTATGGATACTAGCTTACAATATTTGATATATTCTAACCTAGCTAAGCGAGCATTAGAGGATCAAATAAGAATTACTATAGAATCATTATCCAATGCTTACAGAATTGAATAACTCTTTCTATTTTTTTGTCTACGTCTAGGCCAAAGTTATCCGCGAGCTCAATGAAGTCCAACTGCGATTTATCATCTATAAAATGCTTAACTCGCAAAGTCGAACTCTAGTTCGCGTATTAGCATCTCTAAACACATCAACATTTGAGTTTGCAATCAGAGAATTAAATGTAAGTAAAGCTAATAATTTCAATTACTTACAATGAGAAATTAAGCAATGGCTTTCCATGACTGAATTTTCAAACTAATGATTCATAATAAATGCGTTTCAGAGTTATCTCCTAGATAGTTTAGGTGGAAAAATCTGATTGCTTAATTCCTTAGCCTAGCTATAAACTGAATTGTCAATTATGTAATTAGTTCGTTTATCAGCGAATAAATAGAAGATAAAAACGCCTGGCGATAATCGTTAATTAATTATTGTTATTAGCCCGTAATAGTTAAAAGAGCACAAGATACCCGATTATCATTTATATATTTGTCACTTGTAATTTATGGTGAGCTTTCAGCTACTAAATCGTCGAAGCCATAAAATTTTTAGATTTAAACTATTTGATCAAAAATAGTAAAGGATCCAACAGAAACTATTACATTTTCTGGATTATAGGTCATAATAAATTATAATTTGTCACTGCATAATTGAAGCAGGTATAAAAATTCTGACCAAAATCAGACAGTTTTCTATTTCAACGAAGAGGCTAATAATTTATTACTATTCGACATTATAGTAAGACATTTACCTATAACAATCAACTGCTACTATGATCAACCTTCATAATAAATCACCTTAACCAAATTAGTTCCTTTGAGTTACGAAATAATATTTTTAAATTTACCAATAAATAAATCTAATAAGACCATAGATAGTAGTTATCATACTTAGTTTTAGTTATTCAATTTAAATTACTCTATATCCTACTACTAATATTAGCTAGATACTTTGGGTCATATTTATTTACTGACAGCATCAATTAAAATTGTACCCAACATTTACCCATTTCTTTGTAGAATCATAGTAAACGATTAACTCGTGAGCAAGCTACTGCCGTCATTGATGCCATGAAACGCCGCTATGGCAATGATGTCGCTAAATGGACATTAGCTCAAGTCAACATGATTAATGGCATGTTATTTGGGTTTTCTCCGCGAGATATTAAACGATTTACAACAGATATCTTTAATAAGACGTAAGTAATCAAATGTTATGTTTATCCAAAATCTTTGTAAAATAGACTGTACCATAAGCTATGATCTTAAAGTCATAAAGCGATTTAATGTTTAATCTCTTCGTTTATTGCAATTTAACTTATAGATTAGCCCACTATAATTATTTAATAAACCGATTTAGCGAAAACCAACGTCGTGCTATCTTACTATCACTTCAGAGAGTATGGGGTAAATTAAGTACCTGGACAGCGATACAAATACGTCGACTTCGTCGTTTATTTATTCTTCTAAGAGCTCATGACATCAAGAAACTGCAAGCATCCGCCGTAAGTTTTTCTTGGCTATTCTTGGATTTTTATCGAGATCTAACCAACTAGTTTAATTTATCGTGGTACAGTTGAATCTCTAATAAAATAAGTTCTTATCCAGTATGTAAGCACTACCGTAGTTGCTTTGTATCAAAAAAATCAAGACAGAGTGCAAACCAATATTAAATTCAGAGTAATATCCTGAGAGAATATGACATTATAATCCACCGAACTGTTTAATCATATACTGTACATGGCGTAATTTCCTGTACATCATAATCAATTCTTAGTCTATCATAAAAATAAGAGGATGGTAATACATTTTAAAATAAGGAAAATCATATGAGCTAATGATGACGAATTGGATAATATTAGTTGGCAGCTGCTATCCAGAATATTGCCGATAACCAATGGGATCGACATCGTGCTCATGCAGTTTTACATGTCTTATACCGAACTTGGGGACCTATCCGACAGTGGACAAAGCAGCAATTGCGAAGGTTAGTCTTTAATAATATTAATTCATTCTATCAAATTATAAATGCATAGAATTAGGTAAAAATCAATAAGAATACTAACCATTTCATAGCATGGAATTTACGCATAGTTGATCAGACTCTAAAAATATTTCTAAAATATAAAATAAAAATGAGTACCGGTTCAAATATTACATCCTAGAACATAACGATATATATTATGTTCTATATGAATCAATGTAATTCATTTTTGAATTGATATTGCTTCATAATACTTCTCTAAACTAGTATTCTATCAATTTTTAAGATTAAACTACAAGTAAAAAAATTTACTCTCAACTTGATTCGTTATAGTATCAAGAATTTAAGAACTTTCCTCCCGGCAGAATCGATGGTATTTCTATCCGCTGATACTTTCTTAGGTTCTATAAAAGAATTTGGTGAATCTACATTGCCTAATGGTCAGGTACCAGTTTTTACTATTTATCGTATTTTGTGCCTCAGTTGAGTAGAAAAATTTTACGATGATTACTTTGATAAGAATTGATACGAAATTGAATTTATTTTATTTTTTTCTGCCAATAGCGTATCGCTATCGTTAAAAGATTACGAAAAAATTGGGGTCAAGTTAAAACTTGGACTGCAGATCAACTTAAAAATGCCTCCCACTTATTGGAAGCTTTTGGTCGTAAAGAATTGGATCAGCTTAATGGAACGCAGTTAGCTAATGCTTTAAGCACCATAAAAAATATTCGCTTGGATCGTGCCAAGGTACATTCATTCTCAAAGTCTAATATAGTGTGTAAAGAAGGCATAGAATTGATTCAAAAATTCTGTGGATTGTATTAACTAAAAATTATTATCGATTTGACCATTTTAGGCTCGTTTACTGGTTAAGAAAATTATTGCCGCTAAAAGGAGTGAATGGGGAGCGGTAAGAACGCACAAATGTATAGATAGAAGTTCAATATCCATAAATCGGCAGTTCTACGTACATTAAATTCAATATTCTGCCGCAGTTATTCCTACTACTTTTTAATGGAAAATGAACAGAAGCTATGATATTGCTTGTTTATTTAATTTCTCCGTGAAAAATTATTGATATTTTTGAGTTTTATTATAATATGAGCGAGTAGAAATTGGTATCGTGAAGGAATGATTCAAATAAGGAATTAATATCTCTATCGCTATTAAATCCTTTCTGTCTCATGGCTATAAAATGATAATTTGAGAGATATCGATAAATCCTTAGATTTTTGACACGAATCAACATATAGAAATTAATATCATGAATGAAGGATTAAATTAAGAAATCAATGTCTATGTCGCTATAAAATATTTGGTAACTAACATTGCAAGAGATCTTGATGATATCCTTAGGCCTTTGTTGACAAGAATCATGTTTAGAGCTCTCCATAATTAGAAGATTTTATTATAAAATTGATATTTATATCGCTATTAATTCTTTTCTTCTATTACTTTGAATGATAATTTACCATAAAATTTGCTTTAGGATTAATCTCTATCTATAGGAAAATAGGTTATCCAAGTCAAAAATAACGACGACCTTTTCTTTTCACTTCTTAATATCTAGATTAAGACATGGTCTAAGGATCAAATTAAAATGCTTGGAAATCTTATCAGAGGCTTGAAAGGAGAAGAACTACAACAGCTAAATGGAACAGCAATTCTTGGTGGACTTAGTCAACTAAAATTAGCAGCTTGGTCGCGCGTTCAACGCAAGAGAATTCTTAAAAAAGTAATCTAATTATAAGTTAAATTGTACATGATTTTCCTTCTGGAATGTATAAACGAAACGAAGCATGATTTTGTTATAATACACCAGATAATGCCTAGTTTATCCTTATATGTATTCCAAAAATTATTTGATAATTAAAGTAAAATATCTATATGTTATATTTAAATAGATTAACAATTAAGAATCCTATACAGCGTTAGTTATTTCCGGTCATTGAATGTTAGAAACAGTAAAATAATTTTTAAGATGTAAATAGCATATTACATTCAAGCATTTTTGCGTATAATAATATCTAAATTAATCGATAGTTTGAAAACTTTATAATACGTTAATATTATAAATATAAATATCTAAGCAACAATATAAGCATAAATTTTAGTATTCCTTGACGAGTGTATAATCCGATTAAAGTAATAATACAGAATTTAATCTACCTTTCCTCTATTTTACAGTTGTCTCTTAGCAATATCCGCGCAAACATTAGAAATCTTGGTAATTTGGTCCGTGCTATTCGTATGAAAGACTTAAATAATATTACATACGATGATTTAACTGTTGCAGACCTGGACGATGACAGCATCCGATTGCCATTCACACGTGCTCAGGTACTGAAATAGGAATCATGATTGCACATTTAGATATCGTATATCCTAATATTTTATTCTAAATTTTTATCGAAAAAATAACTACACCCAAGTTTGTAGCTCTGACTGGAATAAATCGATGTGTAGAACGTCAATTATAATTAATGATCGATCTTTAGTTGTACACTAACCGTATCTGTGCTGTTGATATACGTACTGTAAACCTATTTTATACTGTATACAGTATAATAACACAATATAAACAGTGCTTTACTATCAAGCTGCAGTTTAGTTTACACTATTTCTATAAGCGTAAATATAGCAATAGTCAGTATACAGGTATGATGAAATTATAACTAAACTTTAAAAGGGATTTTGATATTGAAATGTGAGCATAAATTTAAATTGCATCTCACGTCGCTTGATATACGTATGCAAACACTAGAAATTAAATCAAATCTTGCGATGTCTATTATAACAAGGGAGACGATTATATCCTTCCGTAGGTCATTAATACTGCTAGTTGTAATAATCCCTGGATTATATTTAATACTATCCAATTCTCATAAATTCAAATAGGCTATGCAACTATTCCGCAAAGCAGTTATTAAGAAACTTGGGGCCGTAGGCAATGCCCAACAGGACAACTATAATTTTGCAACGATTAGGTGCGAAATTCTCAAACTTTCATCATCTATCTGCTCATTCTGATAATAAATCATATTTAATCGTTACTAACTTATTTTGCAAGCTATAGTTATTTTATTAATTCACTTTATAGTAGAAAAATTGGTAATTTAGCTCTTGTTTATCGCTTCATTTTGATGATAATATATATGTCATATTTAACCGTTACTAACTAATTTCGCAAGTTACAGTTATTTTATTAATTCACTTTACTCATACGGTAGAAAAATTGGTAATTTAGCTCCTGTCTATCGCTTCATTTTGATAATATATATATAAATCATATTTAACCGTCACTAAGTTGTTTTGCAAGCTAAAAGCTACTTAATCCATTTTATAATAGAAAAATTGGTAATTTAGCTCTTGGTATGACCCGCCAAGAACTTCGCAATTTATCCTTAGATGGATGCATCGAAGTCGTTAATGAACTCAAAAATACTGATGGCTGGAGTACTGGACAGGTAATCTACAATCAGTAGCTATGTACGATAACTGATAAATATCTTAAGATTGACAAATTTATGAAATAAAAAATAACTCACATGTTCTATCTAGGCCAAAGAAATCTTTATGAAGTATAAGTCATGTTTAGGAATTACTTCTACTCGCAACTTCTCGCAAATCAACGATATTGATATTGCTGCTATTGGACAGTTTATATCTCAAATTAGGTAAGGTAGTTTTAACTTTCAAAATTCCTTTGTACTAATAAAAAGGTCTTTTAGGGTTCTTGTAAATATTGCTACTTACTTTTCAATATCTCTGTCTACTAAATCTGCCAGATAATCTAACCTTAATAGTTTGTTGTAAAGTCATCTACTGCGAAATAGTACCTTTTCCGTTTTTATTTTCGATATCTTGGCACAAGCATTAGCGCCTTTCATTTTTGATTGCCTAAATTAGTACCACCATTGCATGCAAGTATCTTCATTAGCAACTGTCTTGACTGAATTAAATCGTAACTGATTATTAATTCTTCGTCAATTTGATTCAATATATTCCGAACATTGACATCAACGGTAACTTCTATCGATAAAGTAATACTGACAACCACGTTTATTATCAATCATTTTTAACGTTAGTCATGAAGAACTTGGCAATATCTCCAAAGAATATTGTGTCGATGCTGTTAGAGCGCTGGGTAAAGTTGGCAAATTCAGAGGTATGGCACATGGACCTATAAGAAAACTTTTGTTGGCTGCATTAGTCTGCAAGGTAGGATTGCATATTATACCATATACTTCATATTTAGTCGAAAGTGATATACGAATCGTTAAGTTAAATAGTTCAGCAATAGACTAATTTAGATTCAATTTAGCTACAACCATACTATTTCCTCATCATCACTTAGAATAAAGTCAACGGTGCTACATTGGAAGATGATGACATCGAAGATTTGGGTAGTCTAGTATGCGGAATGGAAGCTCAAGAAGTGAACACCATTTCCAAAACTGCATTTTCAAATGCTTTATATAAAATATGCCATCTACCATGTATGAGATCGAAGATTCGCAAAGCGATTGCTAATGCTGCTCGATTAAAATTATAGTAAGTCTGTTCAAATACTGTGAAGAAAATAGTAACAATGATGTGATTCATGATCTAAGTTTCTGCCCTTTCTTGATTTCAGTAATGTCGATAATGACGACGCGATTGCCAAATTTACCTCGACTGATTTGAGAAATCTTGGCCCCTGCTTGAAAGGTTTCCTAGCTAGTCAATTAAGAAAACTGAACGGGGTAATGCTAAAGCAATATCATATCCAAGTCTTGTAACACTGATTAGTAAATTAAAATAAATTTACTACGCTATTTGCAGAGTCAAATTGTTGGGGCCATTGATTCCATTGGAAATCAATCATTTACAGCTGATCAAGCGCGTGAAATTGTAGCATTATATAAGCAATCTCTTAATAATGCGGCTACATCATCTCGTCGTAGACGTGCTAGTAAGAATGTTTTAAATATTCCTAATCATCAATGCTCTTTATTTATAGTAATATTAATGATTGAGCTAAAAGGTAATAATTGTTCCATACTTTTATTTCGACAGCATCCGCTATCACAGCTTCAGAAGTCAATTCTATGAATCATCTGTCTAATGGCTTAACGGTTGCGGATATTAATAACATGACTGCTGAAGATTTCCAAAATTCGATCGATACCCTTGGCGTATCACAGTTATCTCATAATCAAATTTTAGCTCTCGTTAATAAAGCAAAGCAAGTTAGTTATGCCTTCCTCTGTTATGATTAAATTATTTCATGAATGCAATCAAATAACTTCAATAATCGATAATCGATATAGAATCTATGAAAAGTAAAACTACTTGTATATAATTATATGATATTTTAGTTAACGCATAGCTTGGTTCTCTCCTTTGCCTCCATTTTCGTATATACTTAATTATTTATTATCATATATTTTCACTTTTTTTAGATATGGGGTGATCCATCAACATTCCAGCCAAATCAATTTCTATCATTAGGAATTATTAATACTGGATTTATGGCAAGTGATATTGCCAAATTTAACTTAACTTCGTTGGATGCTGTAACACCTTTGGGCCAATATGCAAATTATTCTGCAGCTCAGGTACAGTCTATTTCTTGCATCTATTCTCATATCCACAACTGCTAATTCTAATAAGTAATTAATACTTTAACCTTTATGTATCCCTATCTATCTATCTATCTACATATGTAAATATATATTAGCTGGCCGAATTAATTAAACAATTCCAACAAGATCATACCTCAGCTGCTATCTCTGGCTGGACCGACGAAATGTTTACTGCTTTAGCTAATCTAACACGAGGCTTGTCAGCAACTGACATCCAACAAATTAATAACGATGCTTACGCGTAAGCTACTCTGACCCCATGTATCATCAATTTTAATTTTCCAACCTAGTATTAGATGTCCTATTGGAGAACCAGATACAACAAGATCTCATTCATATTGTTTTATACAGAGCTAGTGCTAGAGTACTTGGTGAAGTGCAACAATTTGCTTTAGATCAATTAAGCAAATTGTGTGAAAAAGCTAAAGCATCTTACAGCAGTGTCGTCTCACAATGGAGCCAAGCACAAGTACGCGATGCTGGTATTGCTCTCGGTATGATGGCTATGATTGTCTTGAATTAGAATTAATTATCGTTTCATATTGAGTATCTCTACCATCTACTCGTCATTTTCAACTTATTGACCTTGGCTTACTATTTCTTCCAAACATAGCTGGCTGTTCTAATGCAGAATTGCAGTCATTAAGCCATAGTAGCATCGAAGCTATCAAGACTATGGTTATTCCACAATTTCCATCTGCCAAATTAGCTGTAAGTTGTTATTCTATGAAGATCTTTCTTTACATTTATAGTAATAACTTAAATTATAAATCCTTTAAATGATGACAAGGCTGTAGGATAGAATACAGCCGCAGCAATTTCTTGCTAGTTTGATCCGTGCGTAGTCCATGGAGCTTTTATGATTGATGATTTTCAGTACACCTTATTCCTATAATTCGTGACTAGTCTGCACTATACATAGCTTACATAATAACGCTTGCTTATCAGCTTTCTTTCAACTTCATGCAAAGTCCATGGAGCTATAATTTTATGGTAAATGAAATTCACTAGGGTATTTTCCTGTAATTTATAACCAGTCTATGTGGTACATTGCTTAGATAATAACGCCTGGCTATAAGCTTTCTTTCAACTTCATGCATAATCTACAAAACTGCAATTTTATAGAAGAGAAATTTCATCACGCTTTATTCGTATAATTTATGACTAGTCTATATATAATGCAAAGCTTATGTAACAACGCCTTGTTATGAGCTTTCTTTAAACTTCATGTATAATCCATAGAACTTAATTTTATGTAGATGAATTCACTGCGCTTTTTTCTTATAATTTATGGCTACTTTATATAATGCAAAGCTTATATAAATATCACCTGGTTATAAACTTTCTTTTAACTTCTTGCATGATTCTACTACAACTGCTAAGCTAAACTTTTGGCCATAATGTACCGTTTAGGCTTTTACTTCAGGCCAAATTCAAGGCATGGATAGTAGCCAAGCTTTGGCTGTTACAGCGCAACAACGCTCTCAGCTTAGTGGACCGCAGTTAACCGCATTAGGCCAAGCTGCTGGCGATAATACCGTAGCTGCAGGCACAGTTACACAACCAACACAAGCTACAACAAAGGCCACCTCTACTACGACTTCAGGTATAAGATAGGATTTAACTTCAGTCAAGCATAACTTTGAAATGTGTTAATATTTTCTTAAAGACAATCCTCATAAGCAGAAAGTACAGTTTAAAATGAAGAAATTGTCTAAATTATTGTTCTAATTCTATTTTATTATTTTTATATACAACCAGGCACCGTTGGAACCACATTCAACTTTGTCGCTTTTATCTTTACTCTTTTCCTAACTATTTTAGCTATGTAGATTAATTATCTGTAGTCACTTGTAGTATTATTATTAAAGTAATAACCTTAGATTTATATCCATTCTACAGCTAAGAGTTTGCGACGTATACAGTATTTGGTACGGTAGTTATAGACGAACGACATAAGATAATAATAGCGGATCATTTTATTAAAACAAGTCAAGTTATCATCTATTAGCAGACTTAATTAAAGTTGATAACTTAGAAGGAGTCCTCTTATGCTATTAAATATAGATTTTAGATCTCGATAAAGTAGCTGCTATAAAAATTGATCCCGTAACATAGCTGTAAGCCCCTATTTAATTGCTAGCTAGTTCTGATAAAACTAGCCTGAAATAAAGTATAACTGTAATAAAAAAATGATCACTATTTGGCTTTACTAGATTGCATGTTACAATGTACTAAAATTCTTTTCGGCAGTAATTTATTAGTTCATTTCTTAGTAATAACTATAAAATACTTGAGCTGTAATCTTCATGGAAAACCTTACAGTTATTTTACACTAGAAGCAGATTTAAGAGACCATCATTCACGGATAATTCGGAAAGCATAGACGATGCTAGATGTATACTTTATCGACTGCCACTATTACTATAACCTTTACATTGAAATTACTTAGTCATTAAGTTGTTTCGGAAATTTTAAAATAGCCAGAATGGCAAGGAAAGGTTTTCTATAGTACTCTATAGGGAATATTAGTTACCAAACGCACGATGAATAATTGTATAATCAATCCTAGTCCTTTTTAACATACTATTAGCCGGATTGATGGTTGTATCAGCTATATCAAAGTCTTTACAATTGATCAGAATTTCCTGTATGTCCTTTGGAGATTTATTTATTGCATATAAGAAGATATGAAGTCAATTTCTAAAAACAAACCGATTGTCCGATGTGCAAAAATTTAAATATGAATGAATAAAGAGACTTTAATTATAAGAGAATTGATACCTATTAGGTAATATTCTTGTAACTTAGATACAGTGAAGACGTGTATTACGATCTGCTTATGCAGCAGATTGTTTAAGAGACGACCTATATATATTAATTCATATTACAGATTTAAATCAAACCGATAATTGATTACAATTACTAACATAATGTTATTTAAATCAAGTTCGAAGGTTATTTCGAGCTTTATCCAAGATTTCCTTTTTTATTTTAGGGTATTCTGGGTTATCAGCCAAAACCTAGAAAGAAAAACATTCAAGTTTAAATAAAATTAACCTAAAACTAATATTATAATATGAATACGCAGATTTTATCTTCAATTACCTTGTGGCAAATATTGATGGCATCAACAAATCGTTTAGCTTTCAAATAATTAAATGCTAACTTAAAACCTGCAGTCATACGCATAATGGCAAAGATCAGTATAGAGTCATTCCTTTTAATTTAGAGTTAATACTTTGCCGTTACTTTAAAATCTTTATATTTCAATTTAAAGTTCTTATTTAATTGTGAATTTATAAAATTTTGAAACTATTACCAAATTAATACCATTTTGTATAAAAATTACCTATAGCTGGGTTAGATTGATTTGTAAATTTCCAAGCAAATTCATAGTAATCCGATGCATCTTTGTAGGCTTGCTCTTTCTCCATGATGTGGCCCATGTATTCACATGCTTTACTACATGACTAAAATTGGACATGTAATTTAAATGTTACAGTAGAATTGCAATTGTAGACTAATATCATGACTACCATTTCTAGATATAGAATTTAAGGTTAAGTTATGACGGATGTGCTTAGTAATTGCACATATCTGCAATAAAAACTTCTTATGTTATAATTTAAGCTAATCTAACTAGAGGGGTAATTGCAAAGTGAAATGACTTAAAATGATCGCATTGACTCTAAATAAGAGTAAGGCAGTTTTTACCTTATTGTGTTTTAGGCAATGCCTTAGTAGTTCAGTTGCATTATCGTATTTGCCAGACTATGCCCACAGAAATAAAATCCAGAAATAGATATTAAAAATAACATAGCCGGTAGAAATACATAAGCACGGTACTGAATATCTAAAGTAATCGTGTAGGAAATGGGAAGTTATTGAATATCTACCTGAATATAGACATCAGCTAGTAAGAGCCAGCTTCGCTCAAAATCTTCTGCATTCTATTAGATTTGTTATATGCATTGCTAAGTATATCAATATTAAACAGAATAAGTACCAAGAAGAATAGAATCTACTTACAGCCGAATTCCATTCCAATTTAGCAATTTTTTTTAATTGATTTCGCGCTTTAGGTACTTGCTTGAGGAACATATATGCTGTTGCAGTTCCCAGTAATGCGGTAATATTGGTTTGCTAATTTAAATACGCACCGTTATTTTATATAGTACTCAATGTATTTAATAAATGTAATTTATACAACGTTTTCATAATAACAAATCTGGTAAATAATGTTGATTTAAGCTGTAAGCTAATGAACTCTGAAAACTTACGTCTTCTGATAACATGCTAATAAAACTCGATAACGCTTTTTCAACACTTTGCTTTTGCTTTGTTGAGATTAATGCATAATTTTCCAACAGATCTAATTGTTTCTTAGATGGGGCTGATTTTGGCTTTAATTCCTGGAACACCAATTATTTAGTTTAGGTAACATAAGAATTATATTTTTGATATGACTGATTTAAATAAGTTATTATTAGCTTATGACATCGTTATAGCTCTATGCCCTTTTCAGTCAACGTAAACGCTGGCACGTGCTATGCTGGTATTTTTATACTGTACTGTATTGCAATAAATTTAACATGGATTAAGTCGCAAATGTCGTCGATATGCTAATACTGATTAAAATTATTATCACATAATTTTAACAAGGTTAATGTTAGAATGTGTACCGTAATTAGATATACGGTTTATTCTCTAACCTAATCATAACGAATAGATTATTATATGGTAGTTTATTCGTTGTGATTGGGCTAGCACTTCATAAAGATTTTTAATAAGCTTAATTTACTATTCAAATATTTTATTATTAAGAAATCAGTAAAAATTTAATTGATAGCACTCCAACTTACTTTTAATAGCTTATTAGCGGTTTTTAAGGCAGAACTCTGTTTATTGCCATCTCTAAAATTTATACATGTAACGAATAAGTGCTATAACCGTAAGTGGAATAAAAATGCTAACAAAAAAATCTTACGCTTCGTTAACAGCTTCTAATGTTTCTCCTCCTGTAATATTAGTTAAAGAAATTATTTCATATTATAAATAGAATTTTCGATCACAATATACTTATAATAATATTTAAGTAAGATATCTATACCTAAAGTTTCATTGTCCGGATTTAGACATATCTCAACCATAGCAAATACTGCTTTTTCACCCCTATTTTAAAGCCATTCAATTCACATGGATTAAGTAATAGTGTATATCAAGCGTAATGAATTACAACCCTAGAAGACGTAGCTAGAGTATGAAATTACCATTCGGAATCTTTTCTAGCCAAGTTAAAATGTTTCATAGCTGCCGATGGATTATTCATGTGCCTGCAATAGTAATGCACAAGTATCAGAAAAAGTGTAAATTAGCCAATTGATCTTACTATTTTCTGAATATTCACCGTTCGTATAAACCACGACAGTAGTTGTATCCAGGATCAATTGATGAATTCAAACAAGCACTTTCCGCCTGTACAGGACAAGAATGCATTAAATATAAAGGTTAGAGTAAGTAAAAATTACAATGATTTGCAATGATTATTTGGACAACTTTTTTCCTAGATTGCGACTACTTATTTAGTACAAAAGAATCGCTATCAAAGCACCAAGGCAATTACTATTTATTACTGAAACATTAATCAGCATAATGCAATAAAAAAATAGTCCATTATTTTAATCATTAGATTTATTAGCTTGTTTTTATTCTCACTTGTTCAAGATAGGGAAGGCAGTCTTCGAGTTTACCCTCACGACGAAGTAAATCAGTTAATCGTACAAGAGCGGAAAATTGATCTATTAATCGCAATGAGAAACAAGAAAAATAACATTAGTAGTCAGGGTAAAAACGGAACATAATTTCATAAACATTATAAATAGCAATAATCTTAATTAGATAATCGATAGCGAATACGGTAATGCAATCCTTTATTTCGCTATTCTCACTTGGTACTCTATCAAGAAGTTTTTGAAACTGAAAAGTAGCTGTTTCGAAGTCTCCTTTAATAAATAAGATATCAGCCTTCATCTAAAATAAGAATATTAAAAAGATTATCAATGTTGCATTCCAAATGTAACTAAATAACGGAAAATAATCCTTCCGTTAATAATGCCTATTCATACCATGGCAGCTTCGACATTTTCATCATCTATTTGTAGCATTGTCGTGCATTCTTTTTGGCAGAAATCAATTTCGTTTCTTTGTAAATATAACTTGGCTAAAGATAAGCGTGATTCCATGTGATCATTACAATAAGATAAAGCTTTTTTATAAAATGAGATAGCATCTTCAGTATTTCTTTCATTTGCTAGGTGATTTGCAATATCACAACAAATTCTGTAAGCGATATTGAAAAAATTGAGAAGATTAAATTATTAAATCTATTATCGTGTAAGCATATGATACGTTAAATCCGTTAATATTCTGCCGCATGAGATATAGCTAATTTAAAAGAGGCTAACAAGCTATGAAGGATGTGATCTATGTAGAAACTAAGAAAAGCTTATGTTATCTGTATCTGTAACGAAAAGTCATTACTTTGCTGCAATTTCCCTTTGCTTTTCTCTAGCCTCCGGCTGCTCAACACCTACTCTTTTCAGGATTCTTACAAACAGATCAACATCAAATCATTAAGCCAACAATTGATTAAACATAACAAAAAGATTTGATGATAAACGTACTTTTCTTGAGCATCTATACATTTATGTAGAGCTTCCAGAGATTGCTTTGGCATGTTGACTCTTTCATAGATTTGAGCTAAAAGCATAACACTTTTAGCTTCTTCCATTAGGCTATTAATATCATGAGAGGTTTTTTCTTGTTTAACAACCGCCGTAATGGTGCTAACGGCTTTTTCATATTGCTTTAATTTCAGATAAAGTTCTGCCAATTCCATCCTGTTAACATAAAGGATTGCAAACTGTTATTAAAGTCAATATCTACGACTACTGAGAATAACTTATCGGCTTAGATGATGGAACTTATAGAATTAAAATATGCGAATATGCCAGACGTTGATATTGTAGTTGACATACGTACCTAAGAGAAGTCTGATTATTCGATTTTATGGCCGTTTCATAATAGTTTACAGCCTAAAGAGGGATATTACAGTAAAAAGTTACTACTAATTATAATTATTGGCCGTAATGTAATAATATCGTAATATATTTAGCTTATGGGCTTAGCTTTAGGTTTATAATATTCCTCCAGCTTAATTTCAATCATACCTTGATATACTGATGAGTTTTAAATAAGGCTTGACCAATTTTACTGACAAGAGATGCATCGTGTGGATTCTTTCTTAAGGCAGCTTCAAATGCATCAATTGCTTTTTCCGGCTAAAACAAAGTAAATTTTTCAGATTTATCCGTAAATAGAAGCTCAAATCTTACTAATATTGTCTACGTTATTAGCAATTTTTAGACGATCGTATTGGATCTTTTTCAACAAGAAAAAGAATTGGCTACAGCTTAATGAATTGTCGCGTAGTTTTACACTGGCTATCCGATATCCACGATCTACTGTGTACTACAGTGTATGCTACGATAAGTACGATCTTAGTCGAAATTAGGAATCTAATTTTTGGTCTATGATTGCAGCTAATACTGTTCTTGGCTTACCTCTTGAATGCTCATGTAAGCATCACCAAGAAGAAGATACGTTTGAGGATTCGCCTCCTGCTCAGCTAATTCTCTGTAGAAGATACGTACATGTTGGCTTTCATGCTATCTCGTTTCATTATAATAACATCCATACATCGTAGACATTAAAGTATACAGTAATAGAATCGAAACCTGTAACAACTGGCATATAAACGTTTATCTTTCCGATAGTTAAGGTAAATATCGGCCATCCTTTCCCGTGCTTTAACATAAAATCTGTAATGGATAAGTCAGTAATGGCAATTATTATCCAGCTTAATGTCATTTCATTTAGTCGATATTATATACTAATGTAAATGCATGACATCAGTAGTTTATCATACGATTAATGAAATTTTGGAGGCTTAGTAATGGCTTACGGATGTGAAGGCGTAATACTGCGCAGAATAGAAAGAGCCTGATCGATATCTCCACGCCCCAGAGCTAAATCTGCATTAGCGATATTGAGTCTATAAATATGAAGATACATGATTTTAATGCTATTTAAGTAAAGATACAATATTAATATATAACTTTGAATTCATTCACTGATAGTCTAGGGCAATAATTTTTTAATAAAAGTTAATTACAGCCCTCATTGACTTAGTTTGAATTTAAATATGACCTGGATTCTTCGGATGTATTGGCAAATTCATGTAGTGCGTCTTGCATAACTTTAGCAGCTTCGGGCTATAAAACAATTATCAGAGCCGAATATTACATTCCTGTAAGATTTTCTACAATTACGATAAAAACTACATTATTAAAAAAGGCGATCTACTGCAATATAGTAGGCTAACTTGCTGTTTAAGTGTGATATGAACTTCCACTAGTTCCAGGAAAATCGATGCCCTATCAGATATAGAAATTGGAGGTGCTTTGCTTTTTTTATTCGCAGAATCTACAGAAAAGATATAAAGAGTCGATTACAAGATCGTTATGAATAGCAATATAGCTCAGTAAGTTGTTTTTCTCCGCTTAATCCTATTAGTAGTATAATTCATTTACGGAAAATCTTCTTTTACTCCACGTTGTAAATATGTTATTTACACAATCTGATATCGTATAAGTGCATTATAAGAGAATAAAAATCTTTAAGCTGCGCTTACCATCCGCACATCACAAAAACTAGTCCTATTCTTGCTATTATTTTACACATAGCTACAATTAATTATAGGTATTATTACTCTGCTATTATTTTACTTACCAGATTTACGGACACCGCTAACATTCATGGCTGTCTTTAGAATTTTTAGAGCTTCCTCGTACTCGTTATTTTTCTTTAAAATACGAGCTTTAATTAGATGATAGCTTGGAGAGTCTCGAATCTGTAATGAGTTACATTAAAGATTGCAAAAATTTTAATTGTAACGGTTAAGGGATACTTGAATAACTATGAATTAATCGTAAAAATAGCTCTAAAAGAAATAGTAAGGCGAACTAGCACTAAAGATACCTCGAAATTGTAGCTTAAAGCCATATCTAATGCTTGGTTTGCCAGATTAAATTTACCTTGATAGGCATTGATCTACAAAAAAATTAAAATTGTAGAGGTTGATAAGTATAAAGTCGAAATTTACCGCTAATTACTGTTATATATTTGGATTTTATAAATAGCTTTGATACAACGCAAATTTGAATTACTCGAAATATAATTGAAGTCACAATTCAATGAGTAAAATACCTGAGCCATTAGTAAGTGGCCTTCAGAAAATGTTTGATCATTGTCTAGACATATTTGTAATGTAGCTTGAGCGGCATCGAAAGCACCTAGAAATTAGCATTTTTATAAATACATAAGAGGGATTAACATAATTATAACCAAATTTCTTTCAATCCCGTTATCATAGCGTATCGTTTGAAAAAATATCCAATTTAAAGTAAGTACCTTCACTTTATAGCAAATTTTTACTACTTCATGATAAATGAAACCACGTAACTTACCGGAATAGTATTTTACTTTAGCAAGCAGATAATGGCCATCACGAAGTCCAGGCAACCCCTTAGAGATCGGATCCAATGTTGAACCACAACGGCGTAGACTAACTGGAATACGTTGGGTAAACGTATCGGGCTATAATTGTACAAGCAAATGAAAGTATGATTTAACTTTAGCGGAAAAAGTGATAATATTAATTAAAAAGAATTTATCAATTGATTTCAGTTACCTCACTGGGGCCGATAGCTAGATACATTTTTGCAATTTGGATGATAAAATCTGGGTTTAGCTTCATATAATATTCCATTCCAAGAGGTAGCCTCTGATCAAAATTGTTTATAATTTTTCATTTAGTAAGATGAAAACGTAATTATCAAAAATAAGTCCGACTATGGAAAACGTTTGTTACATCAACTTACTCCTAATGAAGAAAAGTGGATATCAACCGCTGAATTTAACATTCCGGTGACTTTTTCAATATCGCTATTAATCTTGTGCGCCATGACTGCACTTAAATAAGGTACTTCCTAATTATATTAAGTTTACTTCATTTTAGTTAGTTCATGAATGACTAATTTATTTTAACTTTAGAGACCAGAATTTTGATTACCGCTACTTTTCCTATTGATTGTTGTACTTCTTGAAGTAGCTCGAGCTGCTGCTTGGCCTCATCGAATTGATTTTCAGCAATTTGGCATTTAATAATACCTAAGGGAAAGTTGAATGTATTATTGATTGCTTAACGTGTATTATTTCTAAGTCTAGAATATATATACTTTTATGACCTACCAATTAATGCTGGTACACTTGTTCCATCAAGTGTTAAAGCTTTACTAAAATAGTTCATCGCTTCTTTTGTTTTTCCCATTAATAGCAATTGATTACCCACCTAGCGGAATGCAAATAAAAGTTATCGCTTATGCAAAATATAGTAGTTCTCACATACAAGTATACTTTCTGCTATCTATTACCTCTGTCGTGTATTTGGAGTTATTTTTAGCAAGAGTCATCGCTCGCTCAGTTAGCGTGTAGGTTTGATGTATAACTTGAAGTTGTCGACCACACTGATTTACGTGCATAATGAATAGAATTTTATCAGTTGATGACCTTCATTGCCTACATATGCCCTTGTGATTTGAATAACTTTACATGACTTACCAATCTTGAAAATGTTACTGCGCATTTATAATAAAGCTCTGCATTCTTTGGTTCATTTTTATCGATTCGAAGTATTAACTCTCCCAAGTTGTCAACAGCCTGTGTATAATCACCAATGCGACACAGTGAATGCAAGACCAATACGTTAGTTGCTGCGATGTTATCACTATCCTGAATGAGAGTTCTTATTTAAAGTAAAAGAATAAAATCATCATTTGATAATAAATATGATAATGTGACATGATTACCTATATTAAGATTTAATTTACCTGCGAGACGTATCAACGGCTTGATCCCATTCTTGCAAAGCTAATTGCATCCGTGCTTTTTCGATTAGGGCAGGAGTATACTTTGGGTAGGCGGCTATGGTCTACAGTTTAGATACACATTCCAAAAGTAATATAATGAATTCATCTAATATCTAAGCATTTATCCTTAATAAATAATAACCAAGATAGCTCGTAAGAGAATTAATTCTATTTACCCTATTGATCAGCTCCACAGAATTAGTATAATTGTGTTTTAGCTCGAAACATTTTGCTTTGCCTAATAAGGCATCTATTTCAGTAGATGATTCTGATCTAAAGTACATTATTAAAATTAAAGTTCCAGTTTAAATACAGAGAATACTTCGTGTTTTCAATATGAACTTTATTGGATGATAGCGTACAGTATTTGCATTATTCATTTCATACCTATTTAATGCTTCTTCAAAATATTTTTGAGCTTTTTTGACATATTGCTCTTTATCACTTGTAATATCGATCCATCCTCGTAAAATTAATCCCTATGTAGAAACATCAATCATATTAAGTCAGGTTAGTCTCGTGGGAGATTGTACTTGTCTTAAGATTCAAAGTTGCAGCTGCTTTCTTGTTGTAAACATATTAAAATTGAACTACCTCTGATGCACCATTGGATATTTTTAACATTCTGTCGATATATTCACGAGCTTTATCATTTCTATTCATATGCCATAAATACATTGCAGCAAAATAAAGTGCCTATTGATAAAGTGATGGTGAGTATGATGATAGTCTTATGCTGTCGAAAGGTAATCGCAATGAAACATACTTTATCGCTACAATTTTGTCTCTCTGTTTTAAGCCTAGCATCTAATTGTTGTACACTTTCACGATCTGTAGATAATTTAGCATTAAATAAAAATCAGAATAATTAATTTTGAATAAGAGACAGTGAAGTTTATATTACAGAAATAAAAGTTTGATCTAGTGTGAATTTTTTAAATTACCAACGAGTTTGCTCTTCTTATGTGCATAAACTAAGCACAAAATTGTACATAAGACGACATTTTTGTCATCTTCAATTTCTTGTAATTCTCTCATTCCTTCAGATACACGATCTATCAATTTAAATTGGCAACAACAATAAATTATCATGAGGAAATACATTATGATCATTAAGTGTGAAATGACTGATGGTTGTTTTAGAGCCATTCTTACTTTGCATAATAAGACCGAATGCATGCCAAAAGTGTAAAATATTATCGTTGCCATATTTTTTCATAGCATCGGTAGCCACTTTACAAACATGATTATAAAGCTTTTCACGGCAGTAAAAATTAATTAAGGCCTGTAAAAGATATTCATGTTAAGAATATTGCCCATAATTTACCGTTTAATACCCATAGCGCATCTGTTATTTCATTCTCGACTAATCACCGTTAATCAAGATTAAAGACAACATATCGTAACTGCAATAGTACTGATAGAGTTAATGTTGATAACTGCTTCTTTAACCTTTGTTTGACTATAAGTCTGCGACGTAACATATAATGAGTAACTACGAGATCAATCTACGTCTACACTTAAGAAGGCAAGGAAATGTTAAGACTGACCAGGGTATATGTATCGCCTGACGCCATTTTTCTTTAATAACGTTCGATAACGACTTATACACGATATCAACTAACCGACCAGCCTTAGAATATCGAAGTAAAAATTCAATTGACTACTTTGAATATACGATGAAGAATTTTTCCTTGCTGTAGTTAGGGCCCAACTTCTACTGTAGTAGTAGTAGTTGATGTTAAGGCGTAGGGAACCCATTTTGTCATAGCAACCGTAAAGTAATCTAACCATGCGCAAACGATATTTCCATCTTCTTTATTTTGCTGGGACTCGGTAGTGAAATCTTCTAGGCTAAGAATACATAACGTAAAGTAGATCATTTATAGTGATGTATGCAATACTACCCTACCTGCATAACTAGACATCTGTAACTATACCCTATTACAGTACAATTCAGTATAAGTAACAGTGTCGCTTTAGCTTTCTATATGTTACTTACTCTCGCCATAGCTAAATATTATTTGCAGACATTTCTTTTCTAATTTCGATCTCATTTAGCATCTTAACCTAATTAATGCAGTGTAATATTCCTCAACTGTAGTATCAAACTAATACAATAGTCTATATACCTTTCTGGAATTTCTACTTATCATTTTACATGCATCCTTTGCAACAAGTGATTATGATAATCGATCTCCTATGAGCTACTTCCTCTATCCAGAGGTCAATATCATCTAAACATTTCCTTTCTAACTTCTTACTCATTAAGACATATCCTAACGATAGCTAATTCAGTGCAATATTCTCCAGCTATCGTATTGAACTAACATTGTAGTCTGTATGTCTTCTGGAGTTCCTACTGATCAGTAACGGTATGGTTCGATGCTACAGAGTACGGGTATGCGGTACTGCAGTACTATGCAACCATAGCTTAGTTTATTTAATCAGGTCTCATTTCTCTTCTTTCTATTTTAAAGAATCTCTGACCTAAGTTATGGGCAAAATGATCATATATTTAAATGACTGATGTATCGGAAATAATTGATGGATTAATTGTTCTACTAAGGTATTTCTCTTCTGTTATCTATTGTTGGCGTATTCATGAATTCCCTTGCTACTATTGAAGTATTGTAGCATCCAGATTGGTCGCTTATTCATTCATTACATATAATTATTACATCGGCAAATTACACGGTTTTGGCATTTTTACTCCATTATTAATAATCCAATACTTACTGTTATGGAATGGTATTTATTCTATTGATCGACCTATTACAGACGGACGCTAAATGCTAATCGAATAGTTCAACTTTGTATTTCAGTATCCTGGTCGAGTAATACTCTAGTCTATGCACTCGCAGTTTTAGAAGTTATAACAAGGTTTCGATCAGCTCATCAGCTCATTAAGCAAGTAAAATCCTTCTGTATATCCGTATGAGCAATAAATATATCAATCTACCTGTAGCATTACAATAAAATTAGTTTATGGGATTCAAATTATTTTAGCTTGTTTATCATCGATTTCTCGCATCAAATCATGCAAGAACTTGATTGGAACACGTAAAATGATTATCGCCGGCATTTGTATGCATTGCCCATATGTTAACTATTCATTGGTCAATTTTACGGACGAAAATGATTGCTTACGGTAGTTTATGCGTATATAATTTTCTAAATAATTTGTGGATACTCACTAATGAAGTAAATAAGTTTAGGGTGAACAGTAGAAGAGTTACACATCTTTGTCAAAGGTGTATACTACTACGTATTCCTTCAAGTTGATAATCTCTAATTCTTGACTAATTTAACTAAATAATATACTGTCGTATATTCCTTCCACTTATCCAAGAATAGAAAGAACTTCGAAACTAATCTACATAATAATAGCATTAATAGTTGATTAAAAAAGCAATAAATTTATTAAAAAGTAAACAAATAGTTACAGTATTCATCGTAAGCAATAAATACCTTCCTACATACAGTAATTAGTCAATCCTGAGGTAGGTAGCTTCCTTTCAAAAAATTATCGATCGCAGCAATCAGCCATGCCTACCGTCATCATTAAAACTAATGTAGACCGCACTGTCTGCAATCAAGGCTTTCAAAAAAAAATTAGCCGTTTAATTTCTGAAATTTATGAGAATCCTATTATGGTAATTAGAAACAATTTCTTTTCTAACACCCTATTGCTTATCCACCTACTAGCCGCAACAGTTTGATTGTTACTATCTGTCATTTTTCCTTTAAGCGTAATAACTGCTTTCTTATCCGACTACATTTAACTTTTTAGTACATCACCGTAACAATCCATCATAATCCTAAGCTTATCTTCGCTGGAACCCAGGATCCAGCTGCTTTTATGGAAATAAAAACAGTTAATGGCACTGGCAAAAAGGAGAACAAAGCTGCTTCTAAAGCTATATCCGAACTATTGAAGGCTGAACTCGGTGTTTTACCAGAAAGGTAATTAGAATTAAAGTCTTGATTGAAAATATAGATTCACCCTTACGTTACTGTAATTAAAAAATTAATTGATTAGATGTCAATTCACTAGGAAATAATCTTTCCTTACCGTTAGTACTCGTATATATATATATATATGTTATACTACCTATCTTGTCGTTTATAGGTAGTTAATAAGTTACTTGTTAATTTAAAGAAAAGATTTTACAGCGTTTCACTAAACTATTACTTAAAAATATTTCAGTTTTACATTACAGCGAAACAAGAACGCATAGTAAAAAGATTTGCGATTTACTACTATTGTTCAATTATTAATACCATAATCAAACTTGATGTTTTTCAAATAAAATTAATGCTATATCATAACGTTACATGCCAAATCATTGTGATGTACAAGTTAGGCTACTAATGATAAATAATACCTCTGTATTTGTCTTTCCAGATTTTACATCTACTTCAATACTATACAGCTAAAAGACGTTGGAGTACTTGGAGGGACATTAGATGGCCAATAGAAATGCAGCTAAGATGGATTTGTTGGCTTAAAACTTATGAATTATGTTAGCATGATTCAATTTAATCGATTACAGTAAAGGGTCATTATTTAATTGAAGTCAACGTTTTAATCATTTGTTCTGTATTGTTGCGTGGACGCAATGCGAATATAACTTTCAAGCTAGAAAAAAAACAAGAATTGGAAAATTAAACTACGATGAAACGATGACTTCAACAATGATATCGTCTGATGGACATCTTCCTTATGGACTGTTAAAATTATGAGTGAAAGTAGCTCTTTTGCAGCATAAGACATAGTCCTATTACGTTAGATGTAATTCTAGCTTTCGTGATATCATCGCACTTCACTCGTAGTAAGTACAGCAATTAACTTTCCAAAATGGGTAATTCAACCGTTATAGCTTATTATAGCGTGATTATTGAACTGTTTAAAATATCTATATTGGCATTATAATTATAATGATTGATTATCTTAACCTGTAATAATTGCACTATTAAAGATATCAAACTTCGTAAGAAACGATCTTCCACTGATTTATAGGATAATCTTAAAAAGAATAAAGTATGAAGTAAGGGATAAAAATCTCTAGTCATCCTGTACAGCCAGTAACTACGTATAGTATACTTTATCATTTTATAGATTCCTACATAGTAGACAGTAGATATAACTTTATGAGACATTTTTAATCAGGTATTCGGTATACGTATTTAAGTTAGGAAAATTAAGTAAGGGAAGTCTTGCAATAATTCAAACTTCGTTTGCTTGACGATGTAAAGCGATCGCTGACGAAAAAGTGCAAATTTATGCTAAATTATTAACTCGATAACGAGCATTTGTGTACTTAACGTTTTGCGCCAAACCATCTCGTTAAAAGGCTAATTATGCGATAATGTTAATAAGTATATAAGTATAATCCTTTAGTTATCATTTATTCAATGTGGTAGCTATTGAATAAAATATGTATTCAATTAGTCATTGAGATGCATTGTCTTAAGATAGGGCACAGGATTTATCCACAACAATAATAATGTTAACTGATGGATTCCTAACTGAAAACAACATATTAGTAGGCGGTAATAGAGCTATTAATTTAATCTAGCTCATCATAGGATAGCATTAATTATTCAAGAATTAAAAGTATGCATAGTCTTTGTCTTCGACTTAACAGCCCTCTACACTGGCCATTGCCCGACTGAGAACTCACTATGTTTCTGCTTCATATTGCATATAAGAATGTAAACTGAAAATCATATGATATAGGCAATAAAAACCTGAAATCAATCTCGATTTTGTTTATTTACCCACGACTATTACTACTGACTAATGATAAACCCAACAGTAAATAACCTATTCATATTTCTATCTAGCAAGCTAAATTAGCCGCACCCTGTGAATATCATGCTCGTGATTATACGTCGTATATAATTATTATCACGCTTACGTTACAGTAGGCGTTAATAGTTGCATTAGTTTTATTTCATCATTATTGGCTATATATGTTGTTAAATATTCAATCTTAGAAGAAGGTCGGTAAAGACGTATAGTGGGCCATATAGATTTGCTGAAGAAATGGACACATTTTATTCGTTCATCTGTTCTTGATATCTCTTATCATTTAGTGACCTTATGCAAATTGTACAGAAATTATTTCAGCTATCCAACATGCTATTATACCACTAACAAGCAGTAGTTTTGAGATGTTACTTTTATATCTTTTAACTAATGAAAAATGCTAATATGTATCCTACGTTAGTAGACAGTTCTTTAGTGAATAAAGACATTAGGCAGTCACTATAACATGTGCTTTTTCTGGTGGATATACGAGTCTTTACTAGTCTTCAATACAGTATCTCTACTTATTTAAAATTTGAATTATACAGCTATAAATCACCAAGGCAAATTTAATGGCCTCTTCATATTGAATTGCTTCAGTAACCCATAGCTCATAGACTTATAAAGTAATCGGCCAATTCATTCATTCGAAGTTTAACTTGAAATACACCTATGTTAAATCGATATATACGTATTGGGGACGAGATAGTGGCTAAGATCGTCTTTCAATGTCAACATGGAAATAGGGTCAATTTTCAAATTTTCTTTACTCGGAACACTAATGCACGGGTATAATAATTCATTGAGTGCTTGAGCTCTTCAGTTTGTGAGAGATACGTAAGATTGGCTATAGAAATGATTAAAATCTATGACGATAGACTAAAGTCTGTAGATGCTGAACTATGAAGAGCATAACTAGCTGCATAAGTCCAATCATGAGGAAAAAGACGAGGTTTGTACAGTACGCGTTTATCCGGTACTGGAAAGTGTGAACTAATTCCATTTGCTATGAGTAATTTGATCACTAAATACTGTACAGTACTTGATAGAATTGGTGTGATAGAGTTCTTTAACGAGGTTAATCCTCTTCATCTGCTATTAAAAGAGCTAAGTCAACAGAAAATCCATCATATCATGGACCTTTTAGATACTTCTATTATGATTATTATTGTCAACAAGGTCCATGACGTAAAGTATTAATGAATCGGGGTTTTATGCTGTCGTTTTGAATTTGTTACACTACTGCTCTTGCCTACTGTACTCTAGTATTCAAAGCCATGTTTGGGTCTCTCTCGCCATACCACTCGACGAGAGAGATGACGATTGCATTTTCTAGTTAACCTTGCCTACCCAAATATGACCTGCAATAGCAGTTTAATTAGCAACAGCAAGACAGAAAAATATCCAAGTTGAAACGCTCAGTATTCCATACAGAACCAGGGTGGAGCTTACAAGCGCCTATAGAACTGTATGAAAGCGATTGCAGATTTGCACTATAGTCAGTAGCTGGAAACGCTAAAAACCTTCATCGAAAAAGCAAAATTTCGCTTTACCTGATTCCCTTTCTATCCTCATCAATCGAAAATGCCTATCGTAGCAATTGAGACCAACGTACCTGAAGATCAGATCTCATCAAAGCTTCTTAAAGATCTATCCAGTACCCTTGCAGCCACGTTGCAAAAGCCTGAAAGTGTAAGAATACTGTTGAATCATGTAGTCACACACCTTGGCAAAAGATATATATACTGTACTCGTAGTAGAGTAGTTCTTTTCTGCCAATTTCTTCCTGAAAAACAATAGTAATTGACTCTTATAGACGTATTTAGTTACTGGAATAGTCCCTTTCAACATCAAGTTACAGTGCCCAACAGTAGCTGTTGTTTGCAGTTAAATGATAGAAGGTAACTTCTTCTTTTCAAGAATTTTATTGGACATTCATGACGTTGCTGACCTATTATACCCTACGGTCTAGCATCCTTCATCTTCTTAGTGCATGCGATAGCAAATATTACGGTTCGCTAGTATCTTTGGAAGGAAAAGCAGTTACTTCACTACTGTTAAATAGTGCACTTTCAGAATCATCCAAGATTCTCTATTTGAAAAGCTTTTATTTGGGCTACTGCCTACTCGCAGCTATCAATCAGTAGCCTACTCTCTGATTGTTCTACATTATCTCCAGTTAGCTCTTATCCTTCCCGTTTTTCCTTTACTATTATTATACGCGTATAGAACTTCACTATTCAATCCTTTCACTTAGTTACTACAAATTATCAAACTAATCTGCACCTTACAATTGGAGAAAGCATCAGTCATGAAGCGAGCTCGTTTTTTTTACCTGTTTCCACCATCAAAGAGTGCCTTCTTACTGTATATATAAATAGATTAAATTAGTAGACGCGTATGGGTTACCTATGTTACATTATATTCTAAATTGTAGTCACAACCTGAGGCATTTACGCTATTACATATTAGATCAACTCTAAATGAAGGGCATATATAACGCCTCACATCTAACTTTTTTTGTAGTTGAGCCAATTGAAGTCTTTTTTATCCACAGATTAAAAACATTTTGTACGTCATCCCTATCAATGCATTGTAGCATATTAAGAGATTACAACATTTTTATACTATGGTTAGGTGTTAACAATCAATAAAATCTTCACCAATGTACTATGATGTTTATTAAATAAGAGCTTTTCACGTTATACGTATACTAGTACGTCATGGTATCGGCAAAAGGTGGCGCTAATCTCATATTCGGTGGTACTGATGATCCTGCAGCATTTGTGAAAGTGATATCAATTGGACAGCTAGGCGAAGCAGAAAATAAACTCCACAGCAAAGCCTTAACAGATGTGATTGAAGGCCACCTTAAAATTTCATCAAAGAGGTAACGTAGTAATAGAAAATCGTAGTATTGCCAAACTGTTTTAGATTTTCTACATTTTAGAATCGTATTCTTGATATCAAGTGATTCCAACTAATTTTAGCTACATTGGATGAAATTATTTTTTCGTTTTAGAATGTACATTCAATTTTTGGATGTAGCTGAACAGGACATAGGCTATGGTGGTTCAACATTTGCTTAAGGCGACTTTATATGGCAATTGCTTGAAATTGAAGAAGGAATTCGTTTACTAGCAATGTAAAAATACTGTATCCGTTAATAGGAGTAACGAGAAACACCCTTCACCTGAAAAATTAGAGTGTTAGTGCACCCTGTTTTATTTATCGGATACCAGCAGTAATTTTAAAGAAAGATTACTGACCTGCTTCCACCTTAATCATAAACTTTACTACAATTCTTCATAACTAATAAAAACCATATCTCTTAACATCGTGTAATTCTTAAAATATTGTGGGTCTTGAAAAGTTTTATATGATTTGAATTCATGGTATTAATGATTGAACTAATCGAATAACGCCAATCTATAAGAAATGATAGAAAACACCTTGTGTCATTAAATTACATAAATCATTATCCTAGTATTGGCTTATTCGTCTAGCAACTAATTCATTGTTTCCATGGGCAGAAGATGATGATAATCGTACGGAACTGTTAAAGGATTTTATCATCGAAATTCATACCCCTATGCTTCGGATAATACAGGACATACTATTAGTACAGAAATTGTTCAGTACTACGTCCTTAAACCAAATCTTAATGTAAGCGCTTACAAACTATAGCATAAAGAAAATGGCAAAATTTTAGATAAACACTGTATAATATAACTATTCAGATACGAAATTGTAATCTTTAAATAAGGTCAATTAGTGCAATGCATGAAAGTTTTAATAGTACCCATATTGAAGATATAAATTTATATTGGCTAGTGCTACAATTTGGAGGCTTTCCATTAGAAATATCCAAACCTTATAGCTCTATAAAGTGAGAGTATACAAATGAATTTTTAGCTAATAAAGCTTACAAAGCTACTACATTCATCTGAATGAAATAGTAAAGTAACGCAAATGTCGATCGATAGTTTATCATATTTCAAATATGAAAATATTAATTATATGAGCGAAATCGATCATTTTGATGGAGCATTGAAGAATTAAATCGCTTTCATGAGGGCACGAAATTATAAAATTGAAATGTTATAGGTACAATAATATTTGTCATTTAACATTTAGTGCTTTTATCGCATTTTTCAGCAGTCACGGTAGGAACTACCGTGAAAAGTAAATGACTAAATTTAGTGGTTAATATTTATCTATGGAGATAACTAATAATGACTTACAGTACAGTAAAAACTAAGGTAGTTATTATTTTGTTATAGTAAATTATGCTGTACTGTAGTAAGAGTTCTTACACGGTAACTAATGTTAATTGATTATAGTGCTATGTCTTGTAACGCTTGTGATGAATATCCTGAAGATATCCAATTACAGATGGTACTATAAATAATTCTGTGCATGGATATACTGTAACCTAATTATCTAGAATCGTTCAGTACATGTCTAAGATTATGAATAATTTCTGCATTAATTTAGCTATCCAACACGAACTAAATTTCTTGAACAATTATGACTCATACATGATAGCAGCTGCCGAAGGGTATTTGAGCTCGACAGATAGTCAATAAAAGAAGAGTTCTATAGTTGTTTAACAAAGAAGAAAAGGCGTCTAAATTCTTGTGAGATGGTTAAGGGATACTGAATCCCGGAGACTATAGCAATTTCAAAATTTGTTTTACGTTATCTTTGTCACGAAGCTGGTTTGTGACATCAGCTTATTAATTTCCTTGAATAGATGGTAATACTATATTTGCATCATGAAAAAACTAACAATGCTGCAGATCATTAGTCGATTAACAAAGTATTATACCATTATTGTGTTATTGCGCCTAGAATTCGTACCATGAATAGATCCAATGTTTACATTATTGCTATTATTATTATCCATTTATGTCCATCATCTACTCCGATTAAAAATAATAATAAAGTATCATTAGATTATTAGAGTGACATAATATTATGGTATCATTTTTTAACTTAATAATTGAGTCATAGTAACTACTTGTCCACATCTATCACGTGTCTCAAGTAATTAAAACTAAATAAATAAAAACTAACGTTAACATTAGTTGCTGCATGCTCAGATGTAATATAAAACAGGGATAATAGAAAAATTAGAGTTTAGCATATTAACAAAGTTGTCAAGCTATTTCTCATCAGGTTCGTGCTAAAACTAAAGACATGGCTTACCTTAACCTTGAAACTAACTTACCATCATCAGTGGTCACTCAAGAATTTCGAAAAAATCTTTATCAATTAATTGCCAAGAATCTTCCAGATAGTAACCGGGTAGGTAACTTCTTATTTACCGTAGCGATAGCTGAAATTGCGTATCTTTAATCTCGTAATTTATCATACCAGTTGATAACGTTAAGCTACGATATTAACATCGTCAACTATGTTAGCCCATATAGATATTTTAATACAAATTAATAAAACAAAGTTGTGAATTTTTATTCGAGAATTTTTCTTACACATGTATTATTGCATTTGCATTTAGTTCTGAAATAATGGTCATGCTTATTTATGACATAAAACATGTTAATATTAGACGATACTTTAGCTACTTTTACAAATGAAATTTTAATCAGGATGTTAGAACGAACAGATACCATATACTGTTATAAATCATATTATCAGTAGATACGATACACATCGAATTATGCTGTGCTCGCACATGTAGAAATATAAGAGAGTAATTAATTCATTTTATTCATAATCTTAAATCTTAGCACGATGCTTATTATTTTTGCCACAGTTGATTATGAATGTGATAACTGATTCCCCAATAATTCACGGATTGTCCGACAAGCCCTACACCCTGTATCATCTTACCAGCACAAACGGTTTAGGCGTCCAGGAAAACAAAGTCCATTCTAAAAACATTACTGATCTTACGCAAGCGGAATTGGGAGTTACACTGCACAGGTATAAATCATTAATGCAATCACTTTTATTAATTGCAACATCATTTTGCTGCTGTATCATGACGAAATCACGCGATACATCACTTAATTAGTGTATTTGTACATATCAAACTATTCTGATAATACGCAATTTTTATAGTGGATCAATTGCTATAAAAGTTACCCATTAACTGTAGGTAATCTATCTAACATTATCTTTCATGTGTATGTTTAATTAGATTTCTAGATTTTAAGTTACATAGAACAATCAACATAAAATGTAATAGTCTATTACAGTTAGCATCTACAATCTCAATATATCCGTTTTATAATACGATTAAGATATTACACTTATACTGTATATATACCTTTACATCAATTACGATAGTATTTGTTATTACTATTCAGATAATTGTTGGTATTCATATATCTATAGTAAGTTATCCTTTAATGACATAAAATTCACTATAGCTAGCTGTTAACAAGTGGGCTATTCTTTATAAATATCACATCACTTCATTATTTTGCTAACGAAAGCCTACTGATCCCTCTTAATTCTTTCGCACACCTAATATTCATATCATCATGGTAACGATCATAGTCAGTTTCTGTTAAATTGCTTATAACCATTCCTATTTCTCTAAATTAACTGCTGTAATAATCTAAATTTTTTAAAATTACAATAATGAACAATATTACATAATAGCAGAGTTTAACGAAATGGCTAACATACATATAAATGATTATTGTAGCAAAAAAGAAATTGACGATATGATTATTAATATAATAATTACATTTCCTATTTTTTTCTATTTAGGATCAAGACCTTGTTTCACATACTCAATCCGCATGAGCTTAGCTGTTAACTAGAAGCACAATTTACTGGAATAGAACTACCATTTACGAGCTATCAGTTGTATTATGCAAAGTTGAACTTATGATAAAATCCAGAAATTAAATAAGTCTGGTTCTATTCACGTAATTCATAAAACAGAAGATGCATTAATTTTATTTTTAAGTGATATCTACATGTTTTCAATAAAGAATTACCTCATGTACTCTGCACGTTGCTCGAAGTATTGTGGCAGAAACAGTTTCAGAAATAATAAAATTTTAAAATTCAAGAAACTTTAACTTTTCAAGCAAATGGTAAAAATACTCCAAGATAATATTGAGATCTTTATAAAGTTACAACGATATCATATCCTTAGTGTAAGTACTGTAATGCTATCCCTAATGGTTACCAGAGACCGTAACTTTTTCTCTGTGATACTTTTGTATATTTACCTCATAGTGGTACGATGTATCATATTTAGGAGTATACTATCTATTTTATGTTAGACGCTTGCGGCAGTATTTTAATCTATTTTCGGGCTACTGTTTCAAATTACTGCATGGAATAATTACTATTATTTTTATTTTATACCATCTACAGTAGTCAATTCAATTATGCGATATATTCGGACATTAATGTAAGTGATGTCATCGATATTAACTAGTATTAGCTACCCTTGCACAACTACTATTTTCGCATCTATACAGCATTAAGCTGCATTATCGCCAAGCAGCGACCAAAGCATGTATATGTACAATGATGAACAGTACGTGGCTATTGAGAAAAGTCATTATCATTCTGAAAGCGAGAACTATAGGAATAGACCATTTCTTGTAGTTCGCAACCTTTTTATTAAAATTCCGTGATTGTAAATACCAGTAGTGTGTACGGAAAAAGACAATCAACTGTTAGCAAGTAATGTACCCTGGACTAGGTCGCGTAATGACATTCGTAGTGACGAATAAAGCAAGTAAAAAACATAGCAGTACGAAGATACAAGAACATTTAACTAAATTTAACAATTCTTTGTTATGTACTGTAACGTTATTGGTACATATGCATGTATAGTATATGGTATTTACGTTAGTGTAACATGTTTTTACTTGCCATTAGAATCTATACAGGGTTTTACTAGATGAAAATTTTTCCAGTAGTAAAAGTAAAAAACAAATATCATAAGCTAATTAAATACATTTAAATACAATCTCGAATTATTCTACATTACAGTGTTTAATTCTTGTTAAGCAATAACTTTTATAGCAGTAGAAACCGGAACAGTAAAAATGTACATCTTAAGGGAGATTTACATTAGCGAAAAATTAATCAGAGTCGCCTTCATAACCTGCATTATTAGTAACCGTTTCTACTGCAGTCGCTAGGTTGCCTTCTCGGAGTCTCTCTCCTGCAAAATGAAGCATAAAATTAATGGGTCTTCCAAAACTAATGATAATAAGAATTCTTTTCTCGTTTACAGTAAATAATATTTAACTTACTAATAATATCAACGATACTCCTTTGTGTTTTCCGTTCCAATTTTTGCATTTTATCTTCTATTGTGCGTTTTAAATCCCTAAAATTGAAATGAAAATTATAAATTTTCTTTTAAATAAATCCTTGGTATTAGTATTGCAAAGAACAGAAGGATAGTAATTGTAAGCGACTGGAAAGTGCTATAATAAATTAAATCTAGTAGATATTTTGATAAATTTTTAGCTGTTTCCCTATCATATTAAATGATTGCAGTATCCATTTGTAATATAGTATGACAAAATGAAGATACGGTCATTGAATCTAACCAGTCAGGCTTTCTCGGGGCTAGATTAACCAAATCCTATGGTAGAAATCGAATGAAAAGCGAATAAAAAATCATTGCATAAGGATTCGAGGATACCTATAACCATATAAATTGGGTCTCATATGAAAAGTGGGATTGTTATCATTACCACTCCTTCATATTTAGTGTTCGCGTTAGTCGAACTTAGAATCTCTTCAACGTCTTCCTGAGCTATGATATTGAATAAGATTACATTAGACAAACATTTATAAGATAGAAATCACGTCCATGTATAAGTGTACTTTCTAAACGTTCAGCAGTGTTTAATTCCCATAACAGTATCGGTTAATTATCACTCTACAAGACAATGATGCAATGCCTACATCTACTGTACAATATCGTTTCATTGACGAGCATTGGCTACTAAGAAATTATCTTTCAAAATACCTGTTGGTGCTGACGGCTTTTCCATTTTTTGATCCTTTAAACTGTCATCTTGGGGTAGATAATTCCTAAACTTGACTCTCGGCATACTAATAATGAACGGTAGAAATGTGTTACAACAAGATGTATAGCCCAAATTGGACATTTCACGTTAGTTATCTCAATCGACAGCATACAACTCTTTTGAAATGTCATTGATGATTAATTTCATTTATTCAATCAGATAGTCTTACTTGGAACTTGTGTTTTCTAGCTGCCTTTTTTCACCGCGATCCTGATTAATATTAATATCAACATATCATGAATGATGACTCAGTGATTCTACATTACAAATATATCAACAGCTATAACAAGTATGACATATACAAAAAATAAGTTTCATCACAGCACATGACAACGCGATTGAACATCGACGTTGTTATGGATTTCCTTTCCAGTGGTGACTACAACATACTGTAGGTTATTCTAACCGGATTATTTTACTAGTGCTTGTTTTAAAACTTAATTTTTATCTCTTATAAAGTTAAATAACCAGATCAACTAAGCTCCTACGAATAATAAAGATGAAATTTTCCACTGGCGAGAAGTAAGCTTGTTGTATTTTATTATAGCCACGAATGGAGCACAGTCGTATTCCATTGTAAGAACTGGTCCTACATCATTTTATTCTATCCAATGTCATGCAATTTGTAATCAAAGCTATCACTTACAATTTTTACCTTACTATTGCCATGACTATCGCCTTTTTCTTTTGCTAAAGCTTTTAATCTTCCTTTCCTTTCTAATGCAGCAAGTTCCAATGAGCTAATTCCTTCAGTCGCCATGTTACCGTTCCTTCCTGAATCTCATAGAGGCATGAAACTATGGTACAGGTGACAGTACAATGCTGTACTGTACTGTACTGTACTGTAGTACTGTACACTGTATAGTAGTATTGTAGCACAGGCCGAGCCCAGACTTCCCCATAAATTTTGTCCATCGCTCGTCCCTTCCGTTCCTTTTTCCCTCTTTGTCCATCGTCCGTCCTTTTACGACGGACAAACTTGTATCAACTTCACCAAGGATTTCTACTTTTCACTACATTAGAGTAAGTAGGGTCTCCAGTCACTCGATGTATCGAGTGTTTTATATCAAAAGATCTATGGCAAATGATAATATTATAATCATGCAGACTTTTTTCTATATAGCGTTATGCTATACTAATGTGTAGCCTTAATAATGTAGATCTACAACTATATTAATAATAATAGCGTTGATTATAATCATTTTATCTTGGAGATATATTAACTGTAAATATTGTTAGGTGTTTATAAAATTGGTTACTTTCAATTGTATAGGCATATGCATATTCCTATGGACTGTAGGCAAGTAGGGTTATGCCGACGTTAGCAAGCATACTTAACGAGTAAGGATAATCTAACCATAAAATATTTTTGAAAGTACAGGATACTGTGCTAATAAATCATCTATACAGAAAGCATGTCATATTGTTATATTCGCAAAATTTATTGTGATGATCGCGATCGGCGGAATCAAATTAGATTGTAGAATTCAATATCTAATGTTGATAACATTGATGTTTTATAATGGAAAGATGGACGTAGATCGTCTAGTCGTAATGATTGATAAGAAAATTAACAAGTTGTTAATCATGATAATTTAGATATAAATTACAAATATTAGATTTATGGATATATACGTATAGATCATGAATATGCAGATAAGTTAGACAAGCGAATATGTAGACAGACAGTCAGATACTTGTGTATATTTATAGACGGTATACTTTATATGTAGGTACTGCATATATGGCTTAGATCCAATTGACTATCGTTTCGTAAATGTATACGGCAGCAAATATTACTAAATGACAACCACTGCTATCATAAATTCATTTAATCGACTGAAAAGCTAATATTTATAAAGATTACCATCAATTAATATTCAGCGTAAGTAATATTTAAATGTGTTATGTTGTTACTTTATTTTTTGCATGACTATCAGCTTATAAAGACTCTATTACTATATCCATTTCTTTAACTTTCGAGTATATATAGGTATATACAGTATTTGAAGGTTCATATATTAACATTTGAATTCGATAAATGTATAACCTCTCTATTCAGGAAAAGGAATAGATTTCTATCATTTCGTACTGGGTCTTCATTTAGGGCAATATATAATTAATATACATCCTTGTTAAAGGTCAATTTTTAAAAGTAAATTGTGACAAAAACGGATATTGTATCAATCGTTTGGCTACCATCTTGATTAGATTAGGAGGCCAATAAATATAATTCCTTGTTTTAGATTGAAATGCATGGATAATGCCGGTAGTATGACTTATATACTGTTGAGAACATTCTAATTGCAAGAATAGGCATATTTTCATAACTTGTTTCTTAGGATTAGCAATAACATCAGAGGTATAAATATCCAAGACAGTATCATTAAGGCGGTCTTTAAGATGCCAATTTATTTTAGCATCGGCAAAGAAATGATTAATTATCCGACGTAGTTTCTTCATATCAACATTGGAAATATATTCCTATTGCAAGTGGAAATAACACAACATTACTATACAATATTAATCAAAGTTACAGCGACAAGATAGAGCAATATCATGCTAGGCATTCTTTCTTTTAAAGGTAATTAAAACACTATATTGTATATATACTTAAAATTTTCCATCTCAAATAAAATAATACTGCAATATTGATATTATCTTCATAACTATTGCAATAAACGATAGATTTCTTCGTAAAATTCTAAATAACTGATACAACCATGATATCACATTTCTTAAAATGAAACTCAGAATTACATACAATCATAAATTAAAAGGTTTTCAACTCAGTTTAATTATAGGATGAAATTCTTTCACTCCGTATTACTACATATGATATTGTCGACATTATTTTACTGTTGCATCTTTAACCTGTTGTTTAGTCGGATCCGTCTGCCTTTTACCATAGCGCCTGATATAAGCGGTAGAGATAACATCGTAAGGATTGCGTACAACGTGGATAAATTTAACATCAATACGGAGTTTTAACTTGAGATAATCAACAACAGCTGTCGATTTTTGTTCATCGAGACGAAAATGCCGAGTAGTTTTACCACCTTGCTTATCACCAATTACCTAGGATAAATACAGAAGAGAAAAGAAAAATGTTTAGTCTATTTCATTACTTTACTATCGCTATGAAACTACCACTATATCTTTTGGAATGGCGCAGCCATAATGTCACAATCTGTTAATCTCACGCCAACAACAAGTTTAATGTCTCGAAATTTTCCCCCCCTCATCTCTATTGATGTATTGAAATTGTCAAAATACAATAGGACAACCAAGGCGATTTTATTGTTTTATTAATTACAAAGTTGGCTAAGCTAATCGCCCCGTAGATTGACCAAAGACAATTCAATTTAGTCAACTAGCATTGACATTGCCGACGGCAATCCACGGTGACTACATTAATTGTCATTTTCTTTTGTTTTAAGTAGACATATAATATCCAGTTGACTGTTATCGCCATCAATTCAATTTCAAGGGTACTTAACTACTAGCTATCAACTTTTTGAAATGATCGCATCGTTTTAGAAGCCATAAAAACAAAGTGATACTATTTTAGATGGAAGTAACAAAGGATATAGTTTTATTTCTCTTAGTCATCGAACAGTTAGATTGGATTAAGTCTACTTTAATAAACGGCATTCGATGATCCTTCAGCTACGATAATTAATTAAACTATTGAACTTACGTAATAAAACACAAATGCCTAATAATTCTATTATTAAATTTGTGTTCAAATTTGAATCTGATTGATTAGTATGCTAATGGAGCGATCAGATCGTATACTTGGCGGTTATCTCATAACGATCGGATTAAAGTAAAGAAAGTTTCAGTGGAAAAGTTATGCAAAAAATAATATTTTAATCCTCTATAATCTATTTGCGTTATTCAGCTCTACTGCTAGCTAATATATTATATAAAAAATAAAGAAAAAGCTATCTTACCTTGATGTCTCCTTGATATCTCCCTTGCCATTCATTAGGGATATGGTAGGAATAAATATTTGAACTTGATAGAGTTGGAGCGCGCTTACCACTTACAGCATGATATCTAGAATTGTTGTACAACTGATATAGTAATTGCTGATGTTGATCATTCTTAGATGACTTTAATTGCGGCCATTTACCAATAACATCATATTCATGCGCTACAATAGCATGGGGATGAGCATCTATAATACTACCAATAAGGGAATGACCACTGCGTGGATAACCGATAAAAAAGAGGAAAGTTTGTAGTTTTTTACACGCTTGAGACTGAAAAGCGATACTATCACCATAGATAGAAATATCTTGCTTCGGTTTTTGATTTATTTTAAGCCTGAAATAAGTATGTGGAGTTAACTTTCTAGTGTGCGCGTAGAATAGCATTATTTGAACTAGGACTGAATTAGTAATTCAAATAAATTGTTTGTACACATAATTCAACTTATCCGTTATATAAATTTTAATGAATTGTCAACATCAACCATCGGCCCATGACAGACTAATCAAATATCGGCAATACATGAATACGATCAGGACAATTGATAGAAGAACTGTAGTGACTGGGAATCCAGATTGTAAAGTATTTAATTTTAGTTTCAACTATCTTGAAAGTTAAAAATGTTTCAGACTTGATTAATTGTATCGAAAGATAATCGAAGTTAATCCCATGCAACAAACACATAATAAGTCACTATGACGAATATCTAAACTGATGACAAATTGATTTTGGACTGTGGTTATTCTATTAATTGTCTATCATAAAGATTCTTCCTTAATATCATAGTAAATTAGCTGTAGCATGAACTTCACTGTGGATTAGTTTCAAATTATTACCAACAAAAAGCTATCTTTAATTCATAATTACAACTAATGAATGTGAATACTTTGCGGCCTTTCCCCAAATTTTTGAATAGTAGATAAACTAATACATCATCGTGATATCAATGTTAATATTTTAAATTAAATTTCAACACCTAAGCTATCAAAGATTAAAATAGTGCACATTGGCTACTTGACTCATTATAATACCAAAATAAATCGAAGATATAAATGTAGCAAGTATATCAATTGATTCATGCTCAATATAGCCTGTTGTTCATGCTATCAGGTACATTTATCAAATAATCGATAGAACTAGTTGGATTTCATAATATCGGACTATTAAATACAATTTTAACCTTTAAAACTATCACTTCAAAACTTACTTGTTCTTTGTAGAGAAACAGAAAATGGTCAACGTAATGATGGCAATCGATAGCAATAATAATCCACCAAGCACAGTTATCATTTGATTACGCTGCATTCTCATCCTTTAATGCAATTCGTTGAACTTAGATCAAGCGATAGAAAAACTTTGATGATGATATAACGATTTCTCGTATTTAAATTTAATCGCACTGACATTTAACTGTATCGCCCTACTGTTCAATTTGAATCATCATCAATAAATACTGGTTATTTAACATTCAACAATATCTGTCGACATAAAGAAAGAATATCAACAACAAAAGCATGATTATCATCATTTCGATAAGATTGTAAAACATTCTTGCAGTCCTTTTCATAGGCCGTAATCAGCTGGCTTTGTTAATTATTTTCATTGGTTACGACGTCATGATAGAATTTATAATACAGTTAACGCTTCCATTTTAAATGAAATAACAACGCTAGCAACGGCCCTCTAAAAATTTTTTACCGTCTACACAATCTAACGTGTAAACAATGATAATATTTTCTTATAATGTTCACTATATTGAATGATCACCATCGAATAAGTCACTAAATTAGCTAAGTTAACTGTAATTATCTCGTTAGAAATTGGCTACAATGTTGAAATTAAGGGAAGATAAATTTCTAGATATCGATTAACATCAAAGCTATCCCTTTAGGGATGTATTGGATCGAAATTATTGATGTTATGTAACATTTAACTTTGTATTCATAATATCAAGATCAAAAGGTAGCCTATAAATTTAGCATGAGTAGTGGGTTGGCCAATAGAGGTGAACGAATGAATAGGTAGAAAATTTTTTATATGGGAAATCAACAGCTGTCCGCTATTCTATTATGTCAATATTTTAATAAGTAGATACTAAATATTGATGACGCTTTCCATTCTACCTTGACTCATAATCATCACCCTATATCTCAGTATTGATTTTAAATCAGAAAATTTTAACGCTAAGATTAGGCTGAACAGACACTTTCCCAACGACGCTTGAACTCGAAAATCTATTTCATAATTTATCATCTTCATGATATACACGGCTTATCACCTTCTAATCTATAGTTTTATCTATATAACATTACAATACAAACTATTGTCATGAGAGAATAAAATCTATTCAGACCGCGCCTTTGACTATCATTTATTCTTAAAGTGGAATTTACGACTATTATTAAGCTGGATAAGTAAGGATTTCAAAATTTTCTACATATTTTTACAATGATACTCCCACGGTGATAAAATGTTACAAACCAGCCTGAATAAACTTATAATCAAAGACGTATTTGCTTTAATTTATACAAGTATGTAATGTATACGATATCGCTTTTTGTTATTGCTGGTATTAAAGTGTTACAATTACAAAAGTTAGGCCTAGTTAGCTTAGTATAAATTATTCTGAAATACTCGAATTTTGGTACAGTATCACAAAATTAGGAACTACTAAAATAGTCATTGTATATCGTTAACGAAGACTTATTTAACGTTGGTTAGCCAGTTAGAAAGAAAACCTTGCTACCATCAGATTTTGATCTATTGCTGTCGCTGCTATTAAATTACGAATCATTTAAATAGTTTGGTTAGTTAATAACCATTTTAACAGCGCTTAGGACAGAGACAACAGTTAAGAAAACCAGCTTTATTATTATTCAGAATTTGATTACCATATTCAAACGATTCACTGAAATCAGGCATCTTACTGAATTCCAGTATTACTTAAAATTTATCTATTTACGTCCAGATTTTATTTCATTTACATCTTGCCACTATCAGACCCGTAATAATAACTATAATCTGTATATCCAGAAGTTACTAATCAATCTACTTTACAATTAAATTTATATGTAATGTAAATAAATCTGCAGGTCGTGAGAACTAATATCATATGTCATAATAACTATTACTGGAAGGCTATTAAATTTATAGTCATCTGTTTACAGAAGAATATTTCCTTCTTAAAAATATGCAACTCGACATACGATAATTACGTAATGTAGCAAGATATGCAAACTATAAAATTTCTTTATCAGAAATGAATACATATGCGTATAATACAAATATAGTTATTGTAACTTAATTTATTCAATACAATCTTGGGAATGGTAATTCAGCAGTCGGTTGAAGCCTATTATCAAATTGCAATGAATCTATTATAAAGTTACACTGACATATAATTAGCAAGTTATAAATGAGATAAGCGTATCAACAGCTTAAGTGAAACAAAATAATACTAACCAATTTTCTTTGCTCCAAGTAGTATTTCTTGACTCATATAAATGAAAAGTATAGATTGGTCTTGCTTTTGGAGATTCATTTTTTAAACTACGATGTAAAACTTCACCATGAATTAAGACAACAGAGCCTAATTTAAGGGATAAAAATTAGGCACGCGTTAAATTTTAGAAGCAATAAACGTAAAATATTTTAATAATATTCTTAAATTAAGCTTAAAGCTCTAAATAAGTATAATACGTATAATTAATGAAACAATTTCATGCACCGAAGAGAGTTGTACTGAGTTGTATTATCATACATGTAGCTAAATCTCTTTAGATATAACGAAATTTAGCTAATGGGGTGGTAAGAATAATTTACATTAAACAAAATAAATAGCAGCGAAGCAAATAAACCTTTCTTGACTGGCAAAGGAACAAATTTGCTCTCCTCAAAGTCTTCTATGCCACCAGTAAATATAACGGAGGAACCGTTCGGATCAGGATTTTTTATCATTCGTCGAGATGTACCCTCTACAATAATAGCAAGTATTGTCTATATTATATATAGACAAGAAAGTTGATATAAAGTATTCATAATAATATATTTCACCTGTTTGGGATCCAGGAATAAACCATAAGCAGCCATTAGTTAGTGTTACGTCTTCTAAAGCGAACCATAAACCCATTAATTTCACAGGGGTAGAGTGTAAGAAAGTTGCATCTCGATGTGCTACAACTACGCGTAATACAAATGAAAGCACGTAAAATATAAATACAGTATGATAACGCTGGAAAGATCTGGTTTTAAATTATAACGATAGCTGTAAAACTTTTCGGATCAGATTATCTTACCTTCTCCTCCAATGTGCGGCGGCTAGTAATTATAATGTACAAATTAATTAAATATTATCATCGATATAGTTAAGGCAATCTTTCTTTACTATCAAGTATTCTTACCTTAAAGATAAACATACTCTGCAATATTTTAGGTTCTACGAAGCCAAGACTCCTAACAATATTCTGTATAAATAGGAGAAACAGCGAATCTTAATATTATAAGTTGAGCAGTAAAGCAGTAAATATTGGCATTCTACGTATACCACAACTATTACATTATCTAAATTTATTATCACTTACTTGGATCTTGGAACTGAAAGTAAATGATTTAACGGTAGGATTTAATTCATGTAAAGCTATCATAATTGAGTTAATAACATAAACTTTGTCAGTTAATAATACCATAAAATGATAAGCTGGAATAATTTTGATTTGGGAACCGAATTATATGTAAAATGTAATACTCCAATCATTAGATAAAGTTGCCAATAGTCAAAAATTTATTAAGGAAACCTTTACTCTATTTATCCAGTCTAATATGTCATTTGACTAACCATGACCGATCTTGTTCAACGCTTCATATTTATCTACCAAAAGTTTACCTGCAACGTTGTTACAGTAAAAGATTTGTTATTACATCGTTTAAAAGTAAATTTAAAAATGAATTTTGTCAAACAAGATCTATACACATGATTGGTAATTACATTACATAATCTATTAATACTGGATTATTGATTAAATTAGAGAAGAAAGTACAACCAATCACGACCGCTATATTGCATAAAGGCTTCAGCAAAATGCAAGACAGGAATAGTGCTCCATTAGGAATAACTAACTTATCATATATTTTACATATTCTGCTCATTGATGAGTCAATACAATAATAAACTTTACTATTTAGATCTTATTATGGTATTGGTTGTACAGTATACGTATTAATTCACCCTTTTCATCGAAGGCCTTTTCTTCAAAGAAGTATCTAATCTTATCTCCACTTGTCATGAAATAATCATCCGATCTTCGCATATTATCCTAATCATCATCATTGGCCAATCAGTCACATAATCCAATAAGGGCTATTTAATATTGATAGATAGGTGTACAATGTACATACAATACGAGTATATACCGAATTGAATCATCACATTGCATTTAAAAAACAATTTGCGTTTAGAATATGCTGTCATAGCTAACGGTAACTGTAAACAATAAAGTCTTGCTTAGGATAATAGACTATTTTTTCTATCCAAGATGTACGTACCGCGTACAGTAGTATACGCGTATAAGTAACAAGATTGATTTATTACTCTAAAGTCTTTCTAGATCTATAGATTAAGATATCAACGCCCAATTACCATACGACTGAAAATAACGCTACAATAGGTGATCGTATTTATAAAAATATTAAACAACCGTGGTACTAAAAACTGCTTTCGGATGAGTGGACATATCTAGTTGATGAAGTAGATCTTGCGATGCTAGTTGAAGCGATCGGACCTCTTCTTCACTGCAGAAATCTTCGATGATTAAGCATCCATCTTTATTAAACTAAAGATCAGATCATAAACAAAACAAAGTGAATTTAACATATCAACAGACCTGAAATAATCCCCGAATCACTGTACATGATTTATATAACGATCGAAAATTGTTTAAAATTTATTTATAATGCATGCTGCTCGCAAAGTGATGCCATCATGATACCATATATGTTGCTTTTCCATAAGAAATAGTAGACTATCGCATAATATGATACGCCTACAGTACAGTTGATATCATCAACTAGCACAGTATACATACATATTCCACTTTGGATAGAATATCAAGGAGCAGATACTACTTGATAATAATGCAATAGACCATTATATCTGTCATCAGGAATAAATCAGAATTACAATTCAAGAGTACTTAATAATTAACCTTCTGAATTTGCTCGTCATTCAGACTTCCATCCATTTTGAGCGGTTTTACCTACTGTACTGGATACAAATAATAAGGGTCTCTACTGTACTGTACAGTGTACAGTACATTCCACAATTGCAATCTATTCCGTGTGCACTATGTGACAAGGGAAGACAATTACCTCCTACGATGCTACTACTCTGTGCAAAATAAGTTGTCATCGTTGCCTCTCTAACTTTATGACCACTTTTGATTATGGGGTAAAACTATGTAGGGAAATTTGCCATAGTCTGACCCGATTGATGAATGCTATGGATGGAGAATAAAAATTCCCGAAGAAGACTCAAGGGGCGACAGCTCATTTTGCACAATACCATGGTCAGCTTGATAGTACTGTACTGTATTGTAGTGTAAGTAAAGTGTGCTGTCGGTGACTCAGTGCTTACAATAGAAAGTAAGTTTTAACTAGTTGTCTATAGTGCAGCTTGGTCATAATACTGCTACAGTATAGTACAGTCCTGATAATACACTTGCTCTCATACAGTACTGTACACTGTACAGTCTACAGGATATAACTGCCGTTCAGTTTCAATTTTTGCAGCAATCAGCATCTAAAAACCAATCGAGGAATCAAACTTCGACGTACAAATTCAAGGCAGCCTGGTTGTTATTCAGATTTACATTGATGCACTGCACTGTAAACTGTCTACACTTGTATAGTACAGCACACCAGTACTAAAAAAGCTATTCGTCTCATATTGATGTAATAATAATAAAGAACGCCAATCATGCCGTTGTGATCACGCTAGCAATTTCAGCCGTAGTTTCTATAAATGCGAGTCCAATATCCAATATACTTGCATGTAATATACTGTATTAGCGACCTAGCAGCACAATAACGATTCGATTGATCAGCCTTTAGTCGATCGTAATGAACGATATTTTACGATACAACACAATCAATTACAATCGTAGTTATTCGATTGTCTACGTTATATCCTGTAATTCATAATGTTTTACAACTGGCTAACACTTCGCAGGGACGGGACAGGAAGCGGCCTTCAGTGCCAAATAATGTGAAGACTTATCATTTTTTCAATCATTCTGCTATACAGTACCAATGAAACCGTATGCCATACTACACAAAACCAATTTAGCAGGCTAATCGTAGCTAATTTGGATGTCAATCGTGGACAGTATAGACAGTAGTATACGTACTATTGCAGACATGCGATACAGTTGAAATGACCCGTAAAACAGTAAGTCCCTACATCATTAGTATAGTGAATGATCGCTTCCTATCTTGTCTCTTTCTTTTTAGTAGTCTCTGCTCTCAGTATACAATATCTCTTACCAGGATACTACTACTTCTAACATTTGCACTCGCTAATGCATGAATACTTAATAGCATACTTCACTACATAAAGAATACAGTACCTTACGTTTATGCTTCCATCGATCTAAGTATTTAAGTCTATAACGTATCATTCTGGAAAATTTTTAGCTATGATGAAGTAATGGGGGAAGAAAACACCATTTTATTGTGCTCCCTGGTAATATTACAGTAGCCAAGCAATAACACGCCTTCTCTTTTACTTCAATATCTAAAGCCAACATTAGCACACGTACGTAGACACGTTTATGCATACATGGGTGCATAGTAGTTAAAATTAGCTAAAAATTTCGCATTTCTTTCGCATAGTGTAACCTCATCTTCAGCAATACTGATAATCCATTTATTCAGCAGCATTTTTTACAATAACTATCAATTAATTTTATTGTCAGCAGCGTACCACACTGTAGGTACTGTAAATCCTTAAGACCCTCTAATGTACTATATATATACTCGTACATATACGTTGAGGTTAATCCTGATGGTATGAAGCTACAGCACTACCGTAAGATACTTAGCCTTTCCAACAATAAATAAATACATCGATAGGATCAAAAACTTTGACGCAGCTACAGTATATTAAATATACATATTATAATATAGAATAACGTCAGAATCTAATATCGAAGTAAGCAATAGTTTATTAAAGGTATAAACCAATCGCGTGTTAATGAGTCTACGTATCTTTATACACTATAAATTTATCACAGGTTAAGAGTGAAACTAAAGTTACTTGCTATCAAAGGGAGCGTCAGAAGAGTTCATTGTATTTTAATAATAACTGATAAAGAATGCAATAGCTGCTGACTTATCAAATAGTTTAATAAATACTATCATCTACCGTAAACATATATAGTTAAATAGATCATGATAGTATGATGGATGATACGTGTCCTGGCGCTCACTTTGATGAACTATTTTATGCTACCACAGCTGATAATTACAACATGTTTATAGTACATTTACCACAATCTAAAAACTAGATCCCGGTCATTTTCAGATTCACGGCATCAGTCCAATAGATTAAACATCAGATTTCCACAATTTTATCATTTTATCGTTCTCTAACGCTGCTGAAGCAATAATGTTTTCCGTCGGATGGCATGCACACGATAATACAACATCAGAATGTCCTGAAAGTTTCTGAACTACTTCCTTCGACTGAAGATTCCAAATGTATATCATATTATCCTCTGAGCCCGAAACAATCCACTAAAGAAAAGGGTTTATCAGGATAAGAATATAGTATTAAGTCCCATGTCAAGATTTATTACCTCATCTATTAATATTGTTAAATTGCGACACACTATGCCATAGCATCTATAAAATCTATCACAAACCTTGCCACCAGTAACAGAGAAACTGGCAAAAATGCAATATTTTTCGTTTTTATGACCACGATAAGTTTTCAAGCACTAAAGTAATATATGTTTGGACAAAGATAGTAAGAATTCATTGACTAGAATAAATATTCAATTTCTTAGTCTCCATTGTCAAATCATCTCATTTTAACGACATACCTTGCCTTTACTATAATCCCATAACTTAAGTGTGCTAAATTGTTGATACAATAATACAAAATTCACGATTAATCGTTAATCGCTACAGAAATTATTAATGAAGATAACTACTCGGATTAGCCAAAGTAGTGTTGCAGTTAAAGGCTTACTTATCCAAAGTAGCGGCCAATATATATTTGCCATTAGGTGAAAATTTTACAAAAGAAACAGGAGGATTATCATCGTCTGAAATAAGAGGTGTATGTTGGTCTTTTATATTGTCAATCTTGAATTACCCTTAAACAATAATATTATCCATCCTTACCAATGATAGTTTTCAAGCATTGACCAGAAGCAGTGTCCCAAATTCGACTAGTATTCAAAATTGCAATATTAGAAAGATTGACACCAGATCGAGTAATTTCTTGTAAGAAAGAAAGATTTACATTACAGTACATACCATAATCCATCGTAACTTCCAGAAACAATTAAAGCTCCGTCTCTATTAAAATGAACCTATTGCAGGAATTACAATAATAATCAATCAATCACGCAAAGAGAAACGTATGCTAATAACATTGGATAACTTTACAACTATTTTTGCATTCTATGCTATACTGTATATCATTGATAAGCAAAACTTTACCGCGGAGACTGGGTCGGAATGGGCTGGTAAAGTCTTTAACGTTTTTCCTGTTCTAACATCCCATATTCTAACGCTCTCATCAAACTATTACCAAATTTGATAGAATATAATTGAGAAATTAACAAATATAGTACACTCATCAGCTTAGTAAACAATAAGCAATGTGTATACCAAGGGTTATAAATCTCAAGAAATTGCTTGTAAAGTTATCAGTGTACTTACTGAACCAGATACGATCAAATTAGACTGAGGGTTGAAATTGCAACAAAAGACATAGTTACTATGTCCCTTTAAGGTTTTAAGGCATTTTCCCTAAAAACACAATTTGATTATTGCATTCAATATCAACGTTGGGATCCTATAATCAACTTAATAGAAAGTTGACAAAATTGTACATGCATTATACAGTAATCAATCTTCACTGGAATAATGAGACCATTATCATCTCCATATTAATTATACTATCGCTCATACTACACCAGCTAGACATAGTACACGACTTTTTGGTGCAGTACGTCAGTTGTCCTCTATTGAAAGCTACTATTGATCGAATGTATAAAAGATTGCACGAGCATCAAATATTTAGGTAAGAAGTAATCATCCTAAAATAAAATGTAAAGCTGTGACTTGTCTCGCGTTGTATGATGATGTTGCAATAGTTGTAATGAGAGCTTACCGTTGGAAAATCCCATATTTTTAACGTCTTGTCATCGGAAGCAGATACAAGTAATCTCGAATCTGATGACCAGGCCACATCTGAAATACCCTGTATGAGTCAATCACAGCAATCATCACGTTTGACATAGTCATCATCATGGATAGTATTGTCATGATTTACTGATGAAATTCACTTCAAAGTCTTTTTAAAATATCTCAACATACTAATTTATGTCCTTGCATGGTCTTTTCGTATTTGCCATCGTAGGCACCCCAGACTTTAATGGTAGCATCAGCAGCTATATCGTCGAAGGAAATATAAAATGTATTCACTATTTTCATGAATAATCTATTTATAAATGTTATTGGAATCTTTGCAGTACGATTATTTGAATGAAGATGCAGTGATCGCTAATTTTGTATCGCATGTACAAGCATCACCGATGGTAGTATAAACATGAAGCCACTAAGCATGAATGATGACGTACGATGCTTACCAAGCATTCAAAGCAGTACGTATTCATCTCAATTGAATTCTGTTCCCTATTACTTACACGAACTGGCTAACCATTCCCCATCAGGGCTAAATTTAACTGATGAAATTGCCTTAGTATGCCCAGATAGTGTATACTTTAGCGCATATTCTGGTTTCTATAAGTTCATTCAAAGAAACAACAACCGCAATTAATGAATATATCAGTGCTGATTAATATTTCCAGCAATTTAACAGGAGTCAATTTCATCCAATCAAATTATCCTTTTTGCCATTACAAGATATTACAACAGATTTCTAGGATCATTATACTAGAAATGGATAGGCATATTAAGTGAATCATTTCATTCTTTAAAACAACGTTACTTTCAACTCCACTGATTCTTTCTAATAACATACACATACTGTCAAGAGATGTGATTGCTTTTAGCTACGATAAAATAAGATAGTATGAGAAAAATGAAAAGGATGCAGAACAATACGTAAGTTATTGATATGCTAGAAATCATTAGCAAGAGAAGATAGTATAGTATCCAACTGTTGATGTCCATCATGCTGTAGAATATACAACCATCAGAACAGATCTATCCTGGAATATGGATGAATCAAGCACTGTCTCTATCTCTCGATAGTGAAACAACAATGCAGTGGATGGCCTGATGCAAACGACAAAGGAATTGACTACAGTCAGGTATATCAACCAACAAGGAAATAATCACTTTGGATATGGATGAGTTAACCTTCATCCTTATCGTCAATATTGCAGTTCTAACAGTAAGCAAATGGAAAAATAGAATATTCAATCCATTTATGCCAACATTACCTTGGGTGGATTGGTCGGACCGCTAGCAGTGCCGGATCCGTTGGTGGCGGAAGAAGCGTTAGCCATTACCGCCGCACATACAGTAGAATTAGCACTGAAGTTAGGTTAAAGCGCGGAAAGATTGTCACATTTGTATGCTACTACTACTGGGCATGGTACAAGCACAAGGCCCATGGCCAACAACAAAAGGTGGTCAACGTGCTATCTCATGCCAATGGCATTACTGCGAATATGGCCGTATTGGCTTGAATGGAACAGTGACGTCGTATAGTACACTAGGCAGCCAGAGTACAGTATAGCTAGCGCTAAACTGTCCTGTACTGTACTTTACCATACATTGTACTGTACTTTACCGTACACTGTACTGTACTGTAGAAAGAGTTTTATTGTCTTGGGCCATCGACTCGATGGGTCCTCGGACAGTTGGACATGGAGACTCATCTCGTCTGAAAAGGAATGTGTTCCAAATACTTTCTATTCGTTCGAGACCTACTGTAGTATACTGTATATAGAATTGCTCCATTCTGTTTATGACTTAGCCTCGAAATTAAGTATTATTTCATTGAATCCTGCAGTAAGTTCTGCTTGAAAGCGGTTATTGAACGTCAACAATGTTTTGAAATGAATAGTAGTGAATAAGTGAATAGAAATAGAGCATCGAAGGTGAGGATAAGTAGAGCAATAGTACTATATAGTACTATCGTGGCAATACAACATTCGTAGGGCTTGATACCAATAAGTCACTTGGACATTTTTGGCCAAATAGGATTTCACTTAATAAGTCATTTACTACAGTCTACTTCATGTAGTCAGTAGCCTAGCCACTAGTGCGTCCATATCCGAATGTCCAATGTCCATGTCACGAATTGTGACGACATTCCAGAAACAGCTAACCGGTACCAGTTACCATCTTTGAATTCTATAGTACAGTACAGTACTGTACAGAAGAGTATTGTACTCACCAAGGTCCGAACCGGACCAGACCGCGAAGACGTCCATGTACTGTACAATGTACAGTACACAGTTGTGTGTAAAAACTTGGAGTAATGTACTGTACACTGTACACTGTACAGTATGCCTGGAGCACGTCCGTCAATCCGTATGTATGTGTACAGTACTTCCATTGTAAAATAATGTACCGTACGTTCTGTACAGTACATACTGTACAGTACTGTACTGTACTGTAAGATGACAGCCAGCAGCCTTACACAACAAATCACATACGCCGAACCTTTTCTTGCCAGGAAAAGCAGCTAAAGCTAAGCGAGTGAAAAACAATAAACGAAATGTTAGCCAACGTTCTTCGCCAATCTTTAGGAAGAAACAGCTGCCATAGTGCACTGCTCATCACTCAAGCTAGAAGGAAGCATGATTTACCGCCACTGCCGTATGCTTACAATGCATTAGAGCCTACCATTTCTGCTGAGATTATGGAACTACATCACAGCAAGCACCATCAAACTTACGTTACCAACTTGAATGCTGCTGAAGAAAAACTAGCTGAAGCAACAAGCAAAAGTAGGCATCATCTTTCCTCCTTTTACCTATTGAATATCATAGATAAAATTCAATCTTGCAGTCCATGATCCTTCTTGTCGTTGTAGTAATAGTCTAGTAATAATTTCGTAGCGAATGAATAAAACTTTGCTCGGTACTCGTGCCAGCGGCTTCACTGTCATATCAATATTGAGTAGCCTATTCTAAGAAGATTAGGAGAACTCGTACTAATTTGTTGAACTTAATTAGATGATATCAGCGGAGTCATTACATTACAAGGAGCTCTACGATTCAATGGTGGTGGTCATATCAATCATTCAATATTTTGGAAAAATCTATCCAATGATGGCGGCGGACTACCAACCGGTAAATCAATCAGTGTACAGTATATTACAATTCCTTATAGGTAACGTTAACATTTATCTACCCTTCATACTGTAATCTGTAGTGCTAATTTACAAATGCCTACATACGCTATTTTAATGTTGCGATAACGCAATAATGCTTGTTCATATCGTCATGAACTAATAGCCATGACATAATTTCACTTATCTTAAAAATCAACAGTACGTATATACGTGTACTACATTTGGATCATCGTCATAGTGGGATGAATCATTACTCATTAACACTTTTCATCACTCCACAGGAGAGCTAGGCGATGCTATTAATGCCTGTTTTGGATCTTTTGATAACTTTAAATCCAAATTATCTGCTGCAACCATTGCTATTCAAGGCTCAGGATGGGGTTGGCTGGTAAATAACATTGAAGCAGACATTTACCTTAAGATTGGTCAATACGGTAGTACCCAATCGATGCCAATAACTTAAAATGTATTATTCGATTTAGGGATATTGTAAGGAAAGCAACTCTCTTAAGATAGCTACGTGTGCAAACCAAGATCCATTGCAAGCAACGACAGGTTAAGCTTCCATTCGAATGAAAATATTTTCCACTTACTATCTCTATTCTAACATGTTAGTAACTATCGAAAAAATTTTTACCTTCAGGCTACGTTCCATTACTTGGTATTGACGTCTGGGAGCACGCTTATTACTTGCAGTATAAGAATGTTAGGCCTAATTATGTCAATGCAATATTTGATGTAATTAATTGGAATGACGTAGCTAATAATTTTCGAAATGCTAAGGCTTAAACTGAGTCAATTTGTCCGAAATAGAAGCCTTGTCAATCAACTTAAAATGAAGCGCTAATTCATCGCTGTATCTTTTCTATCAAGATAATATTCGCATAATATTCCTATTGCATCATCGGGTTGCATTTTTTAGCAGTTGTACTAGCAGTAGATGTAAAACAAAAATAAATGCACATTGATATGATACTTGGTCTTTTGCGTTGTATTTGTGTTATAGATTTCATGCAAAGGATATATTTCCCTTAATAACCTCTACCCATTCGTCAGTAAGCGAAACCATATACTTTAAACACTCAAATACATTAATGTCTACTAAAGCTAATAGACGACCAATAATTGTACGGATCAATCTTACCGTTACATTACACATACAGAATCGAGCTACGTACCCAACTCCTAGTCTTTTACGCGTATAAGATTCACACAAAAATGAAATCCTATATACCGTAATATACGTAACCTAAGGTTAGACTTACGACTCGCAACTATAACGAACAATGGCAATAAATAATTTTATAAAGATACTAATTACTTTAGTAACTAAATGACTGCCAGGAAACTTATATGTGAATATTTCCAAGATGTTATCCTTATTAAATTGAATGAAATCTGCGATCAATAGTTCTCTACTGCTTTGTGTGTAGTAAAAACTACCGTAATTCGTTGAACTTGGCCTATATTTTGTATAAACGGTAACTGTAATCAACACCGCGTTAATATTACAGTGGGAGCGTTCTTAATGCCAATTACTGCCAGCTTTCCTTGACTCAGTTATAACAACAAATTCAGTAAAAGTAGCGATTTTTTATTAAAAGTCAGCAAAACTACAATTTCCATCAGAGTGTCTAAATATCAGTCAAATTTGAGTCTTTTAAATATCAAGAAAAATATCACTATGGACATATTTCATTCTAGTAACCAATACCTGGTAGGTATCACTATGAATTACTGAAATATAAATTCAGATCGTTTCTTTGATAGCAAAACAATAAATAGCATGAGGTCCTAGCATCATTCATGATGTCACATCACCAAATAATGAAACATTGTATTAAAAGAGTTTAAATGATAGGCCAGCATTCAAGATAGAGTTCGATTATAGACATTACATGATAATCATCTCTATTTTACATCACTTTATAGGGTCTTCAACTAAAGCTATACATAATTCTAGTCTATTGATCATTTTTATTAGAGCATGTTTACCGTGGATTGAGATAACATACAATATAAATCAAGCCATTTCACTATAATCCAAAATCTTCGTCATCTCCGCCAAATATGTCATCATCGTTGTCTTGTCTTGATTCTGCACGCGACTCTACAGTTTGATCAAGTAATTTTGCCGTTCGAACAGCTAGAGCAGCAGCTTTAAATGATTTCTTAGGATCGAAATTCTCTCGAATATTATTGGTTATGTTGTCCTTAAGATCAACGTCTGATATCGATCCAGCTCTATTTACAATCCATGGATGTTTTAGTACTTGCTCGGCGGTATAACGATCAACTGGATTAACCATCAAAAGGTTATCAACCAAGTCGGTAGCGGTATCGGATATATCATCCCAATATGGTGATAGATACTCGAATTCGCCTTTCTTAATGATATTAAATAGTTCATTTTGATTACGATCTTTACTACGAAATGGTGGAAAACCGCATAGTACAATGTAGTTGATAACACCAGTTGCCCACATATCTGCTGGAAGACCATACCCAGTTTCAGCAAGAACTTCAGGAGCTAAATATGTTGGTGTACCACAAATTTGAAATAGCGGCTCAGTTACCACAACTGCTAGACCAAAATCACCAAGTTTTAACGTAAAAGTATCGTCAAAGTTTTGTGTAATCTAGTAATGAAGCAATAACAGAGACAACACATTCAATATAGCTGGTAGAAGTAATATTAATTTAATTTGTATGTACATAGTAAATTATGTGATTGATATTCTATCTATTTACAATATTATGTTGCGATGATAAAGTCTTAACTTACTACGGTACTTTATAATAATTACCTAGTAAAAATGAAGTCTACATCTTATCACTAAATAGCGTAGCGGTAATTTATGAATATTTATATTTTAACGTATCTAATACATAGAGTATAGAAGAAGTCGAACACTATATGATTAGTGACTATTGCAATCTCGTTTACAATATCTTATTTATCTATTAGTAAACTCTTAATTATGATACTAATGTAATAGGAAGTCTGCCTAACCAATAGATGTAACTAACAATAATTTTCGCAATAAATCGAATAGAGCAACATCCTATATCCTACAAGTCTATCAAATACTAACGAACAGAATTTTATTGAGTAGCATGCATTGATGAGGATAAACTTATCGAATAATTAAGCAGCCAAACAGATTGTCACAAATTATCATATCCAAGTAGAATCAGTTGAATTACCACAACTTACTAATAAATTTTCTGGTTTTAGATCGCGATGAATAATGCTTCGTTTATGGAGGTACTGCAGAGCAGCCGCCAAATCTCCAATTAATCCACTAGCTTCAAATTCGGTAAATTTTGAAACATCGGAGATAAGATCGAATAAATCACCACCTTTTACTAGTTCCATAACTAATTGGATCTCTATCTGAGTGTCGAATACTTCAATCAATCGTATAATATTTTTATGACGACATTTTTTCATGATGTTAATCTCATCTTGGATCATGCTTTCCTTGCCTTTGATTTTGCTTTTATGGACTAATTTCAAGGCATATTCTACCAATGTATCTTGCTCAACGCAGTGAAACACTTCAGCAAAATTACCATCCCCAATTATATTCCCTTTGACATAATAATCTTCATAAGTTCCCTCTCGATTAGGTAAAGGTTCATTATTTTCAGGGGTATTTCTACCAGCAGATTTATTAATATTTTCATTATTGACTTTATTTATAAACGTATCCCCCAGTTTTACAGGCGTAGCAGGATCTTTAACGTTGTTTGTGTCTTCCTTTTCCTCGTTATCGCCCGCTTTTTCTTGATTTAAATTTATTCCATTATCTTCGTTGTGGACAGAGGATCGCTCGTGATTATCTTCGCCATGGATAGAAGATCGATCTAGATTATCTTTGTTCGATTTGCTTTCTTCCTCCTTTTCTATATCTGCAGTAGCATCGAAAACATCACCATCTGTAACCGTATCCTTGACATGACTAAAGATATCGTCGTTTGATGCTTGCTTGTCAACTCTATCTTCATTCTTCTCACTTTCATCAATATCCTTTTCGCTTTCGTTAAAATCCTTTTCGTTTTCATCAATATCCTTCTCAATATTTTGATTTGTTAATGGCATTTTTTCAGAGTGTGTATCAACATCGCCATCTGTAACCGTATCCTTGACGGGACTAAAGATATCGTCGTTTGATGCTTGTTTGTCAACTTGATCTTCATTCTTCTCACTTTCATCAATATCCTTTTCGTTTTCATAAGTATCCTTCTCAATATTTTGATTTGTTAATGGCATTTTTTCAGAAAGTGTATCACTTGAAGCTCTTGATTTCTGTGTAGTATCAGCTAATTTGTTATTTGAGGATTTAGTTAAATCGTTGGCATTGGAAACTCTTGATATGTCAGCGGTATCTGCTACTCGATTTCTTGAGGCTCTTTTAGTTGAATCATCGGTTTTTACAGGTTGATGAGATTGAGGATTGTTTTTTTCCTGGCCTATTGGTTTTAAAATTGGTTTTTTATTACCAAAACTAGATGCACCATGAGAAATAGAGCCATTATTTCCAGGCAAATTACGAACTTCTTCCATAATTTCTTCAAGATCAGACATTTTTAAACCTTCTGATCCAACAGCAATGAAAATCTTATCTGATCCCAACATTTCCGACAACTCGCGTAGCGCCTTGCCATTTGTTGTATATA